GGACGCTCGTCGACGCAATAAGACCCAAATCCAAGAAGAGGAGGATGTGCCAGATGCCCCAATCTACGCAGAGGAGGCTTTTATGACAGAGACAGAGAAGCAGAAAAGTCGCAAGTTCAAGAAGAAGGACGCGTACCACCTACCTAACTTAGATGTCTCGCTTGAAGATATGGGAGCACCAAACGATCCACGCATAATGTCCCAAGAGGAGCTGGAGGAGTATGCTAGACATTTCCACCAGGGTCAAGATATCAACCTTTACGATTTTTCCAAAATCGACTTCGACAGCATGTTTTTCCTTAGCTTACCCGCTACTGATCGCTATAATATCTTGAATGCAGCGAGACTGAGAAGCCGACTCCGAATGGGTTATTCGAAAGAGCAGCTAGATACCATGTTTCCCGATCGCATGGCATTCTCGAGGTTTCAAATCGACCGTGTCGCAGAACGTAATGACCTTACGCAACGATTAATGAACATCAACGGCATGAATGGAGAAGAAGCATTCTATAACTCTGGGAAGCGGATTGCAGGAGAACGTGGCAGGGAATACGTGCTTGTCAAGGATCGCGAACATGAAGGTGGCTGGGTCCTAGGTGTTGTGGGAAACAGGGAAGGCCACGAAGAGAAGCCAATCGATATAGATCGACCTGAGATACTGTCTGATGAGGATGAGGTGTCAGAAGAAGATGAGTTCGAGGACGTCCCAATCGAAGGTCTGAATCGACTTCCCAAACTTCCTTTCCTTCAAGAGGGTGTGTTCGACCGGTCCCTTCAACTTCAGACGGACGGAAATGTAGACTTGAGAAGGGCTGTACAAGAATCACGTCAAACTGCACGGCAACAACCAGTGAATGAATATCGTGTACAAGAGGTTGAAGATGACTCGCTTTTTGTTCAAGCTGAAGGAAATATTGGTGCGCAACAACAAAACAACGACACTGACGAGTTCTTTGATGGCGACGACGATGACCTCGATCGAGCTATTGCGCTTTCATTGCAACCAGATGAAGTGGATGACGAAGATATATCTGATCTGCTCGATATGCCCATCCATCGACCGATCAAATCAGCTCCATCTTATGAGACGGTGCCAGATCTTGATTCCGAGAGCGATGATGGAATGGACTTTACTGCTGCCATAGCAAGAACAAAGGTCTCGAAGAAAGCCTCTCGTGCACCAAATCCATTCAGTGGTCCTCTCCCTTTTGAATCCATTAGACTCACTAAGACCACGAGAGATAATGATAAAGCTGGTGTGGTTGGCGAAAGTGCAGGGGGTTTCGTGAAGGAGCCTACAAAGAAACCAAAAAAGATGGACCCACTTCCTCCGTGGTTTGTTGGTGAGCCCTCGGATTCTGGATTCATCGTTGATCCTATTGAAGATCCTGAAAAGGATGACGAGCAAATTGCGGCGCCAGATCATCTGTTCCTGTCTAATCGTCGCTCCCCGGACATTATTGATGTTGACGAAAGTTCCGCCAACAAGGAAGTCATTGATCTAGAGGAGGAGGAGGAGGAATACGAGAATCAGGACAACAAACCCGAACACGAATTCCAAGTGGAGGACATTGAAAAGATTTACAATGAGCTTTCTACTACAGATCTTGATCAGAAGAAGCCTTTGAGCGAACCAGCTTCAGCTCCAATCAATACTGATGACACGGTACTTGGGCGCGCTGGAACACAAACCCAAGAACAAGTGCCCGCGCTTGATGATCGGTCTCCACGCAGCGAACACTCTCCTTCCCCAGAATTTGAAGATGTTGTCCCCCAGCAGCCCATTCAAGGCCCCGAGATCACTGTTGTATCCCATCAAAAGGCCCAGTCTCAGCCTCAGTTGTTCGAAAATGTCGAAGAAGCTTTCGTGCAGGACCAAGCCGATTACAGTGACCCGGAGGATGAAGACCTGTTCAAACAGCTTGCAGCTGAGGGCGAGGAGCATGTGCGATTTGCCAATACTCTTAACTATGCTGCTCCCAACCAGGAAGCTTTTGACTACGAGCAAGAACTGAAGCAACTCCGATCTCAGCAAAGAAACGAGCGTCGCGATGCAGACGAGGTGACTACTATTATGATCAATGAGTGTCAACAGCTCTTGACGCTCTTTGGATTACCCTATATCACCGCACCTATGGAAGCCGAAGCACAGTGCGCCAAATTGGTATCTTTGGGCCTTGTAGACGGGATTGTCACGGATGACAGTGATATCTTCCTCTTCGGTGGAACGCGCGTTTACAAAAACATGTTTAATCAAAGTAAGTTCGTCGAGTGTTACTTGACGTCCGACTTGGAGAAAGAGTACGCCCTCCATCGACAGAAGCTTATTAGCTTTGCCCATCTCTTGGGCAGCGATTACACTGAGGGCATTCCCGGGATTGGTCCTGTCACAGCACTGGAGATACTCACCGAGTTTTCCAACCTCGAAGAGTTCCGCGATTGGTGGGCCGACCTGCAAATGGGTACGAATAATGTAGGAGATGCTCACCTTGCTTTCCGGAAGAAATTTCGAAAGAAGGCATCCAAGATCTTCTTGCCTCCTTCATTCCCAGATCCCAAAGTTGACGAGGCATACCTGGAACCCGTGGTTGATGACGACCCTTCCCAATTCCAATGGGGTGTTCCTGATTTGAATGGGCTACGAACCTTCCTCATGACGACAATCGGCTGGAGCCAAGAGCGGACTGATGAAGTCCTAGTACCGGTCATTCGCGACATGAACCGGCGAGAGCAGGAGGGTACACAGTCGAACATCACGCAATTCATGCAAGGTCCACAGGGCGCGGGTGCATTTGCGCCTCGTGCTCGCACAGGTAGACCCAGCCGCATGGAAAAGGCATTTAGTCGACTACGTCAGGAAGCTCAGACAGGCGGAACCTTGCTGGATGACGAGCCAGCTATCGGCGACGAAGAGGAAGAAGAAACCTCTGTTTCACAAAAGAGATCCAAGAGAGGTACCTCAACTACCAAGGCCAAGGCTGGCACGAATAAGAAGCGAAAGACCCGTCGTGCCGACTCTCCTGAGCCATGATTTGGGATTTGGTGCGTCGCGCTCTGGAGGCTGTCGCATTGACAGCATATTACACATGTATATATAGAAACTGTCATTCATCCGCAGTAATTACCATACCTTCGATTCATATACAAAGATCGAGTTAGCTTTAGTATTGCACATGAAGATATGAAGGTACGTGAGGTGAGGGGGATAATGGTAGCTCATTCCGATAAAGCCTGATCTTGCAATTGCAAACAAAAGGCAGGAGCAGTTAACGATAGTTCAATCCACTAAGGATTGCTCAAACAGATGGACAATGAAATGCAAGGGAAGCAATCCTGTCTGAACTAGGAAATTATGATGCCTTAACTAGAATATCCATTCCTGCCTGAATATAATTTCCCATCTCCCATCTACCATCTCTTTTGGTTTCCACGATGACCTTCCATTCTCATCATCCATCTCCTAATCGTTTACCCCATCATCTTTAATGACAGCCTGAGGCTAGACACTTGTGAAAATGGGTTACAATCGCCACAACCTGCGTGTTTCTGTTGACAACCAACAGGCGCGACCACCTGAGCAGCCGTCCTGCCTGGTCTGCCCAACACTCTGTACTAGTCACGGCCTTGATACCCATGTTGACAGCTTTTTCCTAGCCGTGACTTCTACTATTAGGTGCCTGCCTATATCGTTGCGTGTGGAGCAGCAAGTGACAAACCCCGCGAAGCCACTTGGGCAGGAAGTGTGCAGCTCCTGTGGTCCTAGGGACCTCACCTAGCCACGCCTGTCTTAGGTTGTCAAAAGTGATTCCTTTCTTCACCTTCTGCTCTGTCCTTCCTCAAGCTTCTTCTTTCCTCTTCTTCTTTCTGTCAACCTCTTTTTTCGAATCTGCCGTGCCCTGTGCTTTTTTCCCCACTGCTTCTCTCTCGGTACTCTATCAGGTCAGATTATACTTCATTTTCTCAGATTCCACACTATGTGCTAACAGTTTGGGTTAGTCTAAAAGGTATATTACGCCAGAATGCCTCAATAACGCTTCAAGGCCTCCCATCCAAGAACAAGTTGGACAAGAAGTCCAATATCGATTTTTCTGGCTTGCCGGATATCCCCCGGGGCAGGCTGATGCGCCTCATTGGCAGTACATGGCCGAGCAGTGGACACGTCCATACCTCTCGCTCATTATATCACCGGAGGAGATGCGTGATGCTTTGACAGCGTCGCACTACCTGACATTACCTAACACTACCTTACCTCGTGCCTCCTTATTGGGAAATCGTGTCCTATGGGCCGTCCGAGCGCGGAACTGCTATCCGGATCCACTAAACTTCTTCTCTTTCTTGTCATATCTACTTATACACCCCTCTACAAAACGTCTGGCTCTTATAATCCCCGGCTGATGTGCCTGCTGTGATGTCGTTTCTCGGGTCGTTTCTCGTTGATTCTTACTCCAACTCGACCTCCCTGCCCGGAACTTTACGCATGGATTGCTCCCCCGACCATCGGGGGCTTATCGAACCTGAGCAACTTTCGTTGGGATTCGAGGGGCGTGCTTTCACGTGCTGGGTGTGCTTCACCTACATTCCCGAAATAAATAAGCCGACAATACGACAAATCACAGCCAAGCTAAGTGAAGGGCATAGTCCTAGACCGACAAAAAGCACAGTCTAAACTTGATGGATGTCAAGCGGACCCCATCGACCGCATCTGGCTGCAGATTGTCCACGCTGCTCTCAACTCACTGTTACGCGTACGGAGCGGGCCTCGCCCTCTTTCTTACACAGCGAAATCTTTTATTTACTTTCATCGTTGCCGGCCATACGGCCCCGACCAATGGTTTGTGCTTTGTACCTGCGATTATAGTACCTTCTATATAACGACATTGGTAGGGAACGGTAGGCATGCCTCTCTGCATAGGCCCAGACAAGAACCAACTTGCTTGTCATGATCTTGTACTGGGGGCTGTCGATAGGTTTCGTCTTGTGGAGTGTAAACCACAACAACTATGACAAGAGCTCCATGGAAGCATGGGCTGAAACAAACTTCCTATCACCTTCAGCCCTTCGCAAAGAAACGGAGCTACGACTACACAATGGACAAATACTGGGCAGACGACGCCATTCTGGACATCAATTTGATACGGGCATCCAGCGTGATTCATGTCCCCAGAATGTGGAACGCTTTGATCAAATACCGCAATATATGCGCGGTTAACTAGCCCCGAGAAGTGACTATGGGACCGAAGGAGAAAGCTACCATCTCAGAGAACATCCTTCTTTCAGATAAATGTAGCACAACAGTGAAACTCGGTCCTGGCAGTGGGATTTGTGAAAAGAACTCAAGTCCCCATCAAGAAACCTCGAATGCTTTTGGGCCTATTCTGTGTTGTTTGGTCTGTACTCATGAATATTCAGCTCTAAAGGCTCAAGAAATGCCTTTTCATCGAATGCAACCGACCTGTGCAGCGAGTGGGCCAAGAACCCACAAATACAGACTAGAATGACTCAATCGCCTAGTTGACGAAATACATTCTCAAATTGAATTTCAAAGGGATGTGAGCTTTCCAACGCTGGGTATGGTGTCGTTATCTCCACCCACTCTTGGTGCCTATCACAACTCTGGGATCGTTTCTTGATCACTTCATGGTCGAGAGAAAGTCGTTTTTGATTTGCCTGTGGAGGGTTCAAGGAGTGCGAGGTGAAGGAGAAATGGGGGATGTCTGGTTTTGCGTGTGAACTCCTTATCACAATCGAAAATTCTGCAACGAAGCAGCCGGAACTGGAAAGTCTTTATGCTTATGCACCTACAGTGAGCAATAAGCTGGTCTCGACCTTCGAACTCGACAAGTCAACTTCTATGGAGGCATAGATCCCGACACCAAGAACTGTAAGGTATTTTGGGAGCTGTGATGTGGATGGTCGGGGAATGAGAGGGATAGCACATCCTAGACCGTAATTGCCTATCAAGTTGATTTTTATCTATTGAATTCCCTGTATACCTAGCTGTTCTAGTAACGTATTTTGGTCTACACGGATACGAATATACGGTTAGCAAAGGGGTGGTTTAGGTTCTAAGGGGCGATATACGTGGCGCTGGTTTACCCAGGACCATTATCGTGGTCTTTGCTTCTGTCTCTTCCCATCACTATATCACTTATCTCTATCTCACTTGTGAAGGAAATCGAATGTGAGAGCACAATATGATCCTAATCTGGAAACATGCCCACAGTCTCTACCCGCAACCTTACTCAAAATGCAATCAACCTACAAAGTCTCAACCCTAATAGGCTGCAATTCCACCCTCAGTCAGACATGGGAAGATGTTCCTTTAAATTGCTGGTGAATATTACCTAATTGTACTCTGAACTTTTGATCCATATCTACTATATGCAACAGTGGAATTAATAGCCGAGGCGGGATTCCCCACGAACAGTTCTCCGCAATCCCAGCGATCAGTGGAACTGGGGTGGTTCTATAGTTCTATACAGATGTACTTGTCAGGGGAAATCCAGACACTCATGGTAAGTTATGGTTACTATAAGATGTAGTATATAGCCGTATAAATGCAACCTTAGTCCATGACATCAGGGGAAATCGATGACGTCGATCGTGAAGATTCAACAAAATGCAACTCAAGATCGACAGACGATTGGCTTAAAAGAAGAGGCTGATTGACTGTACTTAAAAGTCTCTAGTGTCTTAACTAGTCTTAGTGTCTTAATTTTTTTTCCAGGTCCGCCCAATCCCGATCTCCCGATCAAGTTCATCGGTTTCTCCTTAGAAAATAGTCGACGTCACTTCCCGAGAGCTTGAGAACTTCACCTGTCAAAAAGATCTCTTGTCCGCTTGCAGTCTCTTTGTCGTTACATCTCAGGTCAAGTACGTACGCCTAAGAAAAAATACCCCCTTTAACCTCACGTCACTACTGCGCAAGGCACTGAGAGTCTTTTTTCTCTGATTACCTTTCTTCCAGGAACAAGAACCGCTCTTTACCATCTTCTTCCTCCAATTTTCCATACCAACCCGCCATGCATCGCACCTATTCCATGCGCCAGACGCGGCCTCCGACCGCATCGCAGGTCGAGAGCCCACCACCACCATTGTCCACAACCAAGACCGGAAGATGGCTAGGGAAAGGCGGAATCGGTGAGTGGCGAGACATCAATACGGGTTCGACGGCTGGAAATTCTCGAAGGGGTTGTTCGTCGGGTTGAAGGCTGCCTAGTCGGGCCGCCATCGACTCCCCTGTCCCGCCCCCGAGAGGCGAGAGGCGACAGCCGAATTGGAGACCAGTCGGAGAGATGATGAGGAAATTGAGAAAATTAAACTCACTAACATCTTGCGATCAGGCCATGCTTTCCGCAAGAATGCCGCCGGTGCCTTCGGACCCGATCTCGCCAAGAAGCTGTCGCAGCTCGTCAAGATGGAGAAGAACACCATGCGCAGCATGGAACTCGTCGCTCGGGAGCGCATGGAAGTCGCTGTATGTGGATGAACCCTGAATTTTGAATGACCGTGGAACAAATTGGAAGCTGACTCGGTCGCCATAGCAACAACTCTCCATCTGGGGTGAAGCATGCGATGAGGATGTGTCGGATGTGACGGACAAGCTCGGCGTGCTGATCTACGAGATCGGTGAGCTGGAGGATATGTTCGTTGACCGCTACGACCAGTACCGTGTCACCATTAAGAGCATTCGCAACATCGAGGCTTCCGTACAGCCCAGCCGAGACCGTAAGATTCCCGCAGCATGCACCTCCCGAGCTTCAAACTAACCAAATTGAATCTCCAGGCAAACAGAAGATCACCGATGAGATCGCCAAGCTGAAGTACAAGGACCCCAACTCTCCTCGCATCGTCGTTCTGGAGCAGGAGCTCGTCCGTGCCGAAGCCGAGTCCCTAGTCGCCGAGGCCCAGCTGTCCAACATCACCCGCGAGAAGGTCAAGGCCGCCTTCCAGTATCAGTTCGATGCGCTCCGCGAGCACTGCGAGAAGGTCGCCCTCGTCGCCGGATACGGAAAGCACCTCCTCGACCTGATCGACGACACCCCTGTCACTCCCGGCGAGACCCGCCACGCCTACGACGGCTACGATGCATCCAAGGCCATCATCCAGGACTGCGAGGATGCCCTCACTAACTGGGTCTCGTCCAAGGCCGTCGTCAAGTCTGGTCTCTCCCAGCGCTCCCACACCCTCTCCCAGCGCCACCGCTCTAGCCTCAGCAAGAACCGCGAGGGCGTCGATTTGTCTTCACAGGACCAGCCCTTGGCTGGGGATCGTGACTCTTGGCTCCCGGCCGACCAGCACCCCAACTACGAGGACGGTGACGATGGCGTCAGCACCATTGAGGGCGAGCTGCGTGGCCGCGAAGAGGAGCGTGACCCCATTGCCGTATAGGGGATGGGCGAGAATGATCCCTACTACTGTTTTACGAATCTGACGGTTTGAAATTCGGGCAGACATGATCTATTCATCTGTCCAATCGTTTTCATCTCCACTTTCCTTTTGTCAAAATCCCGCTTCTGAATTCCATAAACTTTGTTTTATCCGGGTTGAAATTCCGTGCTATTTTCGAAGAAGACGCACTTCAATCACGCCATTCAACTTTGGATGCCTGACGCGCCTTTTCATGAACGCCTCTCAATGTCGTGATCTAACGGCTATGAGTCGTGCTTGGGGTATGTCCACTTCTCCATGCTTAGATCGGGGGACGTGGGTCTAATTTCCCTTTCGTTTTCACGGAGTTGGAGAAGTCTGAGATCAGTGCAATTGGGAATTGTCTGGGTTTTTTTTTGTATGTTTTTTTTTTCCATTCCCTGTTTTTACTTAATTGATGTAATACCATCTTACGTTGGCTTTTGGTTTGTTTTCGAGGATTAGGTCCAGGTAATTAAGGTGTTTTAATGGATTGTTTGCAGAAATTTATATTATATGTAGTACGGAGTACATATCTGATATAGAGGGTGTGGCGTGCGTTCATGGCTGAATAGCCCTGTGGGGACAGACCCTTACCCCAGAAAAGTGATTCTCCAATGGCATTAGATCTCAGTGAGCAAATCACTCTGATATAGCACGCCAGATACAGCACGTCACTCGCCGCTGCTCTTACGTCTTTGCTATTACGTATCTAGAGAATCCTATAGAGGACATGTAGGATAGCAAGATAATTCGTATAGCAATAAACCCCATAGTTTATATTGCACGCATTCCAGTCCGTAGATAGGTAGCAAGAGGACGGAGGAAACCAGAAACAGAAAAATAGGTCCCACAAAGATATAAAATATAAAACCAATACCATAGAGCCAAAAAAGAAAAACAATATTCGACTTCACTGGACCACAACACCGCCAACTCATCTCCTTTCCCGCAAACCAGGGGAAAGGGAGAAAAATGAAACAGGCCTTCGCAGCACACGATCTGGAGGATAAAAAGGGTAGAGAGAATGTAGATAGGTAGAGAGCCTGAGCAGATGTATAAAGCCCGGTAGAGAGTAGAGATTGAGATTGAAACATCAAATGAAAGTGCCAAATCTGAAGTGCAGAAGCAAAGACCATCCCTAGAAGTCGAAAAAGCCACGGTCGGGAGAGCCGGGCAGACGAGAAGAAGAGAAGGGTCGTGACATCGTCATTTGTCTGCTCTCATCTACCCCAATTTCCATTCTGTCGATGAATATGACTGACAGAGAGGGGGGGGGGGATGAGTGCAGACACCATAGCAAAGTGATGGGAAAAAAAAACAGAATGCTGATTCAATACGGACGCTTTCTAGAGACCGTAGGCTGGGGAGATGATACAAAGAAAGAACGGCAAACAATAACGCAAACAAATAAACACATTCTTCCATTTTGGCTCACTCCTCGGTACCGACGCCCTTCTTCTTGGGCTGAATATGTTTTTGTCTGGTATTGCCGCCAGGACCTTTTAACTCGGTCGAGCTATCCTTAGCCGGAGCCGGCAAACGAGGACCAGCATCGTGTTTCTCTGTAAGGAGATTCTTCAACCAGCGGTTCTCCATCTCGAGCTGTGCGACGCGAGCCTCGAGGGAAGCGTTCTTCTCGGTAGTTTCACGAACAGTCCGTTCGAGGACTTGCTCGCGCTGCTTCTTCTTTTGACGGAAGCGGGCGCTGGCGGCGGTATTTCGACGACGACGATCTTCCTCTGCGGCACCACGCACGCCCTCCTCTTGATCGAGGGCGGCGGCGATGCGGTCGCTAGAGATCGAGGTACTGTACTTGGTGTTTCCCATTTGGCCGTTGGGCGGGGAGATAGACGAAGAAACATCGGATGGCGTGAGGGCACCCTGTGCGTGGCCGAGCTCGTCGGGCGCATATGGGACTGGTGGGTAAATTGAGTGAGCTGAGTAGGGCATCATGTGCTCTGGGAGATTGTAGTTGATGGGCTTCTCGCCGGGAGGGCCTATGAATGGAGTAAGCGATGGTCGATATAACCCTTTGGGAATGAGCCCCATGGGTCGGGCAGTGCAAATCATATCCGAAGGATATAAGCTCAAGAAGGGTCAAGGGGATGTGCAGTTTAGCGTCAGCAGGCAGCTGGCGTTTGTCATTTCATTGCGGGATTGCGTGCTCGCTATTGTAGGAACACCGACGGTGATCTCATCCATTGAGGATGGGAGATGCATGCCAGGGTTCATATCCTGAAACTTTGCAGCTTCGCGCTTTTAAAGAATGACATTGGCACATTGTGTAGGGGGGAGGGGGGGGGGAGAAGGAAGAGGTTCAGCACCGGGGCTATCCGGTGCCTTTTTCTTTTTAAAAACACAGGGAAGAAATCAGGCAAAAAAATAATGGACAGATCAAAACTTCAATTTTCAGACATGGGAATTTCAAGCCCGGAACTAAAGCTCAGGCGCAGAGGCGCGATGGCGTAACAAATGCAACGTTGGGACAAAGTCTCAAAAGCTTGATACGTACCATGATAGGGATAGCCTCGGAGATCGAGAGAGCTGCGGTCGTCTTCTATACTCTCATAGGAACTGACAGATAGACCGCCCATGCCTTCGGTCTGGTCATAATCCATACTCACGTTGCCGAACGGGACCAGCCCGGTATCAGCGTCAAATGAGTACTGTCGAGTCTTGGCTGCGGGATCGTGGCGCGACATCAAGAAATTGAAGTTCTCGAGTTTATCGAAGACTGGACCCGGAGCTGGCAAAGGTGGTCGTTCTCCCATGGTGTTGAAGAGAGAAAGAAAGAAAAGAGGTTCAGCCCCCTTGGCCTTTAGGGTTATGAGTGTGAGAGAGAAGAGGGGCTTGGATGTTGGTAACCCCAGATCAGGACGGGATTTTCTATGAAGCAAATCAAATCACCAGTAAAAAAAAATTGGTTTAATATAACCAAGGCGAAAAAGGTCCAAATAAAAACGAGTTTAAAAAAAAAAAAACAAATAAATAAAGTAAGACACAGTAAAAAAGACCAGGAAGTTGAGTTCTCGGCCACGATCACCTCGAAAAAGGTCACTTCATCGTCGCATGCCGCGGGAGTTCCACCAGAACGAATTAAAACGGGAATAATGGAGTTGATTAAAAAAAAAGGGGGGGGGCAAAGAGGACGAGCAGGAGGAAAAAGGCGGCCCTAGTCGATGATCTGATAGAATGGAGAAATGTCGTGATCGCGACTTCTGGTTCGTCAGTTAAGGCATTCACCGCTTTTATATAGACACGTATGGGGTAAGGATAAGGATATAAGGATACAAGTTATAGCTTATAAGTATATACAAGCTTCTCCAGCTTAGCTCTTTCGATGAAAAACAGGGGCCATGACATACATTATCCACCTTCGGAACCAGTACCTGGCGAAGGGAGCAGAATATATGGAGTATGGAGACTTGACACTAATTTGTAAAAGTTGTACTAAAAGTTGTACTAAAAGTTATACTAAGAATTATGCTAAACTGCAATGGTCTTTATATTTTATTCTCCAATCGTTATTTCAGCGCAGATGACGCGGACTAGCCCTGGTATTCAACCTAGAAAGCTTGGCGGCAGGAAAATCCCCTCGTCTAGAAACAGTCGATCGTCTTGATGACATATGCTTTCTGCTAACGTTATTCACGGCTTACGGTTGACGCCTTTCAGCGATGATCTGAGCGGCATCCGCAACCGTCATACCTCGCACTCGATGCTCCACTCGCTCCTCGCCTAATACGGTATCTTCCGCAATGGTCCGATAGATCTCAGCAAATCCTCCATAAACACCGGCTCCGACCCCATTCCACCCACCCTCGGTATCAAACGTCTCCCCAATTCCACGCATTTCATCCTCCCACCGGTATGCCTTGGGACTCATACCAATCACCCCATTCGTCGTGAGCGCAGCAGTACGTGGGGAGTGTTGCTCCAGCAATTCCAACAACTCCGGTAACATCGACTCCTTCTGCGCAGTGGAGAAAGACAGAATAGACAGCGCGGTGAGACCTTTGGTCAATGCAGCGAAGGATAGTTTGAGCGTGGATGCGGCGCCAATCCGAGGCGAGACAAGTTTGATATTCAGGACGTCTGCCAGCGTCGCAAACGCAGGGGCCAGATCCACCACCCCCGACAACACCACGCTAGGTTTTTTCCAGGTTGTGCTCCCGTCTTGCGTGCTTTGGGATGGCGGCCCGCCAATGATTCCGCCATCGAGGAAGTGGCACCCTCGGCCTAAATCCGTTGTTGTGGTTGGCTCGTCAAACTGCGCCGCCATCTCCGACGCCAGTCGTGCGGGTATCGCGTTGAGTTCGAGGTAGTATAGCTTGGACCGCTTCGGTTTGTTTTCCAAGTCTTCCAGCGCCTCTCGGAGACTGCCGGTCGATGGCTGTGCGCATGCATCTGCTATTCGTCGGGCGGTCGCCACTGCGTTCCGCGGAGGTACGATCGAAAGTACGTAGTCGGCTTGGATTACTAGCGCTTGGTCTGAAGGAAGGATCGAGACCCCTGCTGAATGGATTCGCGCTACTGTGTGTTCACTGGCGGCTGTTAGTGCTCGGTCGTGCTTTCCTTCTGTGGAATCCTACCTTCTTCCGTCTGCGACCGTGACGACTCGGTAGTCGTGGGCTTTTAGGAGTCTAGCCACACCTAGGCCCATGTCTCCGATCGACACGATTCCAACTGTAACAGGTCTCATGGTGATTGTCTCTCGAAATCTTGGGATGAATAGTAGTATTTCTAAGTAAATCAGTTAAACCCCGGAGTACTTGTATCAACGTCTACTGCGGGGGTACATTTGCTCCATTTGTCAGCGAAATCTGACTTCCAAGGTCGGTGAGTCTATACAATGTTATCGTGTCCCATCCCTGTGGTATGAATAGTAACTGCAGAGGGATTTAAGCTTATCTTCACCTTGTCTGTGTCCTTCTGGAAAAGTCTATGAATCTGTCTATTATTAACCTACGATGATCATTCCTAATGCTTGGTTCGATTTACCACTGCATAATACAATCCACTTGCATATTCGGAAATGGCCGAGTTCTTGGAGATCACAGGTACCTATGTATCAACCCACGAAATGTATATATGATTTTACTGGATAGGCCACGTCATCACCAGGTAGTTAGCCCATCTCGATTGTATTCAAATTGGGTGATCATTACTACACACTGCCCTTTCTCTATGGAGATGAAACCCCCACACAGGCGGCGCGATGTTCTCAAGCATCTATATCAACGAGTCAAGGACTGAGGATCTTTCTTTCTCTCCCCTGTCGATTTTCAATCTCTTGGAATCCAAGCTTTTAAGTGGGGATAGCAGATGACGGAATTCTACAATTTTACCCATGTTTTTTTTTCTACCTCACCCAGAGAGAGTCCTCCAAAAATATCCACTCTACATTTTGAGAATCGGGGCCGTTAGTCTTCCAAAGCTGAATAACCCCCCAGACTTTGATTCTATTCTGAGAAAGAATCCCATAGTGTCCGAACGCAGAAGACCCTCTCACAATGGCAAAGGATGTTTATGACGAACTCATGATGGTGTCGTGGCCGGATAAGTCGTACTTCCATGCCCTAGAAACAGAGCACTATATCGACTGCCAAAAACGTGCTCATCGGAAGGGACGACCGGTACTTTCTTCTAGTATTGACCTTGAGTCTCTTAGAATATAGCGGTAAGCAACTAGTGAAGATTTTCAAGGGGTTGAATGTACATGCTGGATATCAACCAGGACGACAGAGAAGCGAAACGACCCCCCGATATTTGAGGCCGGCTGTGGGCCACAGTGGCAGATAAAGGAACTGCTAGAAGACAGCAACGAAGGCTCCCCTGTACCACATGCAATTATGACAACCGTTGCATACGTTCCCGCAAATCATGCGGACCAGAGTCCCACTATCCACGAAGAGCTATCGTGAACATGATGATCTTTCGAACTTTCCACAGGCCCTTCCGGAAATATCCTATCCACCCAATAAGTAGCTTATATCACATCGTGGCCCAAGTCTTACTAAGCCCTGTCTTTCTATATAGCTGTTGGTTCTCTCTTATATGGGTGAGCAGCATGGAAGGATCATTCAAGCTTCATTTGATGGAGAAAACCTGGTTCTACAATTTTCTCAACTGTGGAGCTTCGAGGATGAGGATACAGCACCTGTGGAACTCTTCACTCGCTAAAATATAAGTAGGCCAGTTGGGTTAGAGAGCTCGGACGTTTGTGTTAGATCATTTGAATCTGTTGCATCAATGAACTTAACGTAAATATGTAATGTTAATACCCTAGTTCAGTTCCTTTTGACTTGCCAACTTCCAATAAAGAAGGGACATGTCCAATCTGCTCATTCAAGGCACGAAATACAAAGCTGCCGCGTTATTATCAGAGGTGATTTGACGAGCGTACTTCTACGTCCTGGACGGGGCCGGACCAGAAGTATGGCGCCCTCCCATTGGACAGTGTGGTGCGCCGTCACCAGGGCTGGAAGAGTGACTCGATCCTATTGGATGATGTCTCAGTCCTTCATGAGTGGTCCCGGCCCCGAAGTGAAATAAGGCCCAGTGATTGGCTAGACGAGTGTAGTGAGTTATTTTAGAAGTATATAACCACAGTGTCCACCATTTGGAATATGAGCAGTGGACAAAGGGGTTGATAGCCTCAAGGTCAGTTCATGCCCGCCTGCGGCATTTACACCGTCTGTCGATTACACCAGCCTCACCCTACCTCCTGCGTCTAGGTAGTGTGCTATACCGAATGGGGGTCATACACGGGCTTGTTCGGCAACTCTCGTTCAAACTGTGCTATAAAGTCTACGCAGACCTTAGGTATATTCTTGGCTTGCCTGAGGTCCCCAGGGCAGATGCCGCCCACTCGGCCCTGGCTTGTCTCTCGACACAGCTGATCCCAGAAGACCCAATCTGAAGGGTCAATCCGAGCGGCTCACAACTCCCGGGATACGTATTTAGGTCTTATAAGTAATATCAGAAAAACTGCGTCCGCCACTGGAAGATTGACTGTTAAAACTACCAGATGCAGTAATATGACCTCGGTGGACAGAGCTTCCCGCAGCCGGAATAAGTTCGCACAGGCCCCCGCATTGGTACTTTTGACCCGCACTTCTATAATTTCATAAGACAAAAGACATTCAAAAAGACATGGAAGGGTGTTTTTACAAATAACTCTCATTGCTCCTTCTCTCTTCTCCCTCTGCTTTTCCTCTCTCTCTGGCCCTTCCTTGCACATAGTTAGCGCTTCCTTCCAACCTTGGAACATTTCCAAGGTTCTTCATATGTACCCCGACCACTGCTTTGCCATATTTCTCCCACTCTCATCCTAACACCAACGACCCTTACTCTAACCACTCAATTGGCAAGGGATGCTCAGTTTGAGGTGCTCGATATTACGACTGACACGTTCCACCAGCCAGCTGGGCCACAATTCCGACTGTCGTCCCTCCGCGTAGGATCCTACTTCGCAATGCAGAGCAACAGACGAAACAAGTTGTGAAGTCTATGAGATTCTGCCTTCATTTCACATGAGTTCAGTGGTCTATCTGGTAGGAATGATCATACGGTGTCACATGCCGGACCAGAATTGGCAGAATTCCAACTGCACCGGGCTTGCCGATCTTATTTTATATCTTCACGGAATTGAGCCCTTATTACGACTCTATTGTGATCTATGATCATCTATCATATTGCTCCTTGCCCCTAGAAATAGGAATGGTACGGAATAAGGTCTGAATACAATATAAGGTATCAAGCACATTGTCTACCATATACCCTAGACAGGGACCTCGGGAGATCCGAGCCGCTGACTAAATGGCATACTCGTTTTCCGATTGGCCACAGTTTCAGTGGCACCTTCGGTATCTACTTTCAGCCTTCCGAGGTCTACGACAGATGGACTTAAATTTTATTCAGATGTATCTGTCTAAGTGGGTCATGATATCAGTGTTATACGGAGTATGTAGGATAGCTCTCTTTTTTGGGGGGTTCTTTTTATATGTTTTGGATGTGTTTTTCGAAATACGTCTTTATAAGCAGGAATTTTATAATTGGCCTATGGAAATAGCAGGAATAGTAAGTAAACATGCTTATCACTCAATGCTATCCAATTTTTATATATTTTATATCAGGGACAAGCCTGTGGATGGGCACACCTGGAACACCTGAACCCCGCCCAAAGTACCCCGGAGAGCAGAGTAACGGAATCCGTGAATCCCGACATCCGTGTGCTTTGATTATTCATCTCTTTTTTTGCCTTTCGAATCTCTTTCCCTGCAGATTATGAACATCACATCAACAGAGATCAAAATAAGAAACAGTGATCTCCCGCTAGTCTTCGCCATTTCCGCTGCGGCGACTTTTTCACAAAGTCTTGGCACATTCATGACTCCGAGGCAATCCACGTCCCCTCGGCCAAGGCAATGAACCAGTCATTTCCCCAAAGCGCGTTGCCCATGAATTCTGCGCTAGGGAGAGGTCCACACTTGAGAGTGAGTCTTGCTTCTCGTCCCGAGTTCCACTATCCCGGTGGACTCCGGTATGGGGGGAATCCCGCGTTGCTGACGGGAATACAACGCCTATCTAGGCTTGCGAGAGGTGCCATCGAAAAAAGATCAAGTGTGAGATTGAAGGGTCTAATTTAACTTGCTTTCAATGTATACGCCGTAATACGCATTGTGTCTTTCCAGTCCAGCATGAGAAGCGGGATGATCAGCAAAGGTACGATATCCATTGCCATTCCCGATCTGCTTTTTATCCATCGTGGCTAATGATATCACAGTAGTGACGAGTATGTCAAGTCTTTGAAAGACCGCCTCGTCAGGGTGGAGTCGTTGTTGAAAACGGCAGGTATCTTGCAAGAGAGTGATATGAGCCATGACGGGTTTTCCGATGATGAAGATGATGACGAACCAGCTAGTCCAAACATCTCATCTGTTTCCAGCCCAAAGTCAAATTTCGGGGCGTCTCTTCGCTCGCACGGTGGGGACATCGAGGGTACGCCCATCTTCCGGGCGGACGAAAGAGATGATTCTCGGTATTTCGGTAAGATAGGGAGTACAGCCGATGTGACATAAAACCGCCGAGGCTAACTCAACGGACAGGAAAATCGAGCTCATTGTCAATTCTATCGCGAACAGGTATAGAGTGGATTAAGAGCAAAACAGGCGATATCAGCTTCCTGCGAATTATATCTCCTGAATCCCTTCATGAAAATCCGTGGAATCAATGGCGACCAGACGTGTTCCATGATCTGTTTGCCTCGCAGGTTTTTAAACCGTTGCCCTCAAGGTCGGAGGTATTCTCTCTTATGAAAGATTTCTTCCAGACGGCCAACCGTCTGTTTCCTATCTATCTTGAGTCGTCCTTCATGAAAATGGTCGAATGGCAATATACGCAGCAAACATGTGATGACGCTGCCCGTTGGGCGAACATCAACATGGTAATATCTCTGGCATACGAATATCGATTCACGAATGGCTCCAAATCAGAAAAGGACAAGGAGAAGTCCGAGTTATACTTCAAAAACGCCATGTCGGTCTTCACGGAGTTGGCCTTAAAACGCACCGATCTACTGAGTATACAGGCTTTGCTTAGCATGGTACGTCTCCTGCTTCTTTTGGCTCCTATAGAAACATCTAACAATTCGCAAAGTCATTCTTCCTTCGAGGGAATTCCGGAACTCAATCAGCTCTGCCTCTTATCACTGCGGCTATGCGGTCTGGTCACCGAATGGGACTTCATCGAGATATCGCCAGACCAGAACTTAGTCTGGCTGAGCAAGAGGAGAGACGACGAGTCTTTTGGGTTGCATTTGTCCTTGATCAAAGGTAAGAGAAGCCCATTCAGATATCGGACTCACATACTAAAGCAACGGTCCAGTACATGCCTAAGAATTGGAAATGCCCCATCACAACATCAAGATGATTTCGATGTCCCTCTTCCGGAAGAACTGGAGAGCGATAAGCATAGTGAAACCGCAAGCAACATTCCATTCTTCCGCCAGCTCTGTCAGATGGCGCTCATCAAGAGCCACATTTACAGTCGACTCTATTCTGCTACGGCGTTAACAAAACCTCCTGTTGAAATATACAAGGCAGTCAAAGAACTAGATGCAGAGCTTGAAGAATGGAAACGTGAAAACCCAACTCTCATTGAACCGGAAACGAAACATACTGAACACGATTTCCTGTTTGACTTTGCCTCTATTGGTCTCCATTTCGTCTATCAGAATGCTTTGATCATGATTCATCGGGTACCTATATTTCTTAGCTACATGATAGCAGCCAGAAAGGAATCAGAGAAGGTCGTGTCGATCAGCAAAGCACATGCCTCAAAATCAACCGCCATTGGCTCACAGGCCGCCCGAGATACCTTGAAGGTTGTCAATAATATGCCATGGGGAGACATCGCATGGACTTGGTAAGCACAACAGCCTCATCTTGCTATATCAGCTTCATTTCTCACAGCCAAACCTCAGGTCATTACTATACTACGTCTTCCTGGCAGCATCAACATTATTCTCAGGTATCCTGCGGGATCCTCGCCATTCAAGAGCCCGAGCAGACCTTCAATCCCTCAACATGGCCTCAACGTTCTTTGCAACTCTCGCCCCAGGTAACGGACCAAATAATTACGCCGGTTTCATGACCCGCATGAGTGCGACTCTCGAACGCATCGCCAGAGCCGTTGTCGAAAAAGACGAGAAAAGGCCCCGCGCCCCAGAGGAAGAAGACCAAGAATATAAACCACCAGGAGCCAAGAGGCGCGCCTCTCGGGCACAGGCAGCACACCACCCAAGGCAGCACCGCCGACCTACAACCCTCCGCACAAAGATGACCTCCCCCACAGCTCCGGGATATCCAACGTCAAGCACCGCCAACCCCAACAGGATGGACTTCAGTATTCCGGACACCCTAGAAGGCCTCCCTCCGGTCAATTCCTCAGGCTACGTCGTCCCCATGAGCCCAGTGCCAGGCCCGGGCGACATTAGCCAAACCGAATCCCCATATATCGCCAACCTACCCGGCACATACACACCTTCAACGACAAACCTAGATGGCACATTCCTCCACAATGCAGGCGGCAATTCCTTCAACACACCACCTATCCCATCCTGGCAATTATCAAAAGACTATTCTACAGCCACATCCACAACCAAGTCCCAAGCCCCAGGACCATCAGTCGTCACTCCGAACCCCATCACTGCCATCAACTCCCCAGACTCCTTCAGCAGCACCGCGAACTCAATCCCCGATTTCTTCCAGAACCCAATGGTCGGCGACTGGGGCCACGGCGGAAATATCTTCGCCGGACTCTTCCCAACAGAATATAATTTCCCGCCCTCGAATCTAGCGAGCACTCAGTCTGTCGACACATATCCCTCCATGCCGATTCTATCGGCTGAGTCGTATATCCATGGTGCGCCTGCTATTGAGGGCCATATGGCTCAGGCTGGTGGGTTCGATCCTCAGGGTCTGGGGTATGGCTATGTGCCGCAAGTTCAGGAGGATCCGAATCCGGGGGCTGATCCGGTCTGGCCTAATGGGTTTTTGGGGTTGTTTTAGGGGGTAGATTGATCGGGGTGTTCTTGTTCGGGCTTGTTGTTCTTGTTAGCGTTTTCTTTACCCATGGGTTTCGCCTAAACACGCCTTCTCTGCTCTCTTCTTTGTATATATAGTAGTATGTACCAGATTTTGGGCCGCGGATGCGAATTTCCCGATCGGGGTACCGCCGCTTTATGCCTACCTAGTACATATAATACTTGGCCTCCAGCCCCCACCCTCATTTTCAACCACCTGGTCGATCTTCTATCTTTCAAACATCATGGTGAGAACAGCTCAGATTGCCCGGGATCCATCCGAGCCACCTAGACGATGAATTCAACAGGAGTATGCCGACCATAAAGGCACGCTGTCATTCTGGGGAAGATTTCCTATGACAACCTGTTCTATCGGCCGGAGGACGGTGAAGCTTACCGACTTCAAGTATACAGCGCCACTCCTATCCAGCCAGAGAAGCTCGATAGGTTGTACCGATATCAGTGTGAATATTACGACAGATCAGAGCTAAATGAGGTTTGACGTGAAAGAGCTAATAAGAGGGATATATTCGATATATATTATGGGCAAATTGATTATGGACTCTATGAACCACTCCGGCCCCCATCGCCCGAGAAGACTCCGACCTTGCAACATATCCAGGAGGTTTTAGAGCAGCAAACGGTAGACGTTCAATCTATGGACTCGAAGTACTTCGCCTTACACGAGGACCTGGAAATAATCCTGTCACAGTCACAAATTCTTCGGGTGAATGCGACCTTCAATGCGTGATCTACGTCCTATCGAGCAGGAAAAGACCGCCTTTCTAGAGACCGCTGCACGCACATTCGCTGCTAGCATTATCTCCCATCTCCCTGCCTCCAAAACGATTTACTTTTAGTTCCGAATTCCTGGTACCTCCTCGTCTTCCCTTATATCCGCTGCACCTAACGGATTCGATGTTGGTGCCTCCTATGAATTTGAGGGTTCTTGATAAGCTTGTCTTTACCCAAGAACTCAGTGTGCTATTCTACATCCAGTGGACCGACCCTCGATAATACATTGAACCGCAGAGTACCGATACAGTCATTGAGACTCTGCGGAGTGCTGGTATTCAAGAAGCTACAAGAAGGCTTGCAATGCTATCTATCGGTGGAGGAGAAAATCCAGATTTGTCGGAAGCTCACGCGAGCATAGGGGAATATTGCCTTTGTCACCAGAGTACGAGCCGCAGATGAACTTCTGGTGTTCTTTAACCAAAGATTCAAGGATCAAGAGGAATATAGCATCAGTGCCGATGTAGGATAGCCTGATACATGTCTAACAAAGTTCGACTATTCCATTCATCATACTTAAACCGTCCTACCAGCGGGCTTGCGAGTGATGCAACCACTGGTGTATAAGAGAAAACAAATGATCAATGGATATGAAAATAAAGACTTGGTATAAAAAACGCCAAGCCAGATCCTGAAGTTGAGATATCCCATTGTCCCGCGCCATTGAACCCAAGGGCATACAAAAGATTCCTCCTGCGCCTTCCTTCCCAAATCCAGACCTAACCCATCCCCGTCAAATAACCAAATCATAAAAGAGCAAATGTTGGGAAACTAAAACACAGATCCCGTGAGCGTTCGCACTGCCTTGCACCACACGCCATTTCCGAGCTGGACATCACCGTCCTTCCCCCGACCAAGCCCTTTGCCAAGGATGCTTTGCAACTCCTTGTCTGGAAGACCGGACTTGTTTCCTGTTCCGAAACCATAGACCTTCGTCGCCAGGACGTCAATATCAAAGTCTAAGGAACCGACAGTGTTCTCGGTATTGGTTTTGTCAATGCGCGTACAGACAGTGAAGTCCACATCGATTCTCTTGGCACTAGTATTCTTCGAATCAGCGCCCTTGCGGCCAGGGGTAGAGACGGCGGCATTGCCGAGGAGCGTGCAGCGCGTGCGCAGAGAAAGAGAGCCCTCATCAGGTTTGGATAGGGTGAGGCGAGTGACACCACAGAATTCCAGCATGCGCGCTTCGTTTTCCAGACCAACTGTGCGGTCCCATGCGCTAGAGATGAAGCGCAAGAGCTGTTTAGGTGCGACAGTGGATTGCTGGATGGTAGTCAGGTGGTGCTGTAGTGAATGGAGGACTAAGGATGCGATGGGAGAGATGTTGGCATTCTTTTGGGAATTCAGTTCCATCGGGTAGTTCTTTCCCTTGTCTTGGCCACCGTTTTTGGAGGCAAAAGCTCCAGGATAGAACTCTAGTTGGAGCTGGCCCTGGTAAGCCATCTTTAATAAAGGCCCCTTCGGTGCATCCGAAGGAGTTGAGGCCGAAACGATCGACCAGCCGGTTTGTTGCTGAATTCGTTCGACGGAGGCTAGTGTTTTCAGTCAGCATCGCACCCACAGAAGACTCCATAGGGGAGGGAGAAAAGATCTCACCCTTCAATTCGTTGATCTCCCGGGCACTCCAGCCACGGCACTCTTCCTTCACACGCTCTGCCTCCTGGATTTGAGCCAGGAATTCATCCCGCATTTCGGCTCCAGCCTTGATGAAGGTCGTCTTCTCATGGACTTCCTTCTGCAACTGCTCAAGTTCCCGTCTCTTGGCCGCAATTTCTGAGTCCACCTCAGACAGCTTGCCACGCGTATTGCGTAGCTCATCCTGATCACAGTTCTCCATCTCATCCACCAACTGTTGTAGGTTGGTTGCCTCTTGCTCGAGAGAGGCATGCTTCTCCACGAGTAGCGGCACGCTTCTGTTGAGCAGCTCTTCTCGTTCGGATAGCAGATCGTCGTCTGCTTTCATTTCATCCACGTGGCGAATGAGCCCTTCCTTCAGCCCCTCAAGCAACTTCATCCGCCATTCGTACCATGTAGCCTTACTCAGCAGACGGGCATGGGTCTTAACATTTCGGAATTGATTGTCCATGATCACTCGAATATCTGGCGGAGCGGTGACATACTCCTTGAAAAGAGCTGGATTATCGGCATATGTTTCTGCCTCGATGGAACGGATCACTTGTCGACCTTCAGAAATATAAGACTTCAACTCCCGGCATGACTAGAGACAGTGTGAGCGAAAACAAGAGTATGCAGGTATAGTAGAACTTACATGCTGATATAGTTCAAGCATTGGCACTGTACAAAATCCAGCTGCCACGCAATCATCAAATGTTATGGAGCCTGGTTTAAGCATATTCTCACCCGATAGTCGTGTCAGCTTCTTGGTGGCACTGCCAGGGGCAGTTGTGTGCCGTCTTTTTGTCGTAGTAAGTTCCATGAAATGAATATTGGTCATTTTCAGGAAATCCTGTAACTGAATAGACTCAATTTCCATGGGGGGTTCTTCGACGGGCGTGTTCTCTTCTTCTTCTGGCTGCTGAGGATCAGAAGCAATATGGAGAGCATCAATCCCATTTTTGAGAGGAGTTGTCGTGGTGTGGGAAGCACTCCGTGGTTGCTGGGAAGGTGTGGTGCTACCCCTAGGAGGCGATGAGCTAGCAGCTCTACGGACGGGCGAAAGCATTGACCGCCGGACATTGCCATCCTTGAACATCGGTGCCGGTAACCTGACACCTTTGACTGGGCTGACATTGTGGCCACGCAGTCGCTTGGGCGAATTCTCGACTTCATCTTCATCCAGATCCAGCTCAACTGGGCGCTTGCCCAAAACCCCGCGAGCAGCCCCAACATGGAGACTCTTGCGACTGCCAATCCTAGTCTTCTTCGGGCTCATATTTGAGATCATGTCCTTCAAGCTAGAGGTTACGTCCCGATCTGACTGCGAACCCGCGATATGGCCGTCTTCTCGGAGTTCCTCTTCTTCGCGATCACGTTCTTCCTCGGCCTGCATTTGCAGGGGATCCTCGAAACGTACACCGGACCGCGGCTGCTCTTGCGGAACGAACTGGGGCGTACTGTCCCCAAGCGACTGTCGCTTGTCAAGTAAGGCGGCCACTCTAGGAGATCCGAGGCCTTCTTTGTCAATTCCTAGACCAGAAGAGCGACGTCCCTCGCGTGGACGCAATTTGAAGAGCGGGGTCGACTCCCCCGTTGCTATGTTATGCTCGAACAGGCTTTGGCGTAGAGATTTGCGCCTATCTGCTGATTGCTGAAGTTCGGGCTGGAAGAGCTTCTTCGGTGAAGCACTTCTAAAAGTAACATTGCTAGAAGGGGGTGTCTTGCTTGGGGTGGTGGGTTTCGCTTGGGGGGTGGACTGTTTGGGCGGAGTCAATGGCTTGGTGTTTGGCGATCGTTGCCGGCTGGCCGACCCAGGCACGTCCGACGATCTTGGGGTGGAGCTACGCCGGGAAGGCCTGGCCCGCACGGCTGCCAAACTGGGGCTCCCATTTTCGGATGCAACAGCAGCAATTTGATAAGCCAAAGGTGATTTAGTAGGAGACTTGGCAGGAGACTGCCGAACATTGTCTTGGAAAGGCGAGCTAGCAAGCTGACCCGAGTCGGTTTCGAGCTCCATTATCATTTTTGCGTGCACTTTGTCATTGGCTTCGATCCCTGACTGTAGGATACCACCAATCGCACGAGTCATCTCCATGTCCATACCACCGTCAGACTCATTGTCTTGATCGGAGTTCATGTGATCAGAGTTGGAGGCATAAGTAGGCTGGTTGCCCAAGATTTTGCCAACGGCCGAAGTGAATTCCATTGTCATTCCTTCGTCCTCGTTGCCAATTTCAGAAAACTTTGAAGGCGAATCCTCCTGTGCGATGCCACCGACGACATTGGTCATCTCCATGGTTTGATCTCCGTAGTCAGATTCTTCTGCCATGGACTGGCGACGAGCTGTGCTCTGGCGACGGGCGGGAGACTTGCCAAGAATGCGTCCTACGGCATTCGTCACGTCCATGCTAAGGTCCTCATCCTCATCAATGTCATCTGATTCTGGCAAACCTTGGGTGGTGGTATCCTTGGATGGATCAATGTTCTCCTCATCATGTCGTGCGCTAATATCTCCCCAGTCAAAGCTTTGTCTTTGGCCCTTTTTGATCCAGGGTTGGAAAGCACCAGTTATTTCTTGATCCGCAATTTCCATTGACATCTCTCCGTCCTCATCGAGTTCGGTTCCTGCTTCCTTTGCGGCCTGGCGCAATGCTTCGTTGAGTCTAGCACTAGAGCTTGAGCTAGAAGTTGCATTTGACTGGACACTGACGCCTGAGCGCGCGGTCATATCATCCATGCTCATTGCAGTGCTATCGGCATCAAATCCATCGTCGGACCCTGAAGAATCGCCATCATCCTCCTCCTCTCCATTCAAGCTTTGGGCGCCGGTGTCTTCGCTTCCTGCCGAGCTTCCGCTGAACGGACTAGAAGATAAATCCCGGAGGCCATCGTCTCCACCTCCTGATGAGCGACCTCTTATCTGGTCCAGGTCTTGTGTACGGACCGGGGAGAATCCAAATTCGGAGTCTGCTGGCGAAGATGGAGCATCTTTGGTGGGCGAGGGAGGGGCAAGTTGGTTCTGGGGGTTTGCGGCAGCAGATGCGCGTCGCGTTGAGTTCGCGGCAGAGGAGGAGGTTGAGTCGTCCGGAATTTCCACCACATTCCAAGTGTGTAGGGTTGCCTCGGGGGCAAAGGAGACTCGGCGATTTGCTATATAAACGTGTCAATATTCACTTCTATGATAAAGTTAAACACACGAACCCATTGATTTCCTCCGCGCCGCTCGCTTCTCTAGGATATTCTGTCGTTCGCGATCTTTGCGCTCCTGTTCATCGCGCTCCTTGGTAGCAGCCATCTCCTCGCGAATGGCAGAAGTCGCATTGAATGTATCAAAAGGGTTCGCCGTGTCGTCATTGTCATTATTTGCCGTAGGGGGTCCTGGTGTTGCTTCAAAGTCAATCAAGAGACCGTCTTTGCCTTGACTTCTTTGGCCATGTGCGTCCATCGTGCCGTCATGGGTCGGTTGTTCACTACGGGCGGGTGTACGTCGGCGTGTTTCCTCGAATGTCGGAATGGTTCGTACTGGAGAGACAGGGACTGTAGGTTTGAGAATGGACTTTAATGGGAAAGAAGCCGTAGACTGTAAATATTTGAGTCAGAATTGTTTGCATATGCGCACGTGGTATTCCATTGGTAGCTACCTGGCGACGATTGCCGTTAGAATTCTGGAGGGCATCAAGTCCACCGGGTCCCAAACTCTTGCTCCGAGACTTCTTGTCTTTCATAGCAGGCTTTGTATTATTCGAAAATGGCTGAGCTGCGCCAATTTCAGTTGTCGCATTCTCCTTGTCCAAACCAGACGTCATCCTAGACCGCGGGACATGAGCGATAGACCGACGAGTTCGTGGCGGTCGCAAAGCCGCAGAGTCGGGTCGAGTGGACATTGTCGGCGATTGAATCGGCACATTCACAGATCAGTTCAAGATTGCATACTCCATAAATCCGAACATTGAGATCTCCAGATCAAACAGGACTGAGCCTGTAATCTGCTCCTATCGCACCTGCCCAAAGCGCGTTGCCTCCGCAATCACGTGATGTAAACAAAAGCGCAGAGCCCTAACCCCAATTAGCCTAGTCCCGATCGGGACTAGTGTCGCACACTACGAATTACCAAAGATTCCGACGGGCAACGAATCTTCCTCATCTTCGACAGCCGCCAACCCGACCTTTCTTCGACACCGCTTCCTCGTCGAACAACACCGCAAAAATGGCCACCGAGTTGACCGTCCAGTCGGAGCGCGCTTTCCAGAAGCAGCCTCACATCTTCCTTAACACCAAGGCCAAGGCTTCGTCCAAGAAGACTGCCCAGGGCCGCCGCTGGTACAAGGATGTCGGTCTCGGTTTCCGTACCCCCAAGACCGCCATTGAGGGAACCTACATCGGTATGCACGACCTGCCATGAGTTTTTGTTCGAGATATGGTGGCGGAATATATGGGTGGGTGGTCTTTTCACGGATACAAAGGGCGAATGGAGGATCGCATACAGCAAATGAGGGTCCTACAATCTCCGTCGTTTCCCTCTCGCCAATATTCGCATTCAGTACTCGAACTTTTAAACCTCGAAAAGACCACTCATGCCGAAAAAAATATACCCGCATTCACCATTATTGTGTCAGATCAGATTACTTATTTTTGAATCTTTACAGACAAGAAGTGCCCCTTCACTTCCCAGGTCTCTATCCGCGGCCGTGTCCTCGTCGGCAAAGTCGGTGAGTTGAATCAGGACTGTCTTTTTAAGAGATGAGGAGATTTACTAACGAATTAACTACAGTCTCCACCAAGATGCACCGTACCCTCGTCATCCGCCGCGAATACCTGCACTACGTCCCCAAGTACAACCGTTACGAGCGTCGCCACAAGAACCTGTCTGCCCACGTCTCCCCCGCTTTCCGTGTTGAGGAGGGTGACATGGTTACCGTCGGCCAGTGCCGTCCTCTCTCCAAGACTGTATGTCCATCTGTGATCCTTGTCAATTTTTCGCCACTGTTGGTAGTCTGCGAAGCCACGCACTATTGCACTACTGCCGCATACCGAATTTGGCAGTTCATTGTTTTGCTACGAACTTGATAACTGACTTGAATTTCTCTATAGGTTCGCTTCAACGTGTTGAAGGTTCACGCCAAGACCTCCCGCGCTGTCAAGTCTTTCTCCAAGTTCTAGGTTAATCAACCGGGTGTTTTGAAGGCGAAGGAAGCGGTATGGACTGGATATACGGGAAGTTCTTGGATGGGGGTCGGGATAGTTTATGAGTTTCCATGTCCCAGATACCTCGCTGATGAATGTGTATCCACGCAAAAATCAAAATGATTTGTTCGGCCCTCCTGCGATGGAAACTGTACAACAACTCTGGTACAAGGCAAGATTGACCGTGGATGGCAATCTGGACAGAGCAGCCTCTCAATGCGCATCTCGAGTTTATCTCCTGCTCTTTTAAGTCTTAACATTGATACAGTAGGACCCTAGTATGTGTTTTCCACGGTAATGGCAAATCACATATTCAATGGTTGTTGGCTGTCTGTAGACGTTGTTTTATCTCATTTTGGGCATTTATTAGATATATTACCTCTGTTGGTAGCCCTACAGAGGTAGCCCTGGATTACACAGCCGGCTTGCATAATACATACATATGGACCTCCTCGGCTAGGAAGGTAGAATCCTGAGTGTGCCCACTTTATCTGTTATCAAAGGTTATGTATAGGAAAGTCTCTTACAAAGTATCCTTTGGTTTCCGCCTTTTTCAGCCATCTACGTATAAAACTAACAAGAGGGAGAAAATATCTTGAAGACATCTGTGACTACTAAAAAGACATCACTAGGCCGCATACGCGGCCGTCTACTCTTGTTTAAGTATGCATCTACTATGCAAGTACCTACATTACATACATTGTCATGAAGTATCACAAAGGTATATTGACATATTGACATGCTGGATATGGGCTTCTTGTCTTCGCATGCCTGCGCCAAACAAAGATTGTTTGATGTTCTCTTTTACGCCAAGCATGGATTACCTCTTCGTGAGCTTTCACATATCATTATCAGTTCCCACGCTGAGACCAGTGCCGGAACTTTTCGAAGAAATCCATATCCGTCTGACCATTGAGTAAAAAATGATTGGTCGTCTTTCTCTCTGATTTCAGTGGACGGATCTTCGTAGGCGTGTCGGGATACATGTATGGATCATCATCCGACGGCCAGTCCCGCTGCAACGCACGCTGGGAACTACTCTCTTCGTTATCAGAGGTGAGATCAATCACATCTTGGTATTGTGTCTGCTTCAAGGGGTCCTCGGCGCCATACTCCTCAGGGAAAATCCCACTAGACAACGTCTCATGTGTTGAGAAATTCCCATCGTCTGCAGTCTCCGTCTTGTCACACATCGAGATAGATCGAGACTCTACCATGACTTCCGACTCAGACGTGCATACTGAGACTTCGTCGGTCTCAGCGGGTTTGTAGTCTTCATCAGAACCCCAGTTCGATGAGAAATGCATCTTTTGAGGGGTCTGCCTAGGCGTCTTTTGAGGTGTGGGCCATGGAACCTCACTTTCAGAATCTACCAACTCCTCGAGCAGATAAGGCGGTCCACTTCGAATTCCATTAAGAAAAAGAGCGATCTCTTTCTTGTGCCTCCAACCCCATGCCTTAAAAAACACATTTGCCAGATTCTCCCAGTAGATCGCTGGGACTTGGAGAAGAGTGAGTAACTTCCCAAGCGTTCGACCAGATTGGAAAGGCGACTTTCTTTTCAATGCCAGCATCTCGCGCAGCTTGGTATTACAGCGTGGAACGCTGCTAATAAGTGGAAGCTGGAGCAAACGATTGATGTCCCGGTGGGACTGCGCGACTTGTTGGAGGCTGGCAATCTCTACAGTGTAAGCAATTGCCTGGGATGGGATGCTACCCCATATGAGGTACTCCCCGAATCCCCTCCAGCCGCCGCATACTAAAGTCCTCGTCCGAATTGCCAGCGGACAAGCGTAAAATACTTTAGTCTCCAGCTTTGACGTGTCGATAACGGTCAATATCGCGCCGTTTTGGCCGGCAATCGCACGGTGTAAAGGCGCCAGGGGAGACTGGAAGGTGGAAATAAACGGTGTTCTGACCTTCTGCTTAGTTACATGGCTCCGAAAGAAGCTTTCAAAGCGGCTCTCGGAAATATTTTCCGGGTTGAACCATTCAAAATCACAGAAAACTCCGGCAAGAAAGCGTGTCTTTGAGTTGACTCCTTGGGAATCACGGTTGGACCAGCGAAACAGTAACGGTGGCAGTTTATCCTGGGCAACTCCTTGCATGGCCAAATCAGGGTCAAGGTGGTAGTCTTGTCCGTGGGAGTGCGTTTGGCCTTGGTCATGATGCTGCTCGCCGAAATATTGGTGTTCTTCATGTTCCGGGTGTTCTTGATTTTGAGCTTGGGGCTGTTGGCCTTTGTGGTGCTGCTCCGGGACCCAATGTTGGTGCTCTTCGTGCCGATGCTGAGGCTGTTGGCTTTGGTCAGAGTTGTTGTTTTCCTCGGGATCATTGCTCATGGTGCTCTGGTCATCAAGACCATCCGCCTCGTCAATGGTCAGCCCATAGCTGCACCAGAGACAAGACTTCCCATGGCTTGTAACAACCGACTCGTCGGTTTTCATGTTGTCGATCTCCTCCAGGTGGTCGATCAGTTCTTGGCTTTGGCCGACTCTCATCGTGTCGCTCTCACTGCTTTGGTCCCCACTTTCGGCAAAATACCGACTCCTTTCCTCTTCTCGCTGGGGTAGTGGGAATGGCATACGGTGAGGTGTTTCGCGAAGAGACTCAGCTCTCGGTCCCAAGGCCATTGTTGCTCGCGTCCCCCATTGAGTTGTGTCAATGTCATCTTCTGTCTTCTCGAGAAGAGGAAGACGCAAAGTGACTGCCGTAAATTGGATTTTCTGAATGATCGTCTTCCATTCTCCGTCCATGTTAAACTCAGTGTCTCGATGAACATGAGACCAGACAAAGCCCCCAGTGTTTCTCATCCAGCTCCATTGTGCGTGGAGTGTTGTATCTGGAACAACCTGATTGATCCCACGTTTTCTCAAATTGTCTCGGAACATCGAGAAGAAGATCTCCTCTTTCGCTTTCTTGTCACATCGGAAGAATCGGTAAATGCAACAAAGAGCCTGGCGCATTGGGATGTCCCATCGAAGCTTCGGCTTTCTAGGGGGGGGTTGGTTCTCCATTTTCAATGAATGAGAAGTGCAAGGGACAATATCTCAAAGGAGTGTAAGAGGTAAAATGTTGGAAGGAGGAAAGCTTGTTCGGGGTGGATAACCGAAGAACTTGGTCATGTATAAGGTGAGGGCTGGGAGTGATTGAAGAGGGATGAGGATCACAAGGGTAGGGAGAAGGGAAAGTAAGAGTTGAAGCAAACGAAAAAGGAGTGGTAGCCTTGAGACTCGGAGTTGGAAGAGAAAAGAGAAAGATCTCCAACTCATCCCTCGAATAATATGGGAATATCTTCGGTCCCATGTAGGCGACTATATCCTCTTCCAAGGACTAAGAAAGAACGAGGCTGATTTACTTTATTTAGCGCAGAAAGAAATCCAGTCTTGTTACATATCTCTTGTCAAAACTGCCTCTCATATTAGGAGTGGAAGTTGAAGCCCTCACTATTCTAGGCACGCAATTCGCCTCGGACAGATAAGACAAATGTGTACAAGATGGTCGCTTTTCGGCTAGAGAGGTAAGTACCTGAGTACACAAACTACTGGTATTCATTATAAGCTTGAGAATCAGAATCGTATAGACCTTTATTATAACCTAGGGCTAGCTTGGCATTGGCATAACCACCAAGACCAAGTGGATTATATATATACATCTAGATCTATGAAAAAGTAGTCTTTTGATTGCCTAGTTGGCCTATACTATAGCGTGGAAATATGTCTTTTCTATTTCCCTTTCCGTTCAATCAAACTCTTTGGAAAAAAAATCCCCCCTGATGAAAGGTTGCTTTGTCGTGTTTTCCTTGCAAATGCAACGCAGGTTCCCTCCTTACTATAACCACGCCCCGGCTTATTTCTGGCCACTGGATATCTACATTATATTTTATTGGCAAATATAGTCTGGCTACTAGATAGATAGGGCTGTGATCTTCAATATATAAATATTATGCCTCAACCAAAACAGAGGAAGTCCTGCTGATATACATAGATGTATAGAAACAGGTTTACAAGATTTACTTACTATTACCAATAACTGATATATTCAAGACATTTACATCTAGCTATAATCTATATGGCCCTTAATCTTTCATATATATTCTAATATCCAAGTCCGATATAATATATATCCTCCATATATGTATACTCCGTACTACCCCGTGCACACGCGGAACTGCCAACATGCGCTAGTCCCAATTTGGGTTGCCTCTAGGAACACTCCGCCTTAGAGTAACTCCCTTTGCCCTCTTACTATTGCTCTTTGCTATCCTTATCCCCTCCATTTGCTTCGCAGCCCATATTACCTCTGTGGTTTTTAATTTTCACCAATCCCTAACCCGGCAATTCCGATCGGACTTTGAACTCCTCAGAAAACCGCCCACTTCCCCCCCCCGGCTTACAGCATGGCTCAATGAGCCACGTCATGAGCGATACGGATGATTGAAGATTTTCTTGGACACTACAAGGGCATTGATTATTGGAGCAGGCTCTCCAGTCTTTTCTCACTGTCTTTTGATAGATTTGTATTCTCCTGAGCCATTGAGAAGTCGGGCACCGATTCGCGACTTTGAGAATGCCTGGAGGATTTGAGAAGTCAGTAAAAGGGGCCACGAAGCTCAAGGTCAGTCTGAAATGCTAAGCTCATTTCTTTCTCCATGTGACAATTATTAACTATCTGACATGGACAGCTTGCGGCCCCTAAATCCAAATACATAGAGAATATTCTCGTGGCAACTCATACCGGCGAGGCAGGAGTCGCAGAGGTATTCCGAACCCTCCAGATACGACTCAGAGACTCGGCATGGACCATTGTTTTCAAGGCGCTCATCGTCCTACATCTCATGATCCGAGAGGGTCAACTGGATGCTGCGCTGGGATACTTGTCCGATAATCCAAAGAAAATCGCGCCCAGTAATTTCTCTGAAGGTTAGACCAGTAGTCTCCCTATAGGGATACGAGCGCAACTTACTAATGGCTTTTTCAGCCCAATCGCAGGGACATAATATCCGACGATATGCCGAATACCTTATCACCCGTGCCAAGGCGTTCGATGCCTGCAAGACGGATCATGTACGAAGCGGACCGGGACGGCTGAAGAGAATAGGCGTGGACAAAGGTCTGCTGAGGGAGACTGAAATTGTACAGAAGCAAATCCGTGCGTTACTGCGGTGTGATGTGGGTGAATTCCGAATTTGGGTCTTCTTCTTTGTGCCTGACATTATATAGCTATTGACGGATGAGCCCGAGAACGAGATCAGTTTGACCGCGTTCCGTCTCCTCACACTTGATCTATTGACTCTATATTCAGTCATGAATGAGGGCACGATCAATGTTTTGGGTAAGTCGGCAGCCCCTCCACAGATCGGCATTGGTCTAACATTGAACCCCAATAGAACACTATTTTGAGATGTCGCGGCCGGATAGTGTACGTGCCCTGGCAATCTACAAGACGTTTACAAAACAAACGGAAGAAGTGGTTCAGTTCTTGGGAGTGGCAAGACATTTCCAGTCTGCCACCCGCCTGGAAATCCCGAAGCTTAAGCATGCCTCCACAGACTTGGCGCGCCTTCTCGAGGATGATCTCAACGATCCTGATTTCGATCTTCGCCGACGGGAGTACATGGCCAAGAAAGGTGTACGCGTTCCACCGAGCATGGAAGCCAGTGCGACTGCAGATGTATCAAAGCCAATGCCGAATCCCCCGATGTCGAACCAGGCGTCAAACCCACCTAAGCAGGCCGAACAACCGAAGCCACCTCCTGTGGATCTGATCGACTTCTTTGATTCAATTGAGCAGAATCAGCAGCCAATGGAGCAACAGAACTCAATGCAGTACCAACAAACAGGGTTCCAACAGCAACCGCAACAACCATTCTACCCCCAGCAGACTGGCTTCCAGCAGCAACCTCAGGCGATTCAGCAGCAGTCTTTGGCAACTGGATATGGCCAGCCACCCCAATATGGAGCGCCTTATCAAGCACAGGGCGCAAACAATCCATTTGGGCAGCAGCAACCACAACAGCAGCAGCAACCGCCGCAGCCACTTCAAGCTATGCCAACTGGCGCTGGATTCGGAGGGTACTCCCCCAGCCGCAGCAGTATGGGCTCCAGTCGCAACTGGCTCCTATTCCTCAGCAAGGCATTGCGTCTTTCCCTCAACAACAGCAAGCACCTCAGACCTTGCAGCCCTTGCAACCCCAACACACCAATCCGTTCCGCCAATCAATGATGCTCAACTCTCCCACCGGCGCTCAGCCACCCGCCGCTCCTCTATCGCGACAGAACACGAACCCATTCGCGAGACGACTCTCCACCGCAACCCCGCAATACACTCCCCCAAACGAGCAATTCCAGCCTACGCAATCCCCACAAGTGCAGCAGCTTCCTCAGCCACAAGCGCAGCCGATCCAGCCCCAGCGGACGGGAACCAATCCTTTTGCGCGAGCTTCTCCTGCTCCTCAGCAAGCTCTACAGCCCCCAGCAGCTGCTCCCTTGCGGCCTAACCCAACTGGCAGCACCAACCCTTTCCGACAGAGCCAGTTTATCAATCAGCAGACCGGGCAGGGTTGGCAAAATAGTGGGCAGAGTGGTACAATGGGTGGATTAGAACAGCTGGACACGGTGCCAATCTTCCCGCGCCCCGGCATGACCTAAACCCCAACACCATTTGCATGGCCTTGGAACGCAACCAATGTCCGTTAGATTATCTTCTCTTAACTATCTCATTTCTATCTCACTTGTTCCCCACAACCTCCGCATTGAGTAGACGGAAGTTTCCGTGTACTCTCTGATATTACCTACGTTGTACATTGTATGTTGTATATTGTAAACCTCAAATCATGTACCTAATGACCTTGCCTCGGATCTAATATTGAAGGCAATACAATCAACAAGTTTGATCAAGAACTTACAAACTGTCGACATGCGATAGTTGTGAGGATTCAGTCGTACCGTCTCGGGGCTATATGTCTCTAGCAGGTTCCAGCCTAGTGCTGACAGGGGGCGGAAAATCTTGACTTGACGTCTGGGGCCGTTAGAGATATTCAATGACCTCACAGGGGGGGGGGGGGGGGGGTCTAGAATGCAGATCATCTAATACTATATCGGGTTATGTATACGAAGTACTTTGTGGAGTGTTTCAATGTAATTGCGATGATCTTTGTAGATCACGACAAGGTCTCTACACATGTAGTGTCTTTTTTTTCCAACGCCACATGACCTCAGAAAGAATAAAGCTCGGTGAATAACCCCATATTTTCCAAGGTCAAGTGGATCAGGGGATTTATTAGCTTAGCTCTAAAAAAGGGGGGAGATTGTTGTGATTCTGACTAAAAGGAAGAAAAAGAATGCCTAAAACCTCTTAAAACGTCTAAAACGTCTAAAACCTCCACATCCTTTCTAAATCATCCACAAGTTCCACTAGAGCTCTTAGCGGGGCGTGAAGAATCCCAATATTTCTACCCCGCCGGTCCGGAAAGGAAGTCTGTCCTCTTCTAAACCTCCATGCTGTCCTAAGATGAACACCAAGGACTTACCGGGTTACGAGCAGACCTTGCCCGTGCTGTCTCGGCCACCGGCTGCTTGGGCCGATCCGATCCACTCGCCCTACGCTGCCATCCACTTCGATCCCATACCTGTGCAGCCCGTGACCTCACAGACTCCTCTAGCTCCTCCAGCCCTTCCAGCTCCGGCTCTTCCAACGCCTTCTTCCACAGCCCCCAGTCGCAAAACAACCAGGGTACGCAAACCCCGTAAAAATACCAATGTATCCGCGGGGAAATCGACGTTGTTCTGGGTCAACAGTGATCAGCAGACTGCAGCGGCAGGCACAACGGACGAGACCCTGAAGCGGATTCGGTCTCATGTTATGTCCGAGCATAATCGCAAGAAGCGAATGGAGAGCACAGAAAAATACAATAAGAGCAAATGGAAGCACGCGCCTTATCGGCCACCGACGACGAATGCTGGGGCACTCGTACCAGCTGAGCCCGTCCGTCCGTCTATTAGCTCGTCTGCCAGCTTGTCCGGCAGTCAAATCTCAGATGAACAAGAGCTAGAACAGGTCGAGGAGCTTGTTACATCGACAGCCGTGGGATACCCTGCCACCCAAACTGCAACATGGGATGACTGCGACTGTGGCGGGACGATGGTTTACCCCGCTGGACCGTCTGCATGGTCTTACGTGGGGCAAGGAGCTAATGATCCTTTTCATACTGGACATACGCAGCTCACAGATAGAATGATGCGACACCTGCGAGTCTGTGAGTGTTTCTTGAGCCTGATCATGATATGGTAGAGTTTGCATACTGACACGAGTATAGTCCTTTGGGATCTGACACAAGAAGCACATCCGTTGCAAACGCGATACAAGCCCAAACTGCAGGCACATTGGGCGTCCTTGATTCAGCAGGATCCAGCCATTCTGCATGCCACAATTTGTATGGCTACTTCCAATGATGCTATGCGTGCAGGCGAACTACCCATCCGAGATCCAAATCAAAAGCGGAGTCAGTTGGTGATCGACACGTTCCACCATCGTGGTGAGACTATTCGATTGGTCAACGAGGGTCTATCAGACCCGGTCAAGGCTTCCAGTGATGTTTTGATTGCTGCCGTTTCTACCTTATTGACAATTGAAGTGAGTATATACGAATCAGCTTGTGATCCCCAAGGCTAATACATGATCGTAGATCGCGTCGGGGAATCCTGATTATCTCAAAATCCATTTGGCGGGTTTGCGACAGATGATCGCATTGCGAAAGAACTTTGACGATGTTCCTTCAGACGTCCGGTTCCAGATCTCATGGTTGGTATACCCCTTCACAATTAGATACAAAAGTTGCTAACTTTGCAATTAGGACCGATATCCGAGTTGCTTGCATGGCCCACGCCAAACCCATATTCCCCTTTATCCGCTACACCCGCCCAGCGCGGTTCTCTCTCATCCCGCCCAACGACGACGTAGCATTACTTTCCACCCGCCTCTTCCCTCTACTCAAAATACCCGGCATCTTCGGCGAAGCTATGCCGCAAATAGTATATGATCTCCTCGAACTATCCTGGTATGCAGAATGGATCAAAGGCAACACCGGGTACAAAGAGTTCAACGAGGAGACCGAGGACTACTTCAACACGGAAGTGCTGCACGTAGAATACCAACTGCACACAGACCGATATACAGCAACAGGCCAGGAAAAGGGCGATAACTCCATCGAGGGCTGCACCCGTCTCGCTTTACTGCTGTTCCACAACAGTGCCATCTGGAACTTCTATCCAATGATCGGCCAATTGCTACCCAAGCCGATCCAGGCTCTGCGCATTGCCCTCGAGGCAACTATTCCCTCGGGCTTATTCGCGCTCTGTCGCGACCTACTCATCTGGCAGCTTTTCATGGGCGCGGCTTGCAGTCTAACCCTGCCGTCAGAGCGGGCCTTCTTTGTAGCTGAACTGGGCAATGCTGCGCGACTGCAAGGACTCCAGTCGTGGCAGGAGGTCCGTGCTATCTTGCTGGGCTTTTTCTATGTCGACCGCATTCACCTGCCTATGCTTCGTCAGATTTGGGACGAGTGTCATTTGCAGGTATAACCCCCGGCATTATGAACTTGGCTACTTGGCTCTGCCGTAATAGATCCAGATCCTTAAAAGTTGGTTATATACAGCCACTTCCCAGTATATTCCCAGGCTTTGGACTAGCCATCTTGCTATCTAGCCCGGTGAAGATATAATGCATACATAGCGTTATTTCCAATTATTGACGACTACTCCTCTCCGAAACGGCTACATCCTATCTATCTAATTGACACGGAGTACTTGGAATTAAATGTACTTATTATGTACACCGTATTGCTACCCAATCGCTCAAACCAGAAGGTACAATATACAAACTAGCCCGACCTCAAACAGCCAAGATACCAAGCCCCCTGACAAGAGCACCAAAGCCAAGCCCATCCCGATCAAACCCGACACATACTTGACCTATTTTCGGCATTCACCGCCCATCATTCCACAAAGGTAAGCACGGCATCCCGATATCCGAACAATCTCCGTGCATCCCTACATGCAACGAAGCTGATACGTTGAAGAAGCCCACCGCCGAGCGCACACCGACTTTCAGCCGAGAAACAGTCGGCGTTGGCTCGGTGTTGCGCGTTTTTTTTCTTGATAGAAGCTGCAGCTTTGTTTCCTAGCTTGCTTGGCTTATTCGGTTTCCTTTTTTTTTATCTCATTTCTCTTCAATATTCTCATCGTTGAACTGGAGATAGACATAATTTGTATGAAAAGGAAGTATCTCTAAAAACGGTATGAATATATACACCATAGGTAGGTTTAGAATCCAAATTCTGGCTTATCATCCTGGCAGCCAGGTCTTAGACCACTTGGGCACCTGCAGACCGAGAAAATACCGGAATGAGATCAACACTTATCTCCACTATCGGGTGTCTTGAACCGGAGGCCTACGTAGTTGGTCGAGGTATAATAGATCCGGCTGTTCCAAGAAAAAGACTCATTTCGTGATATATACATACTTCCATATCCCCCTTATTCTTATCTCTAAACCACCCATTTTTGCCTACAATTTCCTACAGTATAATACATCCAGACTTCGTCTTCAAACCTTTTCCCTTTACTGGATATCACTTCATGAATCGCATACCAGGCTATCCATGGCTTGTCGGCTTTTAGGCCTCCCAAGGTCGGGGGGCTTGGCTATTTAGCCATGGGTATACTTGAATGGTGATGATGGATGTTGCCAATGCCTCTTGAGAGCCGCTACTTACTATGTGGTGGATGCATTGCATCTTGGCTCAATTGGCGTTTATCAGCTCGCAACAATGACCTGATTGACTCGCATGCATGGTTACACACAATATGACAGGGTTGGATTGATCTACAATATTTCAGACCAACAACCACCTTTCTGCAGCGCACCCCGTATGAGAGAAGGCAGATGGATAGGATTCGACCCGACCTGACCCCCAAATCCCGACAGTCTACAAGATGAAGCAAAAAACGGGTGAAAGGACAAAACAGTGAAAAATGTTGGATGAATTAATTACACTGTCACAGAAACTGACAGATAAAAGAAACTAAATACAACAAGGAAAAACCAGAGAGCACGAGAAATAACCCGAGTGCTCCCCCGAAAAATTACAACCAGCACACCAAGGGGTGATTGACTGGCGGAGATTTTGCAACCGCCATGAACAGAATATATTCATCCATGCACACAACAGTCAGAGGCGAACAGACGGACGTCCCGAACCACAACACAATCGACAACGATCAAACGCGTCGATGAGCAGCGGCGAACAGGAACGGTCTAACAGCAGCCTATACATACAACACTGGGTATCGAAAACATTACAAGCACCAAGCGGGAACTCCACATCCGCATCTCTTTTCTAATAAGAAAAAGAAACAATTTGCTTATGCTTGCTCACGATCAGTCTTACCACGGCGGACACGGCCAGTGGGGGACCAGGGGAAGTGAGCGACGGGGATGATGAAGAAGCTGTTGCTAGTATCGGCGATACCGGCAAGGGCATTGTACCAGGCGGCGAAAGCAGCCAGGAAACCGAAGAAACCACCGGCTTTCTGGATGGGGACGTTGGGCTTGCCGTCCTCACCGCGGTGCAGGTAGCAGATACCAAGCAGGAGGAAGGTCAGGTCCAGGGTGAAGAACAGCAAGAAGAAAGCGACGGTGGACTTGAGGGTGCAGAACAGCATGATGGTGGTGAAGATGAACCAACCCTGTTACGACATGGTCAGCGGGGATGATCTCTTGCAAATCTCGTGTAAAGAGAGAAAGGGGAGGCAAGAACTTACCATCAGGAAAAGACCCATGGAGTTATAGAATTTGGGGCCTGCACCGCCGAGCGAACTCTCGATCTCGAACCCACCGGGGGTCAAGACCATAGCGAACGCGATCCAGAAACCACCGTAGGAGGAGAGAGCAGTAGCACCGAAAGTGTTACCAACAGCCATTTCCCTAGAAGAAAAAAAAGCGCGTATTAGCCGCAGAACATGGCTGGGAAACCCACGAGCTCGGAAGTTACGGTTACATACCACATGCCGGAAAGAAGCTGGACGAGTCCACCGTAACCAAACGCAAGGCCGACCACAATGTTGGGGCTGGCGATATCCAGGGTACCCATGTTGATGGCGCTCAGGACGAAAGTGGTGAGGGCGAAAGCGCTCAGGCCGAGAGGAGCGGGATTGGCAAACTTGCGGCCCTCGACGGACTTGTACAGACCGGGCTGGAACTCACCACCGAAGGGGGGCAAAGATGCCTCGACGGTGTTGACGTGGGCGAGGGGTCCGTAGCCGAAGCGTGCGGCGGCGCGTGCTACCTGGTGCTCTTCGGCGGACATCTGGGGCTGGATGGGGGCGCCGCCGTTCACGCCGTTGAGGCCAGAGGGGCCCACGTCCTTCTCCAGCTCTTGCTGGTTGGTTGCTTCAGTCGCAGACATGATGCAAGATTTCGTATCTGATGATCGTTAAAAAGGAAGTGTAAAAAGACAAAAAAAAAAACAAGAAGTATATGAAGCCCTATAACACAGTTATAGGGATGGGAAAGGATGCGAATCAAGCACGGCTCTTGAGGAGGAATGGGTAGAAGGAAAGTATTATACCCTTGAGTCTCCAAGGGCACAAAGGCAGTGCTTTCTTTCCCTTGGAAAATTGGAGAGAAAAAAAAGGGTGGAACCAAACTTACATGGTATTTGTATTTCGGTTATATTACATATAAAAAATGATGTGCAGCCGCCAGGACCCGTTCCCACTTTATGGAGAAGTTAAAGAGGTAATATAAAGTGGAGAGAAAACGAAGCGAAAAAAAGAAAGAGATGTCGGGGGAATGGTCATAAATATACAAAAAATATAATTGAACGTGTTCAGATTTTTTTTTTTATTTGCTGTTTTACAGGGATCAGAAAGTTATTCCATCTAGCACCAATGTCAAACTAGCCATGCAGGGACGGCACGGAGGAATGGGGAATACATGCGAGGACAGTTCACTGCCTAGGCAATTGACAGGCAAGGATGAAAGGAAGGGGCACGGGGAAAGTGGAGAGACCGAAAGGACCCGGGGGAACGATATGATTGGTAGAATTCATTTGAACATTGATGACTTGCTTGACTGCATAAATTCCATACTGAGTTCTACTATATAAAAACATATCAATTCTATGTAAAAATCTATGTACGGAGTACTCCATAGCCCATACGACTTTACATATTATATAGGCTTATAATAACCGGGACCCCAGAGTGTTTCGATCATCTATGGATCTTCTTGGTCTGTCCCATGGACAGCTGTATCACCCGCAAATTTAGAGTCTGGAGTTTAGGGCTCATTAAGATTTCCATGATCTCCAAGAGTCCACTTTCTCTGTACGGAATATTGAAGTACGGAGTACTCCGTACTTCGTACATGCATACATGTACAGTACTTGCAATGGAGAGACAGAAGTAGACGATACTTGCTGAGATCAGCAGATGCAAGGGTAAACCCCGGTACCGAGTACTCAGCCGAGACTGTGTCACCTCGGTCCCATTATGGAAGGCATTTTGCCTCTCTTTTCCTAACATACCAATTGGTACCCATGTAACGGATTATGAAATGAATCTTATTCAACAGAACTACAAAAAAAAAGTACTTTACATCAGGTTATAGACTTTTTAGGCTGATATATCCGGATAAAATTACAATGAACTCATAGTGAGTTAAATTTTCCTAATATATGTGCATATTTATGTACTCCATACGGAATAGAATCCGAGTGTATTATACTCCGTACATTGATTGTATTTCCTTTTTCTCTTACTCCATATATCCATTTCCCCCCCACATAGCGCGTCCATCTTTTGCCCCTTTTTTCAGACAAGCACGGATGCACCACTAACAAAGTACCTAACACAAACCAGACCCGCTAGTCACGGAGGTGTACCAGAAACCGCATCGAGCCCGCTCAGTCAAAGATGCATACGTTTCAAGTCTCGGGGAAACGGGATGAAATACCCAAGGTGAAGCGCAGTGAACCCTGGTTAATTTGATGCAGGTTGTTTTGCCGCGTTCTCTCGAATGGGCCATCAGTCCGGGGGGAACTTAGATCGGCGCACGAGGCTCGGACCCATTTGTCCTTGTCCCTTTCGTTTTCTGTTTTTTTCCCTCTCAATTTGTGTGTATGCAAGCCCTTCATCTCCACATGGAGCTCTGCGATAGGATTCCCGGCTGAATGCTGAGAGATACAGTGGACCCGTGGACGTTTGTGGACGTTTGTGGACGTCAGTTCCAGTCATCTTTGTCTCTCCGTCCGGAGCTCCGTGGTTGACTTGAGATTCGGCCCGGATCAGAGATTTCCCCGTTCAAGTTTAGACTATATACAATCTAGCCAGGGCTCTGTATTCTCCTTTTTTTTTGGCTCCTATGTCGTGGCAACGGGGTCAACAGAAATGGTGACAGTTTTTTTAATATCCCTTCAAGGAGCGTGTACAGTAAAATAATGGGCTCCACTCATAAAGTGCAATCCTCCCGCTTGCTAAGCACTCGGCGTAGCTTTGATGAGCTACAATTGGTCCATTCTAGGTTAGAATAATTCTCTGAGTATGTAAGCATTCACCAAAAATACCTGGGCAATAGCTTGGATTTGTGGCGTCGCCAAGTAGCAATAATATACACACACGCCATGAGTTCAGAGATTAGGGTGTTACACATGTAAATCTTCTTGGCCAAGTGGCGCTTTAACTTCCCCCTTAAAGAGTTTATCTTTATTTTGGATGTTTAGCCTGATGAGAGAGACATGGATATATGGGAAAATCAATCTAACAGAAACATGGACTTATCGTTAATTTGTTTGTAGTTTTGATGTTCTCTTCCGATCCAGACCTGGTCCGAGCGCAAACTCAGCTCTATCAATGGTGGCACCATACGGACATATATTGACAGGAAGCACAGCCGTGACATTTCACATCTTAGATTTTTGGCCAATAATAAGTCTCACCTTTTATGCACAGATCAATGATTGCTAGCCGAATGGAGGTACATACCCGTTGACCAATTACCAGATCAAGGTTCTCGCCGAACTCGAGGTGCAAAAAGTATATATATATGTGTACATATGTACCTATCAGTATGCACTGGAAATTTTCTACATTCTTGTTGTAGAGTGTTCAAGGGTTTTTGGCGCTACTCCTTGCTTGATATGGCAAAGCGATGCGGGGATAGCTTCTCATCGTGATGCAATTCCGAAGTCTTGGAACAAACGATTTCGGTGATTATTACACTTGGCGAATTGGCATTTCCCCCCACATTTTTGCTCATCTGATCGTGTTCCCCCCGCAAAACTACCCCAATACATATACTCCACGGTTCTGCCAATATTTCAATCCTCGGTTGAGCATAGAATTTTCGGCTCGGCGGAGCGGAAGTTGTTTTCGGCTGCCAAGTCGGAGAATCCACGTTTGGTAAAACCGTGGTATTGTGGGGGAATTCTATGGCTTAACGCCCAGGCGACGAGTTTTGCTTACAATTCTTCGGCAGTTTGAACGGCGATGTCTGTTGGGGCTTTGTTGCAATCGTTTTCTTCATTTATATTAGCAGTTCTCTATATTTTCATTCATGGACCTGCTTCGTTGTCCATGATATTTGATATTTATATCAGCTGAACCGCTGTGTTGCTAGACCAAAGCAAGGCTAGAGATGGAACCAGACCTAGCAAACAACCGCAGACCCCCAAGACTGTTATCAGCGATATAGAAACTGATGAAAATCCGACACGCCCGGGGGCAGTTCATTGAGTAGGTAAACATGCGACCGGAAGGCTCACCTGTCCACAGGTCCCCCAAACCTCAACCGAGTTTATGAAGATGACGTTTTAAGGACCAAATTATACATATATGCTAGGTTATATTGCAAGTTTACTATATATACATTAAATCTATACAACATCGCTATGCAATCATGACATCAAAACCAACTCGAAATCACGCCGCAGTCTCAATAGCCTTCTGGAACTCAGCACTGAACTCATAATCCGTGTATCCCTTAGGCTCCTTGGGAACATAGAAAGTGTCCCGATCATAAGGCACGAAGGGAATACCCTTCTGAATACGGAACGGCAAGTCTGGGTTCGAAATGAATGGACGTCCAATGCCAACGATAGCATCGTAGTCCGCATACTTGACATCAGCCGCATGAGCCGCTGAATCAGCCTTATACCCACCAGCAATGATAACAGGCGAGGCCTTCCCATAAGCCCGCAGGAAGAAATCCAACTGATCAGTCGATTCCACATCAGCATTACCCGAAATGCGCGACTCAACCACATGCGCATACGCAAGTCCCAGCTTCGCCATCTGCGTCGCCAGATACTCAAACTGCGGCTTGGGATCCTCCATCCGCATCCCCTGGAACGTACTCCAAGGACTAAAGCGGATACCAGTGCGGTCTGCACCAATAGCCTCACTAACAGCCCGCGAAACCTCAATCGCGAACTTCGCCCGACCCTCCACACTACCTCCCCACGCATCAGTACGCTTATTGCATGTATCCTGGGTAAACTGATCAATCAGATACCCATTCGCAGCATGGATCTCAACACCATCAAATCCAGCCGCAATGGCATTGCGCGCCGCCTGCGCATAGTCCGCGATCCATTCGTGGATCTCAGTCTCGGACAGCGCGCGCGGCATAGGCGCGTCTGCGCTCGCTGGCGTCGCACTACTCGACACGAGATCGAATCCGCCCTCCGATTTAAGGAGGTCGGGGCTTGCGACTCGGCCTAGTGCCCACAGCTGCAAGTAGACGTGGCTGCCCTTCGCGTGTACCGCGTCGGTTACTTCTTTCCATGCGGCGATCTGGGCGTCGTTGTAGATACCGGGGACGTTAGGGTACCCACCGGCACGGGGGGTGATAGAGGTTGCTTCGGTTATTAGGAGGGTGCCGGGTACTGAGGCACGCTGGGCGTAGTAGTCTTTCACGAAGGGGAGGGGGGTGTAGTTGTCGTTAGCGCGGAAGCGGGTCATGGGGGCCATGGCGATGCGGTTGGAGAGCTCGACGCGGCCGACGCGGAGCGGGGTGAAGAGTTTGGTCATTTTGGTTTTATGTGATATATATTGTTAAGGTCTCAAGTGGTCTTAGAATACAGAAGTGAATGGCCATGGCTTTATATCTATTCGATCGCATCCATTTGCTTCGTAGAACTTCTTGAGATATCGATTTGGATTAACAAGCAATGTGGAGCCAAGGCAGCCTCCATATGCCCCCTAAAGCTTTGGAACATCAGATCTTTCAGATTTTAGTGTTCAAACAGGACCAAGAGGTTATTCTGATTTGCTGTTGTGTTCCACTCCAGCCCTGGAACGGAGGTCGGGATCGGGGGGATTAATAATAAAGACCCCGAGATACCCGTCCATATCTAAAGTAGGTTCATTGGCCCACTATTGGCTCCCAGGGAAAAACTATTGATAACGTGTATAATGAGTAGTTGGAGATTCTTTGACATTTCAATGGGGGAAGTAACATGTAGAAGCTACCTATGTACCTATGTACTGGAGCACATCGGGACTTGAACAGGTGCAAATATCGCCAAACGCCATCCTCTGGCCCAGCCATGGACTATTGCACAAACACTGGTTCCTGGTATCATAAAGGATTGTAAAAAAATGCAGAACAAAAAAAAAAGAAAATAGACATCATCGCTCCAGGCGACCAACAGTAGCCTCGAGCTGTGCGTTGAACGCCCGGATTTGGTTCAGGAGACCGCCTTGTGCCCCAGGTGCTCGGGAACTCACGTTGGCAACGGTGCGAAGCATATATTCAAGATCTGTAGAAGAGTCCGCCGCAGAAGCAGAACGTTGCTTGTTACGGTCGAGGGCCAATTCAAGGCTGTGAAGGGAATTACTGATCGTGGATCGTGACTTGAGCTATTGTTAGTAGTGTTTTCGCCAGGGTTATTATGGAAAGGTCTCACCGATTTGGCCTTCTCCTCTTCGATGTGTCTACTGCGCACAGCATCCATCTGCAAAGCTATGTTCTCCCGTTCTCGGCGGACTCGGTATAGATGATTCCGTAGATCCATCATCTCCCGTTTAGTCTTCTTCAATTGCACGCCAAGGACAAAGTTGCTATCGAGCATCCCGCTTAGGTCCATGAGGCGGCTATCAAGCTCCGAGCCAAATATCTCGACCGCTTTTCTCTTGCGAGACCACTCTGCACGTCGGGTAGCGTTCGCCTCGTTGGCGATTCCATCCTTGAGTGTATTGAGTGTCTTCTCCAGAGTCTCGCGGCAGATCTGGCTCAATACATCAGCCGGGTTGACACCGCCGCGGTTGGGTATCTTAGCCTTCTGGTGGGTGGTGAGTTCATCGGCGGATTCTTCGTCTCCAGATCCGTCGGCCGTGGATGCTGTACCACCCAGAGAATTGATATTGGCGAGACGGTAAACAGTGACCGGGACTGTTTCTCCACGAGGCTCTCGAGTCTTGCGACGAGGCTGTTCTTGTACAGGCTCAGCCTCAGGTTGGTATTCTGTCTCGTGTTCAGGCTCGGGCTCCACTGCGCGCTTAAGCTTCTTCCCAGGTCTGCCGCGCTGTGACTTGGGTGCTGCAGATTCCGCTTCGGGTTCCGGCTGGTCTTCTGTGACAGGCTCGGGCTCGGGCTCTGGCTCCATCGCGCGACTGGCCATCTTTCCGGGCCTGCCACGTTGGGTCTTGGGTACTGCAGATTCGGATTCAGGTTCCGGCTGGTCTTCTGTAATAGGCTCGGGCTCGGGCTCAGGTTCGGCTGCGTGTTTGGTCTTTTTCCCGGGTCTGCCACGAGACTTGGGTACCGCAGGTTCTGGCTCTGGCTGGTCTGTTGTTGCAGGTTCCGGCTCGGGTTCGGGGACAGTTTCTGCTGCGCGTTTGGCTTTTTTGGCAGGTCTGCCACGTTGTGGCTTGGGCACAGCAGATTCCATCTCCGGTTCTGCCTGGTCTGCTGTTACAGGCTCAGTCTCGGGTTCAAGCTCCACTGCGTGTTTTGCTTTCTTCCCAGGTCTACCACGTTGTGGCTTGGACACAGCAGATTCCACCACAGTTTCCGGCTGATCATCCTTTTGTGATGTTGGCTTGTGACCCCGGCGTGGCCCCGAGGAAGATTCTGCAACATCTGCAATAGGCCGAGGTGAAACATTCTCAGTCTCGATAGCTTCAATGGTCTTCTTGTTAAGCGAAGGTCTCCCACGAGGCCGTTTGGTCTTTGGGACTCCCTCAACCTGGGCTGCCGTGGGCTTATCTTGCGCCTCGGTTGTAGGTTCTTGAATAGCATCTTCCACCTGCAGTTCCGGTGTGTTCTGCGCGGTGGATTGATGCCGCGGGCGACCCCGGGGATTTTTCGTCTTCGTAGAAGGGTCTTGAGATGCCTGGTTGTCTTGCTCTGGTACATGTTTTTTGGATGGCGGAACATCCTCAGTCATCTCGACACCATCATCAGTAGTCGGTGCATGGCTATCTTTAACAGCCTCGGCAGAGCTACCACGTGGTGATAAGGATTTTGTGGCAGATTTATCTTTCTGAGCAACTGAAGAAGCGGTTTGCGAGGTAGCCAGTTTATTTTCCTTGTTTCTTTGGATGCGCTCCTCAGGCCGTGGTGGTGACCGAGTGTTATGTCGTTTCTCGTGTAGTAGCTCTGTGTTTTCAGACTGATTGGCCCCGGCCTGAGCTTCAGGTGATGAAAGCGATGCTTGTGGTTCTTCGGCTACTTCAGGTAGCGTAGGGCTAGACACTGGAGATGTGCCTTGGGTTAATTGCTCTTCAGTGGCTGATGTTGTTGGTTCCATGCCATTGGTCCCCACTTCTATCGGATACTGATCTTCGACTGAGGTCGCCGCAGTGGGTGAGATGTGAGGCCGTGGGGATTGATTGTTCCTTGTTTCTGACGGAGGAGGTGCATATGTATTGGGAGGTTCATGGGCGTCGCTTGTTTGAGACTTTGTGCTACCTGCACTGTTATCAACAGGGGGTGAATCGCCATTCGCAGTTCGCCCACCGTTCCGACGAGAAGGGGTATCGTCTGTTCCATTAGTAGGACCTGGAAAAGGATTAGCACACATTTCTAGCATAGCACACTAGTCGGGTCTATAGCATACTGATCTTTCTCCTCTTGTTACTTCGTGTTTGTTTAGATCTATCGTCGGAGGAGGGTATTTCATATGTCGAGGGCCTTTCTGGGAGCTTGTTGCGCGCACTTCCCGGTGTGCGCTCAATCCCCCGGGCTTGCGTTTCTGGTTGCGATACCTTTAACTGTCGTGGTGTTGTGTTCGGCGCGGTCTGTGTTCGCGGTGGATTCTGAGCTCTAGGGACAGTCGCAATCGGTGCGGGCGCTGGTAATCCAAGCTCTGGGCTACCAAATGAAAACCCAAAATTGACTTCTCTTGCTTTCCGCGTCCTATACCGGCAAATTAGTCTATATGTTATGATTTCGCGGGGTATAGGTAAGGCGCGTACGCAGCTCCACGTTGCCGCATTTGCTGCCGCTCCTCTCGCGCTGCCAATTGTTAGCAATTCCACACATAGATAGTCACAGCACCATGACACATACAGGCTTCCATTTTGGAGGAACGGCGTCAAAAAAGACGCGTCGTGTTGATGGTTGAGGAGTAAAGACGAGCGGTCGGAGCCAAGGCGATCGGAGCCGATCCATTTTTGTGCCGATTTCTCCGCGCTCTTCAACCTTCAACAATCCAGCTGTTGTATATTTTTGATCATTCTTGACTATTATTTCCAAATGGGTTGGTTCTGGGGTGACAAAAATGATACTGTCCAAAAGCTCGATCCGGGGCTTCGTGAATATCTCGAACAGGAGAAGCCCGACAAATATGTGCCTGGTCCCAATGTGAAGCCCCCGACGCCCGCGCAATCGCCCGAACCGTCTGATCCCTCGAAACCGAAAGTTCCTGCAGCATCACTCTACCAAGATGGCCGTTACGCTCATCTATGGAAAACCTACAAGCCGCCGATGGAGCTTGACGAACAATCCGGAGTCGGCGGAGCGTCACGAGTGATTGAAAAGTACAAGGAGCGCGGTGACACGGTGCAGCGAGCAGCAATGGAGAACTGTGCCTTAGAGCATGAAGCCTTGACATACTGTTTCAAGACCGGCAATTGGCGCAAGCAAATTGAAGCTCGGCTGACCATGTGCTCGGCGGAGAATGGCACCTTTTCACGATGCTTTACGACTCAGACTGTGAGTGCTAACTTATAGCTTTCTCCGTCACGTTGATTCTAATATGTTTTTGTTGAACAGAAATTCCTCCAAGCCCTCGGCTACGCAGCTGGCTTCGAATACGACGCCGAAAAAGAGGAGCGCATTCAGATGCACGCCGACAAACTCTACCACCAGATGTTAGACTATGAAAAGCGAGTTAAGGATGCAAAGGCTGCTGGAATTGAGCCACCGCCTATCACGTCACTTTTCAACCCAGAGAAGCCATCGCAAGCCCCGGAGGTCGGCCTTGAGATTCCTGGAGGGGAGACAATCCCGGAAGATCTCAGACCGTCGAAGCCCTTACAGAAGCTCACGCCTCATGAGCGAGAGTTGGAGATTCGGGCACACAATGCGCAGCGCGAACAACACAAGATGTATGCGCAGGAGGCGGCACCCTTCATGAAAACTCAAGACGATGCTCGGCAGAAGCGACAGGAGAAAGCTGTAAGCTGGTTTGGAGAAACTCTCGGCAAGTGGATGTCGTAGAGGAATCTGAATTCTTGTAATTACTATTTTGCTTTGAAAAATGGCGACTGGAGAGGCGTTGGGGTTTGAAGTTCAATTGTTGCATTTTTATAGCTCTTTTCCCATACTTTGTAGAGAGTAATAGTTACACTTAAGTGTACTCTCCGAAGTCTCCTTACTTTATATGCCTCTCTGTCTTTTCTTTTTTGAAATCTGCTTCTCTAGTGCTTACTCTAGGGCTGGATATGTCCACGGGTACATACTAATAGGTAGTGAGTAGTATCCGACACCAAGGAACGAATGAATTTGAATCATAACATGAACATTGTTATAAGCCAGTAAATCCCTAGAGATATAATATTATATAATAAATGAAACATATAACATCCCAATAAAGGAGAATGTCACGGCCTATCTAATCGCCGGTCGCGTTCTCCCGCGCAAACAACTCGAAGCATCATCGTAGAATCACGACTCTCTTCCCTAAACTCTCACCTTACTCCTTGTCGCATCCTTTTATCTTCCATTCCCTATTGAATCACAGTTACTCTCCGTCTTCTTAGTTGACCAGAATATCTGAATCCTCTCCAATTAACCAACACTACCCCAGATATCATCTGCCAAAAAGATACTAGGTTGATCACTGGACTCGCAAATTCTCTCTTCTCTCTTCAGGCCATATTTCCCTACTCGCAACCGGTGGTGCTCAACAAGCTGAGCTGCGGCGCTCGCCATGAAGGCCACCCCGTTGCTCATCTCCTGGCATAATGACAATGCCCCTATCTACTCGGTGCATTTTGACCCCAATGGCAAGGGTCGGTTAGCTACTGCTGGAAAGTAGGTTCTATCTGTCCTTTCAGAATGTTGAAACAATTTACTGACTGCTTTTTCTTTAGTGACAACAACGTCCGAGTATGAACCCGCCCTCCGTCGCCCTTCGCACACCTTGATCTGACATGTTCTACAGCTCTGGAAAGTCGAGTCTACCGGGGAGGACAGAAGAGTCTCTTATCTGAGCACTCTGATTAAGCATACGCAGGCCGTCAATGTGGTTCGCTTCAGCCCAAAAGGTATGTTCTTCTGCGGGATAGCATATGACTGCAAGTCTGACAGATGCAGGTGAGATGCTGGCATCTGCCGGAGATGATGGAAATGTCCTACTCTGGGTACCGTCGGAGCTACAAACACAAGCTGGACTGGGTGAAGATCGTTCGGACGACAAAGAGACCTGGCGAGTGAAGCACATGTGCCGCTCTTCTGGCGCCGAGATCTACGACCTGGCCTGGTCTCCCGATGGTGTTTTTATCATTACAGGCAGCATGGACAATATCGCACGGATTTACAATGCCCAAACTGGTTAGCTATCCTCGGGCAATCCTCAAACAGCTCGGTGAACTAATCGAATTCTACAGGGCAAATGGTACGACAGATTGCCGAGCATTCTCACTATGTTCAAGGTGTAGCATGGGATCCGCTTAACGAATTTGTCGCGACTCAATCGTCCGACCGATCCGTTCATATTTATACATTGAAGACCAAGGATGGACAATTCACATTGACACCACACGGGAAGGTTCTCAAGATGGATCTCCCTGCCAAGCGTATCGCATCCAGTAGTCCTGCACCCCCAGATGTGACTAACCGGTCTCATCAAAGCACTGGAAATTCTATTGCTATTGCCTCGCCTGTTCCCTCGACCCCGGGGACTCCAATGGCTTCCAACCTACCAATGGATCCTCCTCCAGTCTCACACAGTCGGCGTTCTTCGTTCGGCTCGTCTCCTTCTATCCGGCGATCTGCGTCTCCTGCCCCATCTCTCCCGTTGCCCGCTGTTAAGCCAATGGAGGTCTCCTCCCCTAGTTTTGGTGGCCTGGGTGTCAAGAATGCTAGCATTTATGCCAACGAGACGTTTACCTCTTTCTTCAGGCGACTGACTTTTGCTCCTGACGGAAGTCTGCTGTTCACACCAGCTGGTCAATTCAAAACCAGTCACGTATCAGCCACAGATTCTACAAAGACGACAGACGAAGTCATTAACACAGTTTATGTCTACACACGGGCTGGTTTCAGCAAGCCGCCGGTCTCTCACCTTCCAGGGCACAAGAAGCCATCTGTAGCCGTCAAATGCTCCCCGGTCTTTTACACGTTGAAGCAGGGCACCCAACCTGCGAAAAGCATTACCCTTGATACGTCTTCGGGCGAGGAAATGTTCCCATCTCTTCCAGACCCCGTGGTATCGGGAAACCCATCTTTCACCGGCCAACCCCACATGGTCTCTCCATCCTCAACGACGGCCGAGCCATCGAAGCTTCAGCCATCGCCAAAGGCCGCCGAAGACGGCAGCATTGAAGCAAGCCAGAGCTCAGCGCCCGTTTTTGCGCTTCCTTACCGCATTGTATATGCCGTTGCCACTCAAGATGCTGTTTTGGTATATGATACGCAACAACAAACCCCGCTATGCATTGTGAGCAATTTGCATTTTGCTACTTTCACGGACTTGACTTGGTAAGTACTGTTTCTATTCTTGATACTCACGTATTGCTTTCTAACACACAATAGGTCCGCTGATGGGTTAACATTGATCATGAGTTCCTCTGATGGCTTCTGCTCTACACTCTCGTTCGCACCTGGAGAGTTGGGCCAAACGTACACAGGACCAACCTCTGTGACTCACAACGCTGCAACCCCAACCACCCCTGCGACGAATCTCACACCTCTGCTGAACCCAACGCATGCGGCGTCTCCACATGTGCCATCTCCAATCAAGACGAACCATGCGTCCTCGAATAGCACAGGTCCCGCACTACCAGCTAGCCCTGCACGGTCCAACTCCACCTGCTCAATCGCGACACAATCTTCCTCACAGCCAACCCCTGCGGGAGTCGTGAATAATCCTACCCCCACACTTGGGACTGTCCCCTCGGTGACGGCAACGCACTCTGCGCAGCCATCGACACTTCCACTGACAACCCCACCACAAACGCCCATCTCAGGCGCTCCACAAAATGGACACACGACCGGTGCTAGCATTCTGGGCAAGCGCGACACAAGGCCTGCAAGCGAGTCTGAAAGAGAAGAGGGCAAGGAAGACTCAAATAATGCATCACAGCAGCCGCCGAAGAGGCGCCGTGTGGCCCCCACCCTTATTTCGGCAGGTACTGATGGAGCCTCATTCTCGAAGGACCACAAGTCCTAAGTTGAGATTGTGTGTAGTCTTCGGCCTCTTGGGCCTCGGCATGCAAGGCATGGAATGACCAATTTGCTTTGCTAGCTGCCGCTTATGATTCATGCTTTTTTTTCCAGTCATTGCTCATGCTATATCCTCCTCGTCTTCTATGTTATGTACCTGCAATATCTTTGTCTTTGATTTTTTTTTTTCAACAATAGGGTCTATGGTGGGTGGAGTTGTGATAGCCAATCTACCTTCTCGCTCATGTTAACTTATCCCCTTGATATATGCATGAATTGTGGCACGAGAATAAAGAATAAAAATGTATGAACTTTATTTCCCCAGTAGGATCTTAGGGAAACCGTTCAAAACAGCGCTCTCGGAATACAATAGCCATTCAAGTAGGGCAATACCAAAGATAAAACTGCCTAGTGCTTAGAATGTATCAGTCATCTTGCCATTGAAAGCTCCGAGGCTATGTCTGTGTGTCCCTCACTCCGTTGAACAAACAAATATGCCGTAAGTCATATCCCTTCGTGGTCCATCTTCTATAATACATGGGCGACAATAGACCGCATCAATAACAATACTGATAGCCAACCGTAACAAACACTGGGTGGGAGTAGGTTCATTTAGTCTCCTCCCCATTGGACGTGAAACTCGCCAGTTCATCCAGAAAATCCAAAAGTGAACAACCAGGTGGCAGCATAGACCTCGCCTCAGTAGCATGCGTGCTGGTTGTCACGGTGGTAACATGGAGCGTTTTCCCAAGCTCATACTTATCACACCGAGAAGCAGTGGGGGCAACAGCTAAATCATTCGCCCAGCGAAACAGCGCCTCACCACTACGAGAACCACCAGCTGCAAGTAGAAACTCGGGATATCGGATATTGGGAAGATGGTCTAGAACATAGGTGGCAGCTTTCCCATTTCCAAGCGAAGCATGCGGTGGTTCAACCTTCACAGATGTCGTCTCGCGGACGACATGGAAATCTGCACGCCCACTGGCACCATTGATTTGATCAGCTAGCTCGGAGGCCTGGCGAGCGGCCACTTCGTGGTTGAGTGCGCCATCGTAATGAAATGTGAGGGAGCAGCGGCGTTCCTCGATTTGGCTGCCTTCTGTTCGCTCGAGGAAATACTCCATCATCCTTTTAATGCCGAGGCGCCATTTCATGGCGCTTTCGGGCACAAATGGAGTCCATAGATCTGATTCGGGTTCTTGTAGGAAGCATCCATTCTCGGTGATGAAACCAAGCTCGTAGGGGAGTTTTTCGAGTGCTGCTTGAAGCTGCTCGATGCTTTGGTTGCTGATTATATATAAAATGTTCTTGGGGTCGTTTGTGAGTGTTTGTAGTGTTGCACAGACTTTGTTTGAGGGGAGAGATCCCTCTACGCCGAAAGCTGGACCGAAGATTGCGCCGTCTTCCAAAAAGAAGATCCGTGCTGTGGTGGCGAGGTATGCCTTTTTCAAGTCATCGAGTGAAAGCAGAGAGAGGTCGATTGTCTGACGGTTTTGTTGTATTCCGTGGGCTTCTGTGAGAGCATCTTGTAGCCTCATGTGCCATTTTAGAGCAGTGTAGGAATATTTGCAATCGAGCAGGAAATTCCAGTTAAGTTTCCGTTCCGCCGGTGACATCTCGAGTGCGGATTTGATCGCGTCCGCACATTGTTTATAGTCCCAGGGATTTACGAGAAGTTTATGACCACGAAAGATTGAGGCACTACCCACGAACTCGCTGAGAATTAGGGATCCATGCTGATGGAAGCTAAGCTGACCATCTTGGCAGTGGATGAAATCATGGCTAGTCAAGTTCATTCCCTCACGCAGATTAGTGGCCATGAAGATATGTGCAACACTCAAGAGGGCGATGAATTGGAAGTGGCTGATGTCTTGCTGGACTAACACCAAGGGCTGGTGGGTGATGGTTGAATATGTTGCATTGATCCTCATTGCGATTTTTGAAATCTGTACCTCCATCTCTGGGATCTCAGATGCAGATGACATTACTTGGACTAGAACCACCTGTATAGAATAGTTCAGTAGCGGCCGCACGCAAAAAGACATGTTAGTCGACTTACTTGGTCTCTCCATGTTGGATATGTCTTGAGAAAAAGCTCGTATGCAAGAAGCTTCTGCTTAATCCCTCCAGGTGCATCCAACCGGTCCCGCGCTACAATAAGGTATTGCCCTTGGTATTTATGGCCAATGCTGTGTATCCAACTTTTGACCTCGGTGGATTGGCGTAGTGTATAAAGCGATGAAGGGTCAATCCCCATTGGAGAACTCACAGCACTAACGTACCGATGGTTGAGGTGAATTTTATTAGCAGAGACCTCCAGCCTGAGCAGCCGGCTGCAGGATTGCAGAAAGTGATTGCAGTATTCCTCTGTCTGGAATCCAATCAAATTGGCACCCAGAAGCCCATCCAACAGCTCTTTGCGTGGATTCAAACAACGGAAGATTTCGGAGGAAGGAAACGGGGTATGCAAGAAAAATCCAATCTCAGCCTGAGGTAGTCTTTCCCTCAGAAAGCCAGGAAGAAGTAGAAGGTGATAGTCATGAACCCAGATCCTGTCACCTGGCTTCCAGTGCTTGATGATTGTTTCTGCAAATGCCATGTTGAGTTTGAGGTATTGGACCCATGAGTAATCGTCGTACTCAGTATGCCGAGGGCTTTCTTGCATCTGGTAATGGAAAGCTGGCCAAAGTACCGCGCGACAGAAATGGGTGTAATGGCCCTCAAACTCTTTGTCACTCACAAACACAGTCAACGAATCATACACATGCTGGAGGGTCTCAGCGATGTCCATTTTGGTAGGATGTGTCAATGAGTCGGTAGGCATGCCTAGGGTCCCCACCCACATCTTGTCCTTGAGCAAGCTCGACTTTTCCGCAGCGTGGATGGCATTTTGTAGACCTCCATGGCCTTGTTCAGCAGCCTTGACGACCCAGTCAGCATTAGAGAGCGAGACTCGTGTGCTACTGTAGTATTTTATGCCCCATCGATCCTGTGATCCATCCAAAGACAAGTCCCTTCTCGATCCCTGGATTGGGTTTCGACTACTCAAAATGGACGGTGTTGGGGGATCTGTCGCCTTGGATTTGGGCTGATTAAATCTCCGGCTGTGCCCCCCAAGGAATGGCACGGGGCTCACTGGGGCCATGCCACAATCGATCATTGGCAATCGGAATCTCATCTGTTGATCGCCAAGTATATCCTCTGAAGACTGTCTCGTCTTCTGTCGTGGCTCCAGGTGTCAGTGGGAGACACCCCAGGGGACGAGTTTCAAAACAGGTATCCGACAGGCGTCCAACGATAGATCCAGGACCATCAACATTTGCGTGGCTAGATATAGACTCGTTCTGTCCATGCCTGGGTTCTGTCACTTGGAAATCAATGGTATACGGGACGAACCTGGTGTATAATCAGATCTGGAGTTTTGTAGGCGAGGAAGGAACTCACAAAGATGCAATGAAGACCGTCATTGGACTGAATTGTAACCAAATGCAGTGTATATGTTGCAAAGTTAGCCAAGACTAAATTCATGGTGCAGGAAAATCAATTGAAAATCAATTGAACACTGAGGATGAAGGGGCTCAGGGTTTTGAAGAGGAAGGGACATTTAGCTCATCGCTACTGCCATTTGTATCTCGTTCTGTCTGTACTGGGCCTATGGATTTTATAGATGATCTTTTCGTGACTCAAGTAAGTTCGCATTTATTTTAAATCTCTAGAATGGTCAATGCATCAAAAATAGGACTATCTTCATCTTTACCGGAGCAGCTGGCCTACTCACAAAGGCATGACCATTCAATGAGTTAATCAGGCAAAGATGAAGGGTGAGTAAAAACCGGTCATAGCTCTCATAGAGAGTCCAATTACAGAATCCCTGTTAGTTGAAAACACGTGACCCCATCTGTAGATAGTTCTTTTTCTCTCTGCGCGTCTACAGATTTTCCAGAGTGTGTGCTTGCTAGCATTTTCTCTTGTTCTTTTCCTTAGTTCAAAGGTATATGGCAAGAGGCGGGTACATTTAACACGTCACTCGGACCATTTAGGAAATTTGACGTGAGCCATCACATTCAACCTTCCCAAGACCCAAGAGCTTGCGACAACGACAGAACTAAAGTGGATTAGCGCATGACGCTTTGGCCCACCCTAGCCAACGTTGTTATCCCACATATCCCTCGGGTGCCACTTCCGAGTTAAACAAACACCGCATGGAGTAAAACGTCGATCCATGTCAACGTAAGGCCATGCTCAATAAGTCAGCTGCACAGCAAGCCGCCTATGCCGCGTGCGTGTCCTCTCTCTTCTTGCTTGGGGAAGGCACCCCCACCGCATCAGTTTGCCGATCCGGTGGTGTCGCAAGATTGACAGATCTTCGAGAGATGCGGAGGGACGCGCAGGTATTGAATGAGTGTCGACGCGTGGAAACCAGATGCGTGGACTGGACATAGGCTCATGCACTCACGGGCATAGAGGATAGTGCAGGTAGCCTTGGCATGTCGAAACGGCCGAGCCAAGCTCATAGGATACGCCAACAGTCTCGCAGATACAGTCAGTGGACATAAGTATTTGCATCGCCTGTGGGCCCACCAGCTGACCGCCCCTATATATCCATACCGCCTATCTAAAACGCGTAGTATAGAAGTACGCTGGAATAGCACGCGCGCTGCATTCTATAACCAGATAATTTATCCCTTTATATCCCCCCCTCTCTCTTCTCTCTCTCTCTCTCTCTCTCTCTCTCTCTCTCTCTCTCTCTCTCTCTCTCTCTCTTTTCTCTCAAATTTCTCTCAAATTTCTACCCTATGGCGCGGTCCAAAGAGCTTACCCCCGCTATACGTGAGCGTTAGAAGCCATTATTAAGAGTCAGGGGTGGTATACTTACTCCATACTAGATTTCATAGTATGAATTCATGGGAGTTTTTGACCGGCAGTATATTATATAATCAAGGGGGTGTGGGTCCAGACGATGTAAAAACTTGTAAGCTGTGTCTTAGTCTAATATATCATTCAAGCAATAAACTCAAGAGACTCAGGAGAGAAATGAGGTCTTGGCACTTGGCGTCCGGGGATCATTGGCTCGGTCGGCTCGTCGAGCCTGAATTGCTTTGGCTTTTCTGCACTTCTCCCTGTGCTGGCACCGGCGTACCAATTCCATGACAATAGTCAGAGCCAGTGTGAGTGCCTTGCGTGTTGCGTACGAATCGCCCTTTGGTCGTTTAGGTAGTACCTATTGTTATCATTACCGTCAATACCGCCGATGAGATGAGAAAATAACACCAGAAAAATCCCCTCAAATCAAACCTGAGCGATCACCGCAAAAATACCAATTACTTAAACGACCCGGTCTTTTTGCGAAATTTATGCTTGCGCCATCCGAGCTAAGCATCAAAGGATCTTTTCTCGGCATCAGAATTTCGGAGTATAGGGAATATCATGTTAGTAAAAAAACAGCGTCTTAGAAACTTTTGTTACATGTGATGGACTCTTCAACTACTTATATGATCGAACCATAACCCGTTCGATCGCACAGCCACCTAGCATAGCCTTGGAATGTTACTAGGCTCAAACGCGGCTCAGATGAAACGACGGCTCATCGGTTTCCCCAGATACTAGAACGCCTGGACAGTACTGAGTAATTCCCCGAGTTATGCGATGTAATAAATTTCAGGGCTGAATCTCAGAGTTTGTGAATCTAAAAAAAAAATAATATGATTATCTGCATCATTGCGATACAGTCAACGTAACCCTAACTATATTCTAACATTGTACTCCATATAGTCACAGTGGACCGGAGCATGGCTGATTATTAATCTAATTAACCCTCCAGGGCTTCTAGAGTGGACATATTTGGAGAGCCTAATTAAGTATGTAAGAACCTTTTCGAACCCCTGATTCATATGCAGGTCAGCTCGTTTGGTACGATGTATACAGAGCACCGGTTTTGGAGCCGAGTTGTACAACATACAATGTTGATCGACATGACCCAATCCTTTGCCTAACTGCATAGGGAAAATTTTTATATATTTCCGCAACTGGACCCTCACTGTTTCCTAGGGGTTTCTTGCGGGTGATTCAAACGGGTTATTGTGATTGGTGATGGAGGGCGAGTTCCTGCGGGTTATAGTGTTGTACGGAGTATGCGTACAGTGATCCATCAACAGCCCTAATGGTCCGCACATCATAAATGTATTATAACATAGATCGAAGTACGGAGTATGGATCTCACATTCACATTCCTATGGAAGATGGAAGCAAGAATTAGGATCTCACGTTGCAGATATTCATACCAGAGAAGAAGATGCCTTTGAAGCCCCCTATGGACGCTAAGCCTCATCTGGCGCTCAGCACCGCCTCAAGCGGCTTAGGCGGAGGCTCTAGCCCCCGATCGTGAGAAATGCCAAGACGGACGCTTGCGCGTCTCCAGCCTTTCAGTGGAAAAGTGGACGGAAGAGTTGAGCTTTCGTACCTTGGCCGCGCGTTGGTCCTATGCTTGATATTTCCCTTTTTTCCTTTTTTTTTTTTTTTGCTTGATGTTGATTTGGTACGGAGAGTACCGAGTACAGAGCACATGGATGTATATTGTATATACTCTTTTCTTCGGAGTATACCAACCGAACAGACTGGGCACGAGCTTGGATCGCCTTATACCATCAAGGGTATTGATCTTCGATGTTGTACCCAACCCTGACTGTTATATTAACCTTCGAAGAGCTTTAGTGCATGAGCAACGCTAGGGTACAGGGGATTCGGTTGGACTCATGTGTAGTATATGAATACCTTGAATATAGTAAAGATTTGATAAAGTGGTCAAAAACAAAAAAGGGCTATAGAAGCCTTCAAGCCATCGACAGTGCCAAGGAAATGAGCAACGATCCATGAAAATCTGGATGTGGACGTTACGTGTTCACGGGAGCCAAAGATACATAAATTACAGCAATTATGGAAATTACGGGGAAACAGGGTCTTTTTCTTGGCTTTTTTTTTCGTTTTCGCACACGCGGCTTGGCCGCGGGGCCCGTGATTGGGGCCAGATGCTGACGACGCTCGTAATACTTCGTACACTCTGTACTTTGTCTCCTCTCTTTCTATCCAAAGCCCGTCTTTCTTCTCCCTTTCTTGATTCTCCAATAAGAGAGTGATTTGAAAGTGCTACGTCAACTCGGGCGAGGTAGTCCCTTCGTTTACTACTCTCCGACATCCCTTTCTTATCCATCTTTCCTCCTAACCTTGGGTCAAATTGACCTCGTTCGTCCAACATCGATTGTTCGCCCACAGCCATTCTGGATCTCAACACTCACCGTTTTTGAAGTCTGCCGTGACTTCCTCATCGACTATGGCGGACGGCAGACACCCGGCTACCCAGCCTGCCTCGAACGGCTACGACGCCTCTTCTCTAACCCACGAATTCGAGCAGCTGATGCGCACCAAACGACTCAACCGACTTCATGAACCTTCTCGCTCGCGTACTCACTCAACATCACCGTCTCCGATGTCCAGCCCGTCAATCCCTCCACCGCCGTCGCGAGCTCCGCCACCACCTCCCTCGTTAGGCACACCTGTCGCCGCTCCCTCCCCAAAGCCACCTAGCTCATCAGCCCTACGCGGTCTTCCTATCATGCCATCGCCTCCCCAGGATACAGCTTCACTGAAATTTTTTAATTTATTGAAGGGGTTATCAGTTACACCCACTAAGTACGAAAATCCGGGTCTATTGGACGAGGCCTTGTGCGTGATTCCGCTCGATCGCCTGTATTCCGAGGCCGAAGAGGAATCCCAAATTATGCAGGCCCAGGCTGCCAGCGTGGCAGGGAAGCCGGAATGGGGCTACCAAGATTGTGTGATCCGAGCATTGTTAAGGTATGTTGGAATTCCTAGATGGTCTAGACTCATTGCGCCCTTGCTAACATAGCATCATCCAGATGGTTCAAGGGGTCATTTTTCCAATTTGTTAATAACCCTCCATGCTCAAAATGCCACATGCCCACGATCGCCCAAGGCATGACCCCTCCCACCCCCGATGAAACCGCCCGGGGCGCATCCCGAGTCGAGCTATACCGTTGTTCCGATACTAGTTGTGCCGCCCACGAGCGATTCCCGCGGTATTCCGATGTTTGGCAATTGCTGCAATCTCGACGAGGTAGAGTTGGCGAATGGGCCAACTGCTTTAGCATGTTCTGCCGCGCAGTCGGAGCACGAGTCCGTTGGGTTTGGAATTCCGAGGATTACGTCTGGACCGAAGTGTACTCGGAACATCAGCGGCGATGGGTTCACGTTGATGCCTGCGAGGGTGCCTGGGATCAGCCTCGCTTGTATACCGAAGGGTGGCAGCGCAAGATCTCTTACTGTGTGGCTTTCTCCATCGACGGTGCGACCGATGTTACCCGCCGCTACGTTCGCAACTTCTCCCGGCACGGAAGCCCTCGCAATCGCGCCCCCGAAGAAGTTGTCCTGTGGACGATTCATGAGATCCGACGCAAGCGTCGCGAAAACATGTCGAAGACCGACCAACGCCGCCTGATCAAGGAGGATGAACGCGAAGAAAAGGAACTCCGGTGCTACATGGCATCTGCTCTGGCAGCAGAGATTAACAACATGCTTCCACATGGCCTTACCGGTCGCCCCGAGGACCAGAAACACCCAGGTGCTCGCCAAGAGGCCTCAACCGAGTGGCTCGCCGCACGAGGCCATGGTAACTCAGGACCCGACCGTTCCCCCGAAGGACGGTAAAATTACTGCTGGCAAACTGGCATCACATCAACCCTTTGGCTCCTGAAATACCCATATCAGCCACACCACTCATCGAACGATTGTGCGACCTGGATATTCAATATTCCACAGCCCCCTTTTCTCGCATCGGAGGGCTGGCTGGGCGCAGCGACGTTCAAGAAACCCTTGGATAACATTGGTTCTGACTATTAACAAAAGCCACTGCAGTCGCGCTGGGCGACTTCATCCGCATCGCTGGCGCCCAAATGGGCGCCAGCATCCAATGAATGACCATGCTATCTTGACAAAGATTCAAGCATATCCGACCGCAGACTTAGACGAGCAGGCTCCCGGGTCTGCCCGTCCACAATAGCTGGCGATGTAGACCACTTGTTCTCCTGATCATCGATCACACAATTTCTGTCCTACGCCCAAATCACGACATCTCTCCGCACGATATCTTTCTATTTTCTTACTCTCTGAGATACCATACCCGGACTCTGCTTTCCCGACCCTCTTGCATTTAATATGGGTTATAACCGGGGCTTTTTGCTTAGGCTTTGCACGGCCATGGTGACAACGATATCTATCTTTCTCTTTTCTCAATCTTTATCTCTAATATCTTTGGGAACTGCCCGATGGCACATGTTGTACGAGTCACGGATGCAGCTATTTTTCTATGATGTTTACTTTTGCATGTCCTGGCAGGATCGCCACGATCTCTTTCCTTCTTATATACCTGACCACCTTTTTAAGGGTCGATCTCCTTTTAGTTCCTAGTGGGCTTGCACCACCCGTTCAATACCAATATTTCATTTTCTCATACAATACCAGATCAGTTTAATTATGATGTGCAATCTTCCCCGCGCTCTTGCCCAGTGGAGCCAAGTTCAAGTTTTGCCCCTGGCAACATCACACATACATAATCCTCTTACCCCTAAATGTCATTCCACAGTGTACAGTATACTTTCTACCTGGAATGAAGAAACCAGACACGATATCTGGATTCTGTAAGACACGGCACGTGTTTTATTTATAGGTTCCTGGTGGGTCCAGGGTCTCACTTGAATGCCCCGAGTATAGGGGGGAGGTAAGAAAAAGCTAGGAATTTCAATTATAGCATGCCTGGAACATAAGTAAATGCCCGAGTATGGGGCAATACTCCGATCCTAATATGTAGATCTGCAACGGTGCCAAAGACCGAAAAACAAGCAAGTGACGACCTTATGTTGTATAACATCAAGAGACGATCATTGCAACATCATGCATAAAGCACATCACACCATTGCGGATCTGGAAGCATACCTCTCACACCGCTGATATCCAGCAGTCTATGCCCCTCCGCCGAAGATCCACCCCTATGCGGTCCAATTCATGCAAATAATAAGACTGACCCTGAAGCCTCAGTTCCCAGCTACCCCGAGACCCAGAAGCCGTAACCGAATCAACAACGGAAGAAAAAGAACCAGAATCAGACCCCAAGCTCGTACAAGAGTCCTCATCGGAACTAAATCCATCACCGAACCCGAGATCCCTGATCCGAAACCGACCCCCACAATTGCCCCCATTAAGCTCCACAACCACATCATCCCTCTTACAATCCCAATCCCAACCCCGTCTCGAAACAGGCCGAACAACCATCCCCCTCAACGGCTCCAAGAACCCAGCCAATTTCTCAACAGGTTCGCTGAACCAATTGCTCTCTAGAATGAGCACAAATGACCGCAGGGACCCTAGCTGCGATACCGCGCGACATGTCTCGGCCCACTGTGCCCGTCCGGCGGACACGTACACGGCGCGTACGGAGTCTTTGCTCGGTAGCCAGTGGCCTGGGAAAGACCAGCGGAGCTCGATGGCGCGTATGCGGTCCCGGTGTTCTGGTGGGATCGTTGGGAGGAGGTATGGGAGGGTCCAGGGGTTACTGAATTCTAGAGTTGGGAGGGTGTAGAGGAGAGGGATTGACTCGTGGTATCTGGGGGTTCTTTTATTAGTATGGGAGTGGGGGATATGTGTGTGTAGCTGAAATCTCTCTGAGGGGGGTGAGGAGAGAGGTAGGGCATACATTGTACAATGTATATTTTACAGAAGTGTGAGTGGTAAGGGTAAGGGTGGGAGAAAGGGCATGGATATGGATAAATCTGTTCAACCATACATCTGCCGACAAGTCAACGCCAGACTCAGTAGCTTCACCTTATTCCAGCGCACGAGATCAGCGTCTTTGGCCGGCTGGGAGATGCCGGTGCCATGACAAATCTCGCATAAGTTGTTCTGGCGAGTGTGGCGCTTTGGGGGTGACTTCTCGAGTGCACATTGACATACCACGTGCCCGAGTCGTTGCTTGCTGCATTGGATGATGTGGATTCTTTGATCTGCCAGGACAAATCCCCAAATCATTAGCCGAAGCTCCGGTGATAGCCGAGTGAGGAGTCGGCTTTGGAGTTGTGAGGAGAAGGCTATTGTTTGGACACAGGGAAGTGGAGGGGGTTTGTTGCCTGTTTGAGGGTTAGGATATACTTGACAGAAAAGGAAGTGTAGTTGCTTACTCTGATATCGCTGAACCAGCACATCCTCCCAGGAGAAGACTCCTTTCGTACGGGCCATTGTTGATAGCTTTTTCCCCGCAAAAGTCAAAATTAAAAAGACATTGGCAGCGAGGTCAGTTCATAAATAGTGTCAGACCGTCATCTGCTGACCTCTATCGGGCACAACGGCGTTCCCGTCAATCCGGACGCCAAGTAGCCTTAAGGAGTTGGGCAAAGAGTCGGTGAAAAGATAAAGGAGTATAGGAATGAGGTATTTATGTCGGTATATATCCACGGGTATTTGCATAGCTATCTAAGTCTAGAAAAGATAAGGAAATGCGGGAAGAAAATAACTCGGGCTATTTGGAGATCCTCTTTAATGCCCTACCTTGATCTATAGTTAGCGCTAGTTACTCCATAGATGCTCAATGTGTCTCTAGACTAAATTTCATTCAACAATAGCAACTGATTTATATACATCTAGGGATGTCATTTCTATTTCAAGTTAACCTCATGGAGTAAATATTGAACTCCCCCTGCCGGGTGAGGCTGTATCTAAGCTGCCCATTTTATGACAGCGTTCAAGGTCAGGCTCATAATAGATGATAAATATACGGGGAAAAAATCACAAAATACAAGATTTATTCTATGCGAGCAGCAGCAAGGCGGGCAGAGAGACGCAAAACCCTTGAGTGATCTTCTTTAAACCCGTAATCAGGGTCGTCGGAGTTCGATTCGGAGATCTCTTCGTCAATAATCCTTATATCAGACTTGACAGGGGCCGGCTTAGAAGGTGTCGACTCCTGCGGTGGGGCTCCACCTGATTTTCGACGTGAACCTTTTTTCATTGGAGGCGGACTTGGGGTCTTGAAATCCATACAAGGGGGTGGTAGCGCGACAGTCTTGGTCTTAAAGTTGCCTTCCTCGTTATAAGGTGACCTATGGGCTTTAGCGAATTTAACCCACTTGTCGAAACTCTTCAATAGCGTTTCTCTGTTGACTTGGAGCCATTCCTTATGACTCTTATCACATCGATTGCATTTTTCCTTGAGCCGGTAATGCTTCAGGGAAAATTCGGCGATGATAAGTTGCTCAATCCGACGGACATAGGGTATGTAATCACTCGCCACTTCGCTGAACTCTTCATAGCACCGTCTGTGTTCGCCAAATCGCCGCTCAGGCTTTGTGGTATATCCGATTTTGAACATTTGTGGTTCTCGAGGGTGAGAGATGAGATAGATGTGCCCAGGGTTTCTGTCGATTTTTCCAAGGGGCTCGAGCAATTTACCAGTCACCTTGAATTGTACGCCGGCTTTGCCGCTTGGTGATGTTTTGGAGCAGAGTTCGAAGTCTGTTCCTGGCGGTGGAACAGAAATAGAAATGATCGATTCATCTTCTAAGCGCTCGACGAGATAAATTTGCAGCTTGCAACGCAGTTGATGTCTCTTTTCATCGTTGTACAGCTCCTTTAACCATTGGCTCTTGGCTTCCTCGGAATTTTGGCAGTGACGCTGCCGGCAAAGACAGGTCTTGATCAATCGCCCGAGGACCGCATTGAATCCACCATCTTTGTCGTGCAAGCTGTTCTCAGTGTCGTTAAGGATGGTAAACAAATCACCAAAAGATTCTTTCAGACGTTCGAGGTTGGCGTTTGCAATTTTATTGAGGCAGGGCTTTGTGTCGTCTTTGAGCTGCGCGCATGTTACCGCGGAGATGGTTCCATATGCTATCTCCAGTAAGTCTGAGAGATAAAGGAACACATTGGCTGGGGTGTCCATAGCTGGCTATATTATTCTAATAGTATACGAGAGGATAGAGCAAGTAGTAACGAGGAAGTAGCCTGGAAGTTCCGCGTGAAACAAAACCCGAAGAGGCTCTTGACCAACACGGGGGGAGGGGATTAACCCCAAGGTAAAGGCATTGAGAGTCCCCTCTTTTTAACCCGGACTAGTGCACAGGCTGGGCCTATCTCCCATAATGCATCGGATAAGGGCAAGTTGGCGTAGGACGCATTGATCTGTTAGTGACCTTCCTATTTTTGTCATGGCTGGCAGGGGTTATCCGGTCGTACCTGAAATAATTGGAGAATGTCGCGCAAAGTTGGGGACTTTTGGAAATTACAGGAATGTGTCGGAGAACCATGTGCATTAGGGTAGTGCGTTGACAAGGATCATCAGCCGTTCGATGCTCCGCCGAGGTCAAGTATTAGGCTGACCCAAGCCATACGCTGGCGCAGTAACTCAAAGGCATACTCCGCAGGATGTAGTTCTCAAGGATATAAGAAAGTCGATGCCTTACAAGGCGGATGAAAGGCAGAGCTTGTGTAGGCACCAACATTAACGAAAACGAGGTTGGGGGCTAAAAGTCCAAGTCACGCGTTCTCGAGGAAATCAACCTTGGGGAATTGAGATAGAGTGTACGCTCCTAAAAGACATGTCGATTCATAGTGTGATGAGATTGTGCCTGTATCTCAATGTCTCCATTTTCAAACAATACTCCGTATCTTGGCCATAGCGGTATTCTGACCTGAATAGATGCCTAAAAATGAGATCGTACATTGCTTTTACTAGCGTCTTGTATTGTATTGATGTTCTACAGGTGGTTCTCACTGAGTGAACCGGGCAGCTCACTTCGGTGTACTCCGTACATAGGTCCCAGACCTCAAGCAATAAATACAGCCCCCAGGGCCAGTCATGTTCTAACCCATACCATGTCCCAAGGGTATTAACCCAGAGTGTTAATTGGGGGCGTCACCTGCAACCCCTGGGATAGCATAGTCAACCCATCCGGCTGCAGCCGGTCAACACTGGACTCTGCCGGCAGAGTGCCCACATAAGCATTGAAGTTGTAGATGCCGCAGGCACACGTGTCGACAACATCTCTCAAGCTCGTCCCCGACAGAGCCTGAACCGTCCGGAAGGCGCGAGAGACTTTGAAACTCTGCGCGCCCACGCCCATCGGCACCGAGTGTGACCAGATCCCTGGAGCCGCGATGAACGTCTCAGTCTTATCGCCAGACTTTACCCGCACAGTTGCGGGATACTTCAGCATCGTGACGATGAAAATTTCGTCTTTCATCGTGTCGACGCCGTCAGGCCGACCGCAGGTGAAGTTGCCGCCGACGTCGTTGGGGTTAACTTGCATTGTTGTGTCGGTTGCGTCGCAGTCGACGTCCTTCGGGGTTGGCCGGTACCAGTAAACCAGCTTTTCTTCCTCTATGAATCTGATGGGCAGTCTTGACTCTGCTTTGTAGGCGGCGATGAAAGGCTTTGCCATGTCGAGCCATCCAGTGTGGGGCCTGCTTCCTTGTCAGTTGGGGTTTCCGTTAATCTGCTAGGGGGGGGATATCGCTACTTACATATCCATCACCCATTTCGAAGCACCGTCGTCTGTGTGTGGTGACGATAGTGGGCCGATATAGTGCGACTCACCATAGTCATTCCAAGTGAGGATCTCCACAAAACGAGGGCTGAGACGTAGGATCTCTCTCCACCGGTCATACCAGAGGAGATCAGAAGGGAACACCCAGTTCTTGGGGTAAGAGACCTCGCTGCCGAAATGAGTCGAGAACCAAGGCGAGATGGCTATTTATCAATCAGCAAATATACACAGAACAACCAACTTACTCCAACTACTCACGCGCAATGTATGCTTTCCCCTGAAGAGCATCCTCATAAACATTATCGCCATCTGAAACAGAAACCTCCTGCCCGTCACTGGGAGCTCTGTTGTTTCCATTACTATCCCAGCCCATCCAGTTCAGAGCGCCATCAATATTTTCGAAATCACCGTGACCGGGGTGGAAATTCGGCGCAAAGAAGATCTCGCTGCCGGCAGCCGATCTGATCGCACCGACATCGACACCGTCGCCCACAAATGACGACACAAAGACTTTTCCATCTACCAGAAGCTGCCCGGGATGGCCTGCATACTGCGCGATCTTGGCGCCGACTTCGATGCTCTGGCTGACCTGCCACCAGTGGAAGTCGAAGGAGATGAATACTTTCATGCCATTGTTGGCGGCAGATTCATAGGCATAGTCTAGCTGAACGTCGTTGTACGAGTCGGTGCCAATATTCAATGCAAAGGCGTCGATGCCCGCATCTCTCGCACGTTTCATATCATCGTCATATTCGCCGGCGCTTTGGCGGTTGCTGACGATGCCCATCTAGATAGCATTAGTATTTCTTATGTTGAGGGGTTTAAAGATGTAATAGATGTTTAACTTGCCATAAAATGACAGAAAACCAATTTATTTCCCATGTTTTGATCATCGTATGCAGAATCCATAATGCTGGTAGTGTAGTCGATCAGAGTCGGGGAAGCGAATGTGAAGGGAAATAGGCCAACCAGGGCCACGAATAGGTAGAACATGGCTTTTCGAGCGGTGAAGAAAACCAAGGACCAGCCAAGGAATATCTCCACTATGCCTAGCTCTAAATGTTGAAAATAAAAGGAATGAAGGAATGGAAGAATGGAAGATGTATCTAGCTAAAGGAGCGACTAGAGTGAGAAATGCAAGCTTGTATGGAAATATAAGACTTGAAGTAGAAAAGGTCTTATATGCTTTTGGCGCTTTGTTTTACAATGCCACATTGTGTACATTTAGGTCCACTCTTTGTCTGCATTGCTGGACAATAGATCAATTAGGCAATGAAGCCCTAAAGTGGCCTTCAGAAAACCAAAGAAATCCTGTTTACATCCCGTCACAGGGCTTGTCAGAGGGTCCTCGGCGCCTAGATTCCGACAGGGCTAGGAGGCCGAAAGATCCATTTCTGCGATTTGGTTAGTTGGAATAGAATGGAAGGGGTAGAGGCTGACAGTTACAGATACTCCAGGGCTGCCGGATTGGCTGAAGAACGCCTCCAACAGCCCAGCGGCTAAATTAAGGGACCTGAGGTGTTCCACGTTTGACCTTTCTCGATAACAGTGAAGAAATACTCCGTAACTTGACTAGAGCACTGACGTATTTCCGATAGATCTCATCTTGAAACATCTTATATCTAAGACATCAAAGATTTATTCATAAGGCAGGTGCACGGTGTATCCCCAAACTCAACCATCGACTGTGGGGTGCCTCGTCGTCAATATGTTTCAAGACCTCACTTAAAACTTTAAGGCGAGTCTGTCGGACCATTTATTGTTAACCTAGGATCTTCCTATCTTCTACTGGTGAGTGCAAAGAGGAAAGTCTCAAGAATTCCCTGCTCCAGGTATCCCACAGATATCTACCGAATGTCAGCCGATGACAATCGGGGTATAGACCCAGCGGTGGGTGTCTGCAATAAAGCCTGCCATGTGTCTAAACTAGGGATATAGGTGAGTGCTACAGTCCATCAAACGAAAGGAAGAAGTATCCAGGGTTCCGAGTGGACACGCGATCTTGAATGTTATATTGAACAAATCAAACCTAAGTAGTTTCTGGCTTTGATACTCATGATTCATTGATTCCAGCCTCCAGGGCTTACTTTAGCGATCATTGCTGGAGCCAACCCCCTTATCCGAGCTAAAAGGAAAGAGCCTCTGCCATAAAAGGCATGTGATGGACCATATCAAAGGACAGCAAATGCAGATACATAGCTCACCGAGCTGTCATCGATATCTTCTACATCTGAGCTACGCTCATATCGCAGGAAGTAAAAGCGTCCTTCCTGCTCGGCTGCTTGATTTGCTGTGACGATTTCCAGGGCGGCCATGATTACCCCGATCGGATGGCGTCCGCATACTGTGTTACCCGTGCGTTCAATAATGTCGAGGAAAGACTTTGAAGATCCAGTCGTGATAGCAGCCATGGTAGCTATGTCAAATGCTGAGATACTCTCGTGAATGGCAGGTCCACGACTTGAGATGCGATCGCGCTGCCGCAAGGAGTGACCAGTTGAAGCCATCTCAAAGGCCTGGGCAACGCTGCTTGTATCCATACCGGGTTGTGGAAGTATATCACCCGATAGTGGGAGTTGTGGCCCTGGCCTGGGAGCCTGTGGAATATAGTATGTGTAGCGGAATCGGAGACCCCAGTGGCAGAAATCTGAACTTATCACAAAGGCGTTTGCCGGGTCCGCTAGGTAGGGAGCTAGGAGGGCGCCAAATGCTTGCTCTGTCGAGCCTGATGTATTTCCGACCATGATTGGGACTAGAGGTGGGTATTCAGAGGTTGGACAATCTGGATATTGGAGCTGGAGCAAACGGTGGATGTAGGGGAGGTGCATCTCGATGCTGTGCTCGTCTTCATCGACCGAACGCGACATAGTTGTGAAGCTGATCTTTGCCCCGTTCTCTCTGGTTGCCTTAGTTTCGAGGAGCTGGGCAATCAGCTCGGTGTCTAGTGGGAGGGGTTCATCGGATAGAGGGGTATGGTAGGAAGTTAGCGTTGGAAGAGCCAGTGTTGCGAGCGAGACATGGTGTGATGGTCCCAGAATAAAGATTCTCTTCCTATTTGTGATGTTAGAGGGGTTTCATAAAAGAAACGGGAGATGTGCCCACGCTTTGGATAGATCCAGCGCCTTGTATGCGTAGGCTGCGCAAGGCCCCGAGTACGAATAACCCGCATGCCTATTCGATTAGTATGTTTGGCTCTGGATAATGTCATATGCATGATGAGGGTCTCAGGCATACGGTGCGATGATCACTCTGGCTCCTGGAGTTGGCAGCGAGCCGACCTTCTTTATCGTGTCTGGCACCTGCGCCAGCCAGCCATCCAGCTGACGGGCCAGGGTTCGGGCACTATCTGAGTACCATGATCCTGAGTGAGAGGGCTGGCGAGATGGCATGGTAGGGTTTGAAAAGGGTCAACATCAAAGTTGAATGTGAGAACTCGGGAAATGGTTGTCTACAAGGTGAAGCTCTCTAGAGAAGTGGGGGGAGCGTGGTGGGGATCCCGCTAGGCACGCCAATTGGCATCTTCAAGATATTAGGAGATATCCATGGATACATTCGGTATATATTTGGATTTTCTCTACTTGGGAAATACAGAGAAAGATGGTAAATATTTCCTATGTGAGTTGCTAGTCAACTTCATATTGTGATTTCTACATTTCTTTCCATTTGGACACTCGAAAGGTACATGTACCTATACCATACAGCACCAGTAAACCAAGTTAACGGGACGAATGCATGGAAAGCAGTAACTGTTTATAAAAACGTCAAACGAAACAGTCATCAGGAGTTCGTTGCATAAGCCTGTATATCTGATGCTGGAAGCAGTGTAGTCTTGGATACCGAAATAATAATCGCAACTAAGGATAGTTCTATTGCTTAAGCAATTGCATCTTTGTCCCTTCGAGTAGGTTCATTGGTATTAGAAGTAGTCTGCTTCTTTTCTGAAAATGAAGAGCTCCTAGAGTTCGTGGAAAGTTGTGAGCATCCCAGATACCCATATTACCCGTTTTGGCTTAGCCCGACGGAATGCAACGCGAATCCCGGAGATGACGCGCCCAGACTGTGTTTGCATCGGTCCCCGTCTCAATTCCTCACACCTATCTTTTTTTGTCATTACTACCCCCAAGCGACTTTTTTTATATACGCGATTACATCTACACACCCCCTACAGATCCATATCCCTATATACCAAATTTATAAAATGTCGCTCAAGCGCAAAGCTTCGTTCACAGCTCTACCAGCCAGTCCATCAGTTCCGGCCCCCAATGAATGGGGCATGGGAACTGGGAGCACACATCTCCACAGTCGGACGCGAAAGCGCTTCAGAGACGATCGTCCCAGTGACCAAGTGATTTACGGTAAGTGCCTGGCCTCGCCCTTGGGGCACTCTCCCTTGATCACATCGACGTTCAACCTCGCTGACAGCTAGCAGAGAACACCCTAAGATGGATCTTCTCTGCCCAAAAGCAGCAGGAGTCTGCACATGCTACCGATATGGATACAATGGACTCGGAGCCGACCCTCGAAATACCAGAAGCCGTTGACCCCCGACAGCAAACATTACACCGATTCTTCCAGCAAACACCGCAGCAATCATCGTCTTTCCGACCATCCCGTCAAGCACTTGCACCTCGTGCCAATGAGACCGCCCTCACTCAGGATGATCTCCTGCGTCGACAAGCGTTTAATCATATGAGCTCCGGAGACAGTTCGAGCGAGAGCAACAGCCCCGGATCCAATCAGATGGGTGCTGATGTGGATATGGATATGGACATGGATAGCACAAGTGGTAGTGATGGATTGGTTCAGGCGCCCAAGAAATGGGTAGGAGGAATGGCCTGGATGTAATCTGGTTGTGCGAGTCCTTCTATCATTGCGCGCTGGTTGTTTATATCTGGAGAGGCTATCATCTCCGTTCTATCTATTTCGTGATACCTATTGGGCTATTTGGGCAAGGTGTTACTGGATAATTATATTTCCTTGCTTTTCTTCCTTTCTCGAAAGGAACAGGGGATATTTTTGGTCTTTGGCGTTTTTGGAAGCCTGGGAATACTTGAGCCCCCAAGGTTTTGACTTATAATGAACATTCCCATACATCGCCTGATGCCGAGCTTAATTCAATGTTCCAGTGACTTCCGACTTGATTTGCAGACTGGGCAAGAGTGCGTCATCATTGATCCGGCCCTATGTAGCGATATTGGGGTATTGTGATCACTTGCCTATAATGGTAACCAGCTCGATATAGTACTAGATATACATAAATATACGTATAGAATAAGGCTGGTAGCTTATTTTAAGCACACTGACTTTTCGCTGTTTAGACACTTTATAGCTCTTTCCACATTGTCCATAGATTTTGGCGTGATGGCTGTTATGGACCCGCTCCATTAGCCCAATGTGGCCTCAGGCAATGAAATTGTTTGCCCACCCCACGTCGTCCCTCCAATTGAATGACAAGGCCAGAGGAATCTCAAACCACAAGAGAAATCACTTAACTCTACCAAGCCTCCGAATAATCTAACACTGTCCTTCCTACCTCGGAATCATTTTCAGCTCGGCTACCCTCAGACTTCAACTCCCCCGCACATTGGAGGTTCTTTGCCTGCTGACACGAACAACCCACCAACCACAATGGATCACGATCAGTCTGTTCAGTACTTGGAAGGGCTTTTGGGTCGCACACTGCGGATCCATACCACAGATACTCGCATGTTTGTCGGGCTTTTTAAGTGTACCGACGCGGTAAGCATTCAGCTATGAACTACGCATACAGCGGTACTGATCGAAAACTCTCGATAGGACCGAAACATCATTCTCGCCAACTCCTTTGAATATCGTATGCCCACCACATCTGCCGTACAAGCTGCCGCAGACAAGGAGAGGGCGTGGGGAGAAGGGTCGGAAGCAAAGAGCACCGTCAAAGTGAACATGACACACCGGCTGATAGGCCTCATTGTGATTCCAGGACGACACATCACGAAAATAGAGCTGGAGTAAGCCTCGATCGGGTTTCAACTCGGGCTCGTATCCACGAGACCTTCATTTTCCCACCTGGGGATCGTTCTCTACTCTATTCTCGAATAATAAGGCTAGCTCTGCTGCCCCGCAGTACCAAGCAGTGGCAATCACGTATTGCACCCACCCACGCGATATGCAGCAGGAAAGGCCCAGTTTCTGCCCTGCGCCCACAATTACCTGGTCCCTGCTTTTCCACCAGGAGTTGAGTTGGACCTGGGGCTGCCAAGACGAGGCTTTCTTGCAGCGGCGCTCGCTGCTCCTTCAACAACGTGGTACCGGGATCACAGCAGCTGCATCGCAGCGCCTAAGGTAGCTTGATCGACAGGCATGCTGTCAAGCGAGAAAGGGAGATGATTTGTGGCAGGCTTCCAGCTAGGAAGGGGTGAATGGAGGGGCAAAAAAGCGGTGTCTCCGCCACACCTATCCCTTGGCATGCAGCGTGGTTGCTTTCGTGCAGAACTAATACTATCTGTGGCTCCTGTCTGCTTCCGCTACGATCAGATCATGGGGCCAGGGTGTATCTTGTTGCTGAATGGCCTCTACTATTCTGTAACCGCCTTCCCTTGTTGGAAGTATTTGCAGGAGGCTTACGCTCTACCACGCAGCAACATATAACTTTGTGATGTATCATTATGGTTCCGAACGTGTTGTCGAATCCTTGAGTCGAGTGGGTGCTGCACTTTTATCTCTATCGCTTCTCATAGGAGACGTGCCCCAGATGGCGGGGTCCAAGCTCTGTATAGATTCCCTTGCGAATAATCGGGTAGGATCGGAAAAAATATTTCTTAGTTTCCGACTGGCTCTGTAAATTCATTTGTGATGGCCTCTTCAGGTGGCCCAGATTCAAATGTAAATACATGTGCGTTGTAAGGAGACCACCATCGCTTATCAAGCGCTAATAGTGGGGGTTAAAGATGACCAGGCTTTACCTAGATTATGAAGTATATCGGAGAGAAATTCAGGGCTCTACAGTATTAAAAAACACAGACAAAGAAGATATTTCTTAAGAAAATTGTAGTGTGAAGCTATAGAGAGAGATATACGTGTGTGTACAGGCGTTCAATGGAGATATCTGTATTTAAATGCGTAATAGTTTTTAAAACGAAAAAGAAATCAGAAATAAAAATAACCTTTTGAACCAAGCTGATGAATATTCACTATAAATCCTATAAAGATGAGAGTCCAGACTCTCGATCAGGCAACTATCTGTAGTTATAGCTCGGTCTGAGAGATAATCCGGCTGACCTCATCCATATCCCCGATCGAGACCGGGCCCAAGAAACAGAAGCAGCCACTTTGTACCCGTCAAGTACCATTTCGCTGTATTAGCGGTGGCGGAGTACTTTTGCCTACCTTTCAAGTTCTGACCTTAAATCTTGACTTCCAACTTTCCTCTTCCCCTCTCTCTTTTCTTGTTTTCATCCTTGCTGCCCTTTTGATATTCCCCATTGGATTCTTTTTGAGGTAAATTGTTTCCCCCGGGGTCTCCGCCTGCGGCCTATTATGTGGGAGTACCACCCCGTTTAAACACCTCGTACATAATGACGCATTCCTCCACCCGCAAACCCACCATTCCCAGTCCTGTTCCAAGGACCTCCCTTGCTTCATTTTTTTAATTCCTTTCTCACTTCCACATGCCACCTGAGTTTCTGCGGAGTTAGCCCTGCAATCCCGCACCTGCATTGTCTCGTGCAAGAGGCTAACTTTCTGTAGAGCTTCAGCTTCTCACCTTGGAGCTTTCCGCTTTTTATCTTTAGCTTCTCGCCATTCGAAAACCCTTCTGCATCAAACACAAAGCCCCTGGCTTTCTACATCCTCACTTTGACCTCGCTGCCTCGCCTGTTCGCCTTGTAACTGTGCTCACGTCTCGCACTTGCCTCCGCCCGTGTGTTCACTCAAGGTCTCGACCAGGTGGATTAGTGTTAATCAATACCCACACAAACCACTGCGCATTCTTCGCACAGACTCTTCAAGCTTTTTGTAATATTGCAGAAGCTCGGGCCAACACATTCCAGCAACACAACAGGGGTTTCTCGGCATAACAGTTTGAACTTCCATCGTTCGTGCGATCATCTCAACTCAAGCTTGGCAGTTACCCGAGCCTTTTAGTGATGGGTCAGTCGCATTCCAAGAGCAACGCCTCGGGCGACACTCTGCAGTCCTACCCTTCGTTTTCCAAGACCGACACCAAGGAGTCTCTCCGCTCGTTCCGCGGCTCGATCCGATCGAAAATCCCTGGTGCTCGCAGCTCCGATAGCCCTCGGGGCTCCACCACTGCTCTCTCCCGGACTGAGAGTCAGACCGACAAATCCGATGCTGGATCCCTTAAGTCAGTCGGAAGTCGCCCTGGCTCCAATGCCGGCCTCCCTCAGTCGCCTGGTTCCGAGACCGCTTCGCGACCCGGCTCCCCCCAACCCCCACCATCTCCCTCGCTTTCCACCAGTTTGCAACGAGGCCACAAGGATGTGGACGCGATGAAAGAGAGCGGCGAAGTCGACCATGTATCAGATAACCCTCCCACTGGTGGCCCCCCAACCGGGGCCTCCGCGGTCGTGGGTGAATCAATTCTGATGAAGCGAGAGAATCAACTGAATCCCATTCTGGATTTCATTTTGAACGCCCCCTGGAGACTTCAGGATCTCCCGGTATGGGTATGGGTGCTTTGAAATCCATTGATTTGGACGACATGATTTCGCGACTCCTAGATGCTGGTTATTCCAGTAAGGTTACCAAAACAGTCTGCCTGAAGAATGCGGAGATTACCGCCATCTGCACCGCCGCTCGCGAGCTCTTCCTATCGCAGCCTGCTCTGCTGGAGCTGTCGGCTCCCGTGAAGATTGTCGGTGATGTCCACGGCCAATACACTGACCTCATTCGACTATTCGAGATGTGTGGATTCCCTCCTGCTTCGAACTACCTTTTCCTGGGTGACTATGTCGACCGAGGCAAGCAGAGTCTGGAGACAATCCTTCTGCTGATGTGCTATAAACTCAAATACCCGGAGAACTTCTTCCTACTTCGAGGAAACCATGAATGTGCCAACGTTACCCGTGTTTATGGGTTCTATGATGAGTGCAAGCGTCGTTGCAACATCAAGGTTTGGAAGACCTTTATCGATACCTTCAATACTCTCCCGATTGCTGCGATTGTGGCCGGTAAAATCTTCTGTGTTCACGGTGGTCTCTCTCCTAGTCTTTCTCATATGGATGACATTCGCGGCATCGCTCGCCCCACTGACGTGCCGGACTATGGCTTGTTGAACGACCTCCTGTGGAGTGACCCGGCAGACATGGAGGAAGATTGGGAACCAAACGAGCGTGGCGTCAGCTACTGCTTCGGAAAGAAGGTGATCATGGACTTTTTGCAGCGTCACGACTTTGACCTGGTTTGCCGCGCCCACATGGTGGTTGAGGATGGATATGAATTCTACCAGGATCGCATTCTGGTGACTGTGTTTTCTGCACCCAACGTAAGTTGTCTTCTACTGTCTTTCACCCAGACTCCTACTGACCATTTACAGTATTGCGGCGAGTTCGATAACTGGGGCGCTATTATGTCAGTCTCCGGCGAACTCCTTTGCAGCTTCGAACTTCTCAAACCCTTGGACTCGACTGCCCTGAAGAATCACATCAAGAAGGGCCGAAACAAGCGCAACAGCATGCTGAACAGCCCCGTAAGGAACCCCCCTTTGCTATTGGATTTTCCCCCATGTGATCATTGCTGCATCGTGCAACACTGCCGAGCGTTGTTCTTGCAAATTACGCAGATACTGCACCCCGTATCTTGAACGAATCGCTAACGAATCCCAGCCTGCGGCGGTATCGGCGCAAAGTTATTAGTCCCCCCCCTCTGATGGCCCTACATTCGAAATTGATATCATCTCTTGCGATCTGTCAGCGATCTGTCATCGCTGTCATGGTCTCGATTACTCTGACAGTCGTTGACCGGCAATGAACACGAATTTCATCAAACTAGCAGCGTGGTAGCCTATCCTTTGTTTGACAATGGCTGATCACTGAAACCGCTCTGCCACCACGGCTCTCGCACCAACTTCCGGACCCAACCTCACCCGGTATGGATGCCCAAAATGAAGCTTGGCGCAGATTCGAACCGGATTCATCTGACCGGTCCGCGCATCGAAGCCCTCCAGGCACCGTAACATGCGTAGACCCGCCGATGCCAAATTTACAGACTCAATGGAAAGACATACTCGAGCAAAGGCACGTGGAATCTCCATAGGCAACTTTATTGTCGCCTAATTAGGCTCCAGCTCATAATGCAGATGCGTCCAGACCATGGCAGTTTTCTTCGGCCACTCCAAAAATCATAGCTATGTATCTCTACATGGCTAGGATTACCAGGCCTCTCGTTTCTGGTGTGGCATTCTCTTGCATGTACTTACAATATCTCTACTCTTTTCTCTCCCAAACAAATGGTATTTCTTGGACATCATTCAGCTATCTTCCTTTCTTCCGGACGCTCTTAGTCTATTTAAAGTGAGTAGGATCTTTAATTTATGTGAGATCTTTCCTACTGATCGTCTAGCGAAGTTGCGTATTTGGCTAGATGAACCAAACCCACACCGCTACTAAATGCCCTCGTAACTTGACCCAAAACCAGTCAAACAGACAATGGAATGGATAATTGATTCTCAGTAAGAACTCTGTACACCCAATGCCGACCAGTTGTATGTCTAGGCCTCGGGACCACCTCCCGACTAGCCTCGGCAGCTCACCCGTCTTTGTTGAACATTGCCTTTAAGCACATGCAATAGTTGGGTATTATGCATCATTGGCAAAAATTGGGCTTGGTTTACGCCTTTGCAGATAAACAAAGCTTTACTAATGATACCTAGTGTCTCACGTAAGTAGATTCGTATGTTTAATATCTAATATGGTCGAAGTCTAGGGCTTCTTCATATACAAAACCATTCTGTGATAGACCATTGATGAATGTCAGGTAACCAAAACCAGAGACTCGGTCCTCAATCAGGTTTCCTTACTATTTTCCTGCATTTGACGCAACCCCAGCCGAACGAGCAACATATTGAACCTGAACCCTAACTCCCGCCGCAAAAGGATCCGGATCTATACTCTGATCCAAATTCCCCAAAGCATGGTTGACATCACGATGTTTAGCCTCATCAGCACGCACATGCAGCAGCAGTGAATGCATACAGCGCTGGTCCCCCAGCATCTGCCAGTGCTTAATTGCCATCTCGGGGGGCCTGCAAGCTCTCCCATCCAGGCTGACCATTCTCGGGGTCATTGATTGTCTTCGAGTATGTAATCACAGCTTCTTCTTCTTTTAGATATCCCACAAAGCCATGGCATATCTGAGGCGAGATGAGATATGCGAGGGGAAATCCGCTGAAGAACACCCACTGCGCGCCGAGGACTTTGAGCCGTATTGTTGGGCCTGGCTCGGCAAGCGTAAGGAAGGTTAGGAGGTGCATTCATTCGCTGTAGGCTTCTTAAAGGAGAGTTTCTGTCTTGTATCTTGTGAGATGATGATCCTCTTTTGTCTATAGAAGATGGCTGGTATAAGGATATTTTCGAGATTCTTGAAGACCGCTGGTTACGGCTACTAAGTATGCCGCTGTTGAAGCGAGAAAGTATGCGCTCTAGTCATAATCTCTGTTCTATTATACGGTCTTTTACATTATACATCTCGTGTGGTAGCGATAATCTGTCCTTTCATGAGATATCCCCAAAGGATGCAGTGAAGATTGTACATAAACCTTTCCATCATGCCTGAAAGATATCAGCAACCCACACAGTATCATGTATAACCACCGGACAACACACACTTCAGTCTATCTTTGTGTCATTTGATAAAAAACTAAATAGGCGTTGTCGGTAGGCTTACCGTTAATAACATGGGCGAGCAACCCCGCCACCGGCGAGTCTCCCGTACAGGCATCCCACGAACAGATTATCTGGATTGCCAATAGGACCAGTGCTCCAAATAGGTTTGCCGGGTTCCATTACTCTTTGTGGAGATATTGAGCAGCAACGATAACCACCCCGCATGGTGGTTTCATCAGTTATCAAACGCACCGGGCGGTTGTCCGAGATGCTATCTGGCTCTGTACGATGGGGACAGCATTGAAGGATAAAGGAGCCGATCCCTTCGCCTGAGTTGACATGAACAGAAATTCGAAATCATAATCCAAAAGAAATGGGTACATTACTTCCTGGAAGGCCTTTAACCGCTTTTGCGCGATGCACTCGGCCAACGAGTAATGTGAATACCTCACGATTTACCTCAACATTGCAGGCACACGCGCAAGTGAAGGCTGCTGCAAGCTCCTTACTACCACCTCTCTCCGTTTTACCCACGCGTGTCTTGCTCAGATCTCTGCTGGTCTCTACCATATCGTCGAAGAGATTCCTCCTCATTCCAGCGCTTTCGCTGTTGTCCTTCCTTTCCAAACCTAACAGGATCTGGCTACTTGATGTGGATCGGAATCCTATTCTGCATGGGATATTGAAGAAAACGTTCTACAATCAATTCTGTGCCGGAGAGAATGGGGCAGAATGCAGATCCACTATCCGGGAAATGAAAGACATGGGCTTCCGCGGTATGATTTTGACATATGCTGCTGAGACGGTATTTGATCATAGTACTCAGGCTCAGCATGGACAGGGAGTTGCTGCTTTGGAAAGCGAGCACGGGGATGTGTCCACCAATGCCTCGGTCTATCAATGTCCCAGCATCGAAGCTTGGCGGGAAGGAACAGTTGAGACCATCTACATGACAGAGGCAGAAGACTACCTCGCAGTCAAGTAGGTTACTCGGAGCCCACCATTTCAGGGAGTAACAACTGACCATTTACAAGGTTGACAGGAGCTGGCGTCAAAGTCACCGAGGCTTTTGCCGCTGGAGAGTTACCCCCGCAGCAGATGATGGATGCGCTCCATGAGGTCTGCACCACGGCCAAGGACCGAAAGGTTCGCATCCTCGTCGATGCCGAGTCTCAGCATTTCCAAAAAGGTATCTCACGGGTCGCGGTGGAACTTATGCGCAAATACAACCGCGACGGTTATGCTACTATCTACAATACCTACCAGGCCTACCTCAAAAGCACACCAGTGACACTGGCCAATGATCTCACTACGGCAAAAGAAGATGGATTCACTCTCGGCCTCAAGCTCGTGAGAGGCGCATATATGGCCACGGATGAACGGTCCCTAATCCACGACACGAAGGAAGACACCGACAACGCATATAATATGCTTGCCCAGGGGGCGCTCAGAAAAAACATTGGAGAGTTTGGAGACAAGGGCAGCCGCGACTTCCCCTCGGTGAATCTCTTCCTGGCCAGTCACAACAAAGAGAGCGTGGTGGCTGCCCACCAGCTCCATAAGTACCGTGTCATGTCTGGTTTGCCCACCGTGCCTGTGCGTTTTGCGCAACTCCATGGTATGTCTGATGAGGTTAGCTTTTCGTTGCTTCAGATGAATGATGGCGATGGAACACCAGAAGTTTATAAATGTTCCACTTGGGGAGGTATGGGTGAGTGTCTGGCCTATCTTCTTCGTCGGGCAATTGAGAATCGTGATGCTGTTCTGCGGACGGATAGTGAGTATCGGGCGTTGAAGACGGAGGTTTTTCGGAGAGTGAAGTCGGTGTTTTCTCTTTCGCCACCTTCATAGCGTAACAAATGATATATGACTTTATGATCTGCATGACCTGGTGGTGTATATTTCGGTTTAGGTAAAGATCTGCATCTAGTCGGCGATCTCGGGGACAATGTTATTCTGATAAGCACCAAAAGTCGGAGGCTTTCTGGAATAGAGGAAGCAGTGGGAATCTCGAGGGGTTGTTCTGATCAGCACCTGATCACCTTTGTGATGCTCATTGATTTTCCTAGTTATTGTAGATAACATATCGCCTTGAAGCTGACCGCAACGATGACGTGACGATGTTATGGAGGTCAAGGATGTTCCGTATGTTTCACAGGGCTCTTATCAAGAGTGTTAGAACTGAATCAGGCAACTTGCGTCATGTCGACCATTAACAACAGCCAGAGGGACGAAAATGGATACAATAGATAAGCGTGAGTTGGAAGGGGCCCCTACACCGCTATCCTCGCCTCATCTTCACAGTAAGAACTAAGAGGAGTGGAACTGCATTAATAGAAGTCACAGCGAAATGGATACATAATATATCCAATAAATGCATCGGAATTCACCGAAGATATTTCGGAGTATCCTATTTGCCGGCCAACAAGCGGACTAGATAGAGCTAGCACAGCCTAAGCTCTACTTGCCATCGAATCTGGGGAGCCGATTGGCCCGTTCGGTGAACCTCCGAAGCTTGGTAAGCTTGTTCTTAGGTCTAACCCAAATAGTGTACAGTCTGGGGCCCCTCGCTTTAGGATTTAGTGGGGGGGAAGGGCTGTTACAATACCTCTGAAGCCTTTAATTTCGATGTTCTCTCCCTCAAAATCAAGCGAGAAAAGCTTTTGAAAGCTGACCCGAAACCCTATATTAGAAGCCTATAGAGTGAACATGGCCCCCCTCAAAGGCAAATCATTGAACCTCGTTATTGGCCTCGTTGGTGCTGTCGGATTCATACTACAGGGTTACGATCAGGCAGTGGCCAATGGACTGTTGACACTAGGCTCTTTCATCGCCGTCTTCCCTCAAATCGACACCGTGCATACTAGCGGTAGTGAGAAAGCCCACAACTCTACAATTCAAGGTACCTAATCGAATAATTTAGTTAGAGAATGAGAACATTGCTGACCAGTACAAGGCACAACGGTCGCAATCTATGAAGTTGGATGTGCACTAGGTGCTGGTTCCTGCGCCTTTCTAGGTGACAGACTTGGTCGTCGCAAGACCATCTTTCTTGCCGGTTGCATAGCACTAGTTGGTATAACAATTCAAGCAAGTCCCTTCTCACTCGGTCAGCTTATCGCTGGCAGAGTCATTACTGGTAAATCCCCAACCTATCATTGGATTTACAATTTTACAATAAGCTAACCAGTAAGAGAATAGGTCTCGGTGTCGGTGGCTTCACCGCTACAATCCCCATGTATGTCTCCGAGTCATCTGGAGCAGAGGCCCGTGGACGAATGGTGCTGCTAGAGGGATGGTTTGCAATTGGCGGCGTTGCTCTCGCAACATGGTTGGAGTTCGGTCTCTATTATGCCAGTGACAACTCTGTCAGCTGGCGTTTTCCTATCGCATTTCAAGGCCTTTTTGGGTCTCGTTGTTGTGGTGTGTATCATGCTCCTACCCGAGTCTCCTCGCTGGCTTGCACGCGTCGGACGTTTCGAGGAGGCAGCTGGAGTGCTGGCCCGCATGGAAGATGTGCCAGTCGACTCTGAGCATGTCCTACAGGAGCTGGAAATTATTCGACAGTCACTTGCGATTGACGAGAACACCGAATCGGCAGGATCCTCTTCGCCATTTGCGCCCACGAAGAATCGCCACCTGCATCGTACTGTCATTGCTGTTGGTGTGAACATCCTGGCGCAGATGACCGGTGTCAACATCATCACTTTCTATTCCGATACTATCTTCGAGTCCGACCTGGGTTACTCAGGTACACTCTCACGAATCATCTCCGGATGTCTGCAAATCTGGCAATTTTTGGCTGCCGGCCTGGCCGTTCTACTAATTGACCGTCTCGGACGTCGTCCACTGCTTATTGCTGCCACTGCCGGTATGACCATTGCCCAGGCCTGTCTGGCCGGGCTATCAAGCAACCTTGGAAATCATTCCGCTGCTGGCGCATCACTCCTGTTCTACTTTGTAGCGCTTTTCTGCTTCCCTATTGGACTTTTCCTTGTCCCATTCATGTACGCTGCGGAGATCGCACCGCTACGCACCCGTGCTAAGGTTACTGCTATGTCGGCTGCATCAAATTGGCTCTTTAACTTCGTGTTGGCAGAGGTGAGCCCAGTCGGGTTCGCTACTATTCAATGGCGGTATTACATTGTCTACACGTGCATTAGTGCCTTTGCTTGTGTGTGTTTCTACTTATTCTGCCCTGAGACGAAGGGCCGTACACTGGAAGAGATCGATGATATTTTTGTTCAGTCGAAGTCTGTCTTCGATACTGTTCGCGTTGCACGGGAGTTGCCTTGCCAGGCGGAGATTCTGGCGCATGTCAATGATGCCGAGAAGGGTGGGCTGGAGGCTAGGCAGGTGGAGAATCCCTAAAAAGAATATCAAGAAGCTGGAGATGATGTGATGCTTATCATTTTTGTTTAGATGGGAGCTTATGATAGATTATAGATTTACATTTCTAGGTGGTTCCGTTGAGTCTATTGATCCCAACAATTTGTACAGAGTATGGCCAGATAGTTAGACAAGAAACTGATTTTTTTTTCAACCTGACAATCTTGCATGAAAAGCAGATCGCAACTCCATATTTGCCAGGCACCCAATCCCAAACGCAGGAATGATACGGACACAACGCAACAAAGTTGACGAGGGAAGATATTGCTGCGAATGCTTCACCCTTTCCAGGAAGGGGATGGTATATTGCCGTGTATACATATCCAATGCCAACAGATGCAGCGGAGTAGCAACCAGCTGTGTCAGGACGGGCAAGGTCAACTGGGTGATGATAGGCTTTGCGTGGGGATGAGCCGCCAACCCATCGGGGATCGCATCCGACAACCACGGGGCCAACGTAAATGACCCAAAGATCGTCACACCGTCTCGTACGAGGAAGATAGCAGCTGCAGCTCGTGCCAATGACTTGTTCTGGAGAGGTACAGAGATGATGTTTGCTGTCGATGTCTTGGCACCGGGACCGTTGCCGGTGCCGTACTCCTGCGCAAATCGGATGTCCTTCCACAGCGCTAGTGGCACGTTGGCCATCATAGTAGTGGCAAATGTGATCGTCCCCGCGGCGGCTAACTCAAACTTGTGACTGATTGTGTTGGTTACATTTGCGACGGAATAGGTTGCTGCATAGAGGGCCCAGACGATACCGAAGGGTCGTTGGAAGACAAACAGTCCCGGCTGTCGGAGGGCCCCGAGTGCATGCCGACGAAGTCCACGGAGAATGGGTTGCTTGAAGGCAGCTTGCTCGACAAGCGCTCTTATATCTTGTTAGCGCAGAATCAGCGCTTGGAATCAACACGAACCTATCAATAATTGCCACCGCGGGTGTTACTAGCGACGCCGATGCTGTTGCCGCGGCGAGATCGCCTGCCAGCTGTCCTAGCTGCGTATTGCCCCAGCAAGCTTCATTTGATTGAGGTTCTTGTTGCATGATAATAAGTTGAAGTAAACAGTTCCGAGTCTCATGCTTATCTACTTCGAAAATATGGGATTACACTACCCAATCCAGCCTGATAGGAACACCGGATAGCCTCCCGATACTGCAGATTTCGAACAGCAGCTATGCGTTTAACTCAATATTGTTCGTCGGAGCTCAAGCTCACTTCAAGCATCATGTGGGGTAAACGGGGAAGCCTCCGATATTTCTAGGAAGGGTCGTTGCCATTAAAACAGATCTGCTCGCCTCGAACTGATTTCTCAAGTTTACATTGCCATTCACACGACTCAAAACGGCTATTTATCATGTCTACTACACTCATGAGACTTCGCTCGGTACGGCCTACTGGCTCTCGCCTGCGCTCTGTTCCTGCGGGACTCTCTGTTCAAACTCGTGCTAAGACTACCATGCCATTTCGCCTTCCCGATGCCCGAAACGAACCAAACGTGAGTGTGATACAACTAGTTAGCCCACCTCAATGCTAATCATACTATAGCCTCTATACAAGAAAGGCTCACCGGAGCGCGCCAAGCTTGAAGAAGCATTGACCAAGCTGCGCTCTCAGCTGCCCGTGCGGAGCGAGCTCTTCTATGATGGAAAATTTCAGGCGAGCTCCAAGTCTTGGGATCAACCATTGCCTGCCGAACATGCCACTACCTTTACAAACTACCCACTCGCCACGGATGAACAGACCAGATCAGCTATTGAGCTAGCCCTGGAGGCAAAGCAAAGCTGGCAAGATACCCCATTTGTTGATCGAGCTTCGATCTTCCTCAAGGCTGCCGAGCTGTTATGCACCAAGTACCGATACGAGATTATTGCAGCCACGATGCTTGGACAAGGAAAGAACATCTGGCAGGGAGAGATTGATGCTGCGGCTGAATTGGCGGATTTCTTCCGTCTGAACTGCAACTGGGCGGCTGAAATTTTGGAGAAGCAGCCAACCCGTGGTAGTGATGGCATGTGGAGGTTAGTCTATATCGAAGTGTTGAGCTGGCATAGGAGTCGTTGCTAATTAATTGCAGTCGTATCGACTACCGTCCTCTCGAAGGCTTCGTTTACGCCGTCTCCCCATTCAACTTCACGGCCCTCGGTGGCAACCTGATCTGCGGACCTGCGCTGATGGGCAACGTGGTACTGTGGAAGCCTTCGGCGTCTAACGTCTACGCCAGCTCTTTGCTCTACAAGGTTCTTTTGGAGGCTGGTCTCCCTCCCAATGTGATTCAGTTTGTGACCGGTGACCCCGAAGCCATTACCGAGACCGTGCTCTCACACCGCGACTTTGCCGGTTTGAACTTCATCGGCTCTTCCGATGTGTTCCGTTCTCTGTATGGCAAGATTGGCCAGGGTGTTTCCGAAAAGCGATACCGCGAGTTCCCTCGCTTCGTTGCCGAGACCAGCGGAAAGAACTTCCACCTTGTTCACCCCTCGGCCGATATCACCAGTGCAGTCAACCACACCATTCGCGGATCATTCGAGTACCAGGGTCAGAAATGCTCTGCCACATCTCGCCTCTACTTGCCTGAGTCCCGTGCAGAGGAGTTCCTAACTCAGTTGAAGGCTGGCATCAAGGAGATTACTATTGGAAACCCGGACAAGGACTTAGAGGCTTTCATGGGCCCCGTGATTCACCGTGGATCGTTCGAGAAGATCAAGTCTATCATTAATGCTAGTAACAAGGACCCCTCGCTGAAGCTGATTGCGGGTGGTACTTACGATGAATCTGTTGGATACTACGTTCACCCTACTGTGTACCAAGCCGATTCACCAGACCACCGCCTCTTTAACGAGGAGATCTTCGGCCCCGTGCTTGCCGTGTACATCTACAAGGATGCTGAATGGGCTTCTACTTTGAAGTCTGTTGATCAAAATGGAGGTGGATTTGCCTTGACTGGTGCTGTCTTTGCCAAGGATCGTGTTGCTATCCGCCAGGCTGAAGATGCGCTCCGATACTCTGCCGGCAACTTCTATATCAGTAAGTCTCACAGTACCAAAGTGGATTGTTGCAATATCCAACTGTCTAATTTTTACAGATTGCAAGACCACCGCTGCCCTTATCGGCCAGCAGTCTTTCGGTGGTGCGCGTGCTAGCGGAACTAACGACAAGGCTGGTAGCTCTGACCCTCTTCGTCGTTTCGTTAGCCCGCGGTTGATTAAGGAGGAATTCTTTGGTCAGGAGGAGGGCTTTACTTACCCCAGCAACCACTAGTGATATAAAATGAATGGCTTATAGATTTTCTTAGTACAATATGTACCTTCACAATCCAAGCATACCGTTATTTGTTTCTGTTGAGATGCAGTATCCCGTTATTATGCACGAATGCATTCTAGCGCCTACAACAATACTTCCAATATCACATTGTCAAATGTAACTCCTCTGTATTCCATAGTTCTGAATCCCGAAATCTGATATTTGCACCTTATCATGCTTCTGATATACTTCCTCAACTTGTGTTCGTCAGTTCATTACTTCAATATTTACCTAATTATTTGTAGGATTCCAAGGTTAGTCCACGTATCTCAGAATTCCTCAACATCAACGTGGTTCACCTTGGTTAGACTGTTGCAACTATAATCCTATGTCTTTATTGTTTGTACTAATAAAGTGAGTTGATGGAGGTGATATAGCTTTACTGCTAGACCATAGCATAAATTAAGGTATCTGCTCATGGAATAGGGAGGCTATCTACTTGTCTGACTCCTAAATGTAACTATTCTACAAATTACTCAATCCTTTGACTTCCACTCACCATATCATATCGTATCTTATTTCGGTTATCGTGTCCAGCCCATTGTCAATCAAAAATATCCAGCCTGGACGCATCGGGAAGGCTTCCGATGGTCCACTTCTCCCCGCACTAGGGAATCGGCATAGACGCCGTTGGCTCGGATATACTGAGCTGTTAATCGACTATAGATATCGAACTATTACACTGTCTGGTAGGAGTTTTACATCGCATTTCACCTAATATGGGTATCTCCAAGTCCGACCCGATCATCATTGTTGGCGGCGGAGCCTTCGGGCTCTCTAGCGCTCTCCATTTGACTCGCTCAGGCTTTACGGATATCTCTGTCTTCGAGAGAGATGAGCATATTCCTCCACGCTATTCGGCCGCCAATGACCTGAATAAGATTGTGCGCGCGGAATACGAAGATCCCTTCTATACCGATTTGACAATTGTAAGTCACTATCTTCGATGTAAGTATAGTCATCGAGTCAACTCTAACCGATGTCTTGTTTTATCTATTAATCAGAAAGCCATCGCCGCATGGAAAACTCCTATTTTCGCACCTCATTTCCACCAGACTGGATTTCTCCACTGCGTGTCTGGCGAAGCACCACAGAAAGCCATCGACACCCTCAATAGATTCCGGGCTTCGGCAGAAGGGAACAATCAAATCAAACCACATCTTATACCCCTCAAGGGCGAAGACGACATCCGTCAAGCCTGCTGGCAGCTCGACGGCCCATTGACCGGATGGAATGGATACCTGAACCGCTTCGACGGGTATGCCCATTCTGGAAATGCCCTGGCAGGGGTATACCGGGCCGCGCAGGCAGCCGGTGTGCGTTTCTACTTGGGAGAATGCGGCGCAGTCGATGAAATCATCTATGTCGGCACACTGCAAGGCAGGAAGAGCTCCGGAATCCGAACGAAGGATGGGAAGTTCCATCCATCTTCGTTGGTGATTGTCGCTGCGGGGGGTGCAGTTGGCCGTCTAGTCCCGGAGATTGGGAAGAAAGTTGTGGCCAAGTCGTGGTCTGTTGCGCATGTTCATCTTACGGATGAAGAGACTTCTGCCCTGCGTGGTATTCCTGTCACCTATGCCCGCGATCTAGGATTCCTCTTTGAGCCAGATCCGCAGACTAATTTGTTGAAGATTTGTCCTATGGGTGGAGGGTATATCAATACGGATCCTGAGACAGGGGTTTCTCATGCGCCTGGGACTTTGGAGGAAAGTGCATTCGTGCCAGAGCATGATGAGAGACAAATGAGGAAGTTGCTGGCGCAGACGCTTCCGGCACTTGCAAATCGCCCGCTGGTTAAGAAGTCGCTTTGCTGGTTTGCTGATACTGATGACTCGGACTTTATTATTGATTTTGTTCCGGAGACGTCGTCGTCGGTTGTTTTGTTATCTGGCGATTCTGGGCACGGGTTTAAGATGTTCCCTATCTTTGGGTCGTGGGTCTCGGATTTCTTGCAGGTTGGTCGGCAGAATGAAGCACGGTGGCAATGGAAGCATACCGACCCCAACAAGGGTAAGGGGAATTGGGGTGGTGATGTGAGCTGGCGTCTTGGAGAGTCGAAGGAGCTCTCTGAGATTCGGCCTGCGGTCTTGTCTAAGCTTTAGGTTCTTTGGATATTAGAAGAGTACGTATGTCGATTTTTACGGCATTTTCAGGTTCAAGGCAAAACGTATCATTAATCATTCAACTGATAGACCGGCTTATATATATTTCAGCACACGATACTGTACATTGAAGATATCAGTAGATACCAATTTGAAACTCATCAATTCATCAGACATTCAATTTACCATATACTATGTTCTATCATCGCGTTCGATACCCACTCAGTATCATAGCTCTCAATCGAGTCCGCAACGGCCATAATCTCAGCCGAAGTTAGCATCGTACTAAAATCACATTCCACATCAAAATCAGGATCCGGCCTGAGAAGAGCATCATCATATCGAACAGACTGAGGTAGAGGCCTAGGAACCGGTGTTGCAGATGGGGAAGCTGGGTCAGGAACAATACCAGCCTGGAAGAAATCAGGGACTTCCAAGTGTCGAGGCTGATCACCAGAGATGCATCCTAATAATGTCTCGTGTAGCTGCTGGAGCTCGGATCGCCGGAAGCTAGCAACTTGGTTTCCGTCTCTGATCATTTCGTCGAAGATGGCGTACGCTTTCTCCAGCCAGTTGGGGTGGCTTTCTAACAAGCGCGGGTCGATGGATGGGCCCATCAGGAGGATAATTGTGGATACAAAGACTGATTCTAGATCAAAGGGGAGGAAGGTTTCTAAAAGTCGGATGTTAGTCGAGAGGCCCTATATGTAGCAAATGATACTTTACCTAAGAGGCCTTGACTCTGTAAATTGGAGAGAATGCTGATAATGTGCTGGGCGGATTCAAGACACATTTGCATCAGGCTTCGGACATTTCGAGATGCATTAAGAGATTCTGAACAGCTTTCTGGGGACTCGAAGCGGATTTTGAGGAAACAGAATAGCAGAGGTCGGGTGGCCAAGATGATACACTGAACATCGTGTGAGTAGTCAGCGAATGCCTCTCTTCCCGCAAAGAATTAGACACGCACCTGGTGATATTGAAGATGTAAGTACGCTGATGTTCGAGAAACGCCCTTGACTGGGTCTAAGTGTAGCGGAAATGACTCGCGAAGCTCATCTGCAAGCCCTGCGATGTTTGCCAATGCCGCTTTAGTGCTAAGCAGAAAAGTCCGGTTGATGCGTCCATTGGCAACGTATATTGCTGGTCATTTTGTTAGGGGAGATCATCAACGATGGAGGCTCAGAGAATCTTACTACTGTTCACCTCGGCGATGATCTGGGACAACTTGATGTGCATGCCTAATGACATTGTTTCGGATGGGTCTGCAAAGGTGGGGAGCTGGGTTTGCACATATCGATCGCTGATAGACTGAGGTAGACCCATTAATGATGTCATTTCTCGGTCTAGAATGTAAATGGTCCACCAGATTTTGCCCGATCTTTGAACCATGTCGTGTCCTAAATCTTCGACTGGCATATTAGTGTGCATTCCTTGTGCCATGGCTATCCGCATGGCTTGGCCAATCTAGACTATTGGTCAGCCTGTTATCTCATACAAAACGCTTCTTTTGAAACATTCTTACGTAGTTATGTGCCGACGTTCGAAAGTCGACACACTGGTAGTATAAGGCGATGCAACATAGGATTTCCGTTCCCAGCATAGGATCCCGGTACAGAGCAGTCGGGTCAGGCAGAAGCTGCAAAGCTTTGACAAAATAGTGCACTCCTGGTGGCTTTCTACCTTGAGCCTTGGGCTGAACGAATCCCTTGCCAAAAGCCAGGATGAGGAGAAAATGGATGTACCACAAGCTATTTGTCATGGATTGCTCATCTCCCGAGTAGAACCGCTGCAAGGAGCTCATGAACTCATCTTCTTCGAAAAGGTGATACAACTGCCCGCACCGGAATTGCACGGCGTTGATCAGATACATGGTGTGGTCGCGAGTCGGGACAACTGGGACATCTAGGCCCGGGGTTGTCCTCAGCCCATCCCATCCCAGTTCATAGGTCGTTTCATCGAATAGCAAAGTTTCTGTGGGTAGTGCATCCTGATAGAGGTGCTGATGTGCCAAGCTGAGCACTCGCCGAGTGAACGACCAGTTGGATGATGTTCCAAGATAGACTGTAGCTGTTAGAGTTATGCATTCTAAGAATCCAGCGTAACCTACATGTGCGGCCGTTTGCTGCAGACATGAAAGCAGGAGGACCAGATGATAATGGGTTAGCTAGTTCAGAATCTAGAGCATCCAGATCCTGAGGTTCATCATGATCCCCCGGAGTCCTAGTGCTTTCCAAAGTAGGTACATGTTCGCGATCTTTGGGATCTGCAATAGGTCAGTAGGTAACAATCTAAGCAGAAAGCAAGATGTACCAATGGGTTGAGCTTCGAAAGTCGAGCTGTAAGGGCTCGCGTGGCCCTTCTCGTTTTGCTCTATACGTGCAATCTTCTGCTGCAGTTCCAGAATATAGCTGTGATAACTGTGAGCCATCGATTCTTCTCAACACTCCATTTGACTTACCCTCTTGTCACTAGGATCTTCTGATCACGGTCATTGAAAATACAAGAAAGTTTTCTATCGAGGTTAGTATACAGAAATTGGGCATCTCAATGGCACATAGCTGCAATCGAGCGCACACAGGACCTTCACGCACCGCTTGTTACAACCATCACATGGCAGCGAACCGGAACATTTGATTTTTTGTCTCCGGCATCGTACACACGCATTTGACGATCGTTTTGTGACTCTTCCATCACCCATGTTGAGATGTGTAGAGAATCAGCCAAAATGGGGGGGCAAAAGTTCCCCCAGGACCGTGAGGGGAAACCTTTGGAACTCTCTGGTTATCAGTTTGACGGAGAGTTGTGGATACGAGATTTTATCTAAACGTGAACAAAGACGGGTCCCCTCCCGATAATAATGTCATTTGACCTTTTAATGGTTTTCGCTTTCTACATTTCAACGCTGCCCAAGCAGATTTCGATTTGTCTCCCAAAATCGCCTGCATGCTGTGTGACCCCAATGCTCAGTCCACCACTCTCCAAAGCTATCTTGAACACTTTGTTCATCCACCCGTAAAACCCGCTCATCTCTCTTAAGTGAACAGAGTGCACATGGATGAGAAGCTTTCAATGCGCCCTGGTCCGCCCGCGCCGTAGTGACTTTGAGCGCACTAGGATCTGGAACCGTGGGGATTGGCCGCTGGCCCGCGGCTTGAAGAACGGCGTTGAAAATAGCCGCCCGTTCTCGCCAAGTAGTAAGCACGTCAACAGCATCTTGTTCTTCTTTGATGTTTTCTTGCTTGTTCACGCTGTTAAGTTTCATACCACCGGGTTTACCAGAACGGGCAGGCCCAATTCGCATGCTTTGACTCAGAATTGTATCACGTTTCCACCGGAGACCTCGCCCTGCAATTACGCGGGCGGCCGATTGAAGTACATTGTGGATATGTGAGGCAGTTGTTGAAATGGTGTTTGAGGATGACGGAGCCGAGGATCGCAGCTGGGATTTTGCGAGTGTAGCCTCTTTCTGAAGATTCTCAAACACGTCTAAGAATAACTCGAGAAGGACCGATGGAGGTGGGATGTTGGTTGGACGGACGGTGGCTGCGGGGGCTAGGGTCCCAGAAACGGAGCTACTAGGAGCTGGGCTAGGAGCCGTCGGGGGCGAGAGTTTGGATCTGGGCACAGGCTTCACACTGGGGCCATCTGAAAAATCACCCCAGTCGTCAAAGGCTTCATCATCCCAGGTTAATGCAGAGGGCTTATTGGATTTGATAGGCGGCCTTGTAGGCGGCCTTGTAGGTGGGTTTGTTTTCTTCTTAGAGACCTTGGGAGGTTTGCTAGCAGGCACCTCGGCGAAATCGCCCCAGTCACCAAATGAATCATTCTCCCATGTCGGCTGATTTTGGGTATTAGGTTTGAGGTGTTGGTTCTTGACACTCTTCGACGGATGTTTCACAGCTGGTGCGGAGTTTTGCATTGAAAGTGAATCTAGCAAATCAACTGTTCTAGAAACCTGCGGATCATCTCGCCGAGGCTCTGGGTTTGGAGATGCAACTGTCCCTGATTGCCGAAGAGCTGTTGATTGTCCATGTAAAGTGTTTGAATCAGGGCCTTCGAATTCACCCCAGTCGTCGTCTGCATCGCTTGCTGGTGCGTCAAATTCTGCATCGAATAACACGTCGCTATGTGGATTCAAGGGAAGGTCAAATTCCTGATGACCAGAGCTCTGCCACGAAGCTGCCGGGGTTGCAAATTGACTGGGTGCTCCCTGGGTCGGCACACTTCCCGATGATCCGAACAAATCGATGCTATCGTCGGCATCGAAGAATGAGTTTTTCTGGTGTTGCGATGGCTGCTGTCTGGACCTATTGTCTGGAACAGGTGCCTGACCGAATTCTGCTAGCAGGTCTGCGGACATTTTGAATGTCCACGGGGTGTGTCATGAAGCTGTGAGAGGTGACATAAAAGCGGTGCAGCCCTGGATGCAGCGAGTTTCTGCAAGAGTGGCGACACAAAATTGAGTAAATCAACGTCAACCGTAATCTATATCGCTTTTAATATGCAAACATCCCAATCCGAAATCAACCGGAGTATACGATGGAATGTCGCAATGGCCGAGTTACAGTAGCGCGAGATAAGGTACGGGCGGTCTACTATCGCCCGCATTCCCCCTCACCTTCCATGGTTCTCCCCCGTCATCAACAATGAGAACAATTGAGGAGACCAGGTATTTCCCACTCTATTGATTGTCCGCATATTTCCATTTATACTGACCCCTACAGAAAGAGATGGGACGTCCTATTCTCCGACAACGACACGCCTTCCGACCTCCGAGCGGCGTTACAATCCGAGCAAGGAAACCTGTGCAATGACGGACTGAGGTCGGTTTGCTGGAAGGTTCTGTGGCCTTTTAAAAAGTGAGGTGGAGATATATGCTCATGCTTCATACAGGCATTTCTACTCTTCGACGGGTTGGATAAAACCGAATGGGCCTCCAAGCTGGACGAATCCCGGGATGCTTATCGTGCGCTGCGAGATCATTTCTTGAAATATATCGAACACCCGGACGATTTAGAGTCGACTGTTGATCCGCTGGCGGATGATGAGCAGGTATGTAGCCCTCTCGCTGTGCTTCCCCTATCTTGAAGAATCCTCATATCTAATTAAATGTTGTTGGAACAACCAGTCCCCTTGGCAAACACTCCGACACGACGAGACGCTGCGTACCGAGATTTTGCAAGATGTCGATCGATGCTTGCAGGAGAACTTCTTTTTCCAAGAGCCCGACACGAAATCCAAATTGACGGACATCTTGTTTGTCTACTCGAAGCTCAATCCAGACGTCGGCTATAGACAAGGAATGCACGAACTACTCGCCCCTATTCTCTGGGCAGTAGATCGAGACTCGGTGAAGCCACACCCCGAAGGACCTGCGAACAAGGGCAAAAGTGAGGGTTTGATGCTAAAGCTTCTCGATGCACAATTCGTGGAACATGATTCATTTACGCTGTTTCTCTCTGTCATGCAGACAGCCCGCATATACTATGAACACGGCGAATCACGGTCGGCAAATGGCCAGATGGATGTCATTCCGATAGTTGATCGGTGTCATTATCTCCATAAGGAAGCTCTGGCGATTATCGATCATGAGCTCGCCGAGCACCTGGAAGCTGTGGACGTATTACCGCAAATTTTCCTAACGTAAGCTGCATCAGATGCCATCCATTTTCTTTACTAATTCTTTACTAACTCACTGAAAAGCCGCTGGATGCGCCTTCTGTTTGGGCGAGAATTTCCATTCGATGATGTTCTAATGATGTGGGATCTACTGTTTGCTCACGGGCTACGGTCTGATCTTGTTGATTTCACGTGTATTGCAATGCTGCTTAGGATTCGTTGGCAATGTTGGTCGACCTGCTCAATTTCTCATATCCCATTTTTGCTGACATCCATCATCTAGTGCTCACGGCCGACTATACAACCGCCTTGACATTATTACTTCGCTACCCTTCGCCCGAACCACACACACCTCAAAGTTTTGTGCATGATGCACTTTATTTGGAACAGAATCCTACCGCCGATCGAGGCAGTTTCATTATATCGAAATATTCAGGCAGACCGCCCGACTCCAAAATTCGCAACCAACCTGGCACACGGCCCACGAGGAAGGCCTTCCTTTGGGAAGACTTCAAGAAACGCAGTGAACGAAACTCGCCTACTGGATCACCAGCCCGAAATAGCCCCAAGAGCCTCGAATCTCTTTTCCAAGATGTCTCCCAGGGAATCCAACGCCGGACAGAGGCCTGGGGCGTAGCCAAAGCTGTTCGAGGCGCCGTGACAGAAGCTAGGAAAAATATGCAAACAATGCATTATGAACCAAATATGCGTCCTGGATTCTCGAGGCCTGTTTCTGCTGCATCAGCCTCGGACATCCAGCCCGCGGCCTCGGCTAGACTGGAAACGAAGATCAATCTACTCGAGGAAAGGAACCAAACTTTGGCGACGATTTTACGCGAGGCACTGAACGATCTTGGCTCGCAGCTAGCAAATATCAAGGGCCTCGATTCTGATATGAACAGCGCAGTGAAGCAGGCCCTGGTCAAAGCTGAGAGTGTCCAGGTCTGCCTCGGAGACTCTTCCATCCCAGTAGATCCCCCTCTTGACCCCCGTATAGACGGCGAATTGAACCAATCAGACGAATTACAAGAGACAGACAACTCAATGGGCAAAGCAGAAGGCAACCTGGTGGCAAACCAAGGTCCATCACGAACAATAAGTCCCAATGCGGATACCCCCGGGACCAAAGCCGAGAGTGGAACCGATGTGCTAGCGACGGCAAGTCGGACGAACCGTGACAGGAAAATCGAAAGTTCGCGGACAATACCCTCGCGATCAACTGTGCGACCTTCTATGACGGATTCGGGGTTCTCATGGATGCTTGGCGGTGGGCGGAACCTGTCGGGCTTTGTCAGCTCGACATCGCCGCCGCCGGAGCAGACTCGACTTCTAGATCAAACCCGAGGGAAGCCCAACGTTTTGTTTAGGTCGAGTGGGGATGACAATCCAGGGACGGATTCTGGGCATAGTGAATTGCCGCTGCACAGTCTTCGGGGCTCTCGGGATCCTCTATCAGGGACCAGCCCATGATATCTCGTCACTGCTTGCGTATGCACTGGAGATACATACGGGTCAAAGCTAGTCCCACTTCTTATCTCCTAAGCATTACCGTCATTTTTTTTTTCGCACAGGAATTGACTTGCATAGGCATTTGGCGGAATCCAGTGTATCCCATTTTTCTGCCTCGATTCATACCTGTTTGTCAACTTCATATAAAGTACATGTAAGTCACCCAAAGGAGTTAAGGTCCCAGGCGCTCGGATCTATTGAGAAAGCCACTTTGCATCATTTCAATTCGGGAAATAACCTGGCCATGACATACTGCATTTGGAGCGGGGTAAGAAAACGCCGATATCTGTCAAGTATTAATGGTTGGTTTTGTTCATATATTCCATCTTGTATAGATCTCTACAGCGGTAAACTTCTCCGCCACATGGGATAGAAACATTGTCGATCAGCCGATCGACAGGTAAAACCCGCTGTTTCAAAGGAATGTGTTATATTTTGTTTTGAAATGGGGGGATATGTATAGGAAAGACATATCAAAATAAAATATAAAGTAATTGGGCTATTACATCACGAAGGGGGATCCCGTTTCCCTTTTTCTCTGCATTTTCCTCTCCCCACTCTCTTTCCCCCGCTGTCCTTTTTCTTTCTCTTCCCCCTTGGGTCCGTTACATCTTCATCTGCTTGCCTCTTCACTCTCTGTGTGCTCAGCCGCGACGCCACATATGCCGCCTGAGACCCTACGAGGCAGCTGCCCGCCCTACCCCCGTCACAGTTGCGAATGACCGTTCCGATACATGTCGCATACCCCGGATACATTCACGAGTGCTCGTCTCGATTGAGCCTCGTCCTTTGCTTTGTTTCCCATCTGATCATTTGAATTCCCACAAAAAAAGATAACGAAAACCAAAAAGAGAGAAGAGAGACCTCGGGGATGGGGTCGGCTTACAACCATGATGGTCAGTTGTGCGCACATGCTTGTTTATGCTGATCATTTAGTCTTTGTTTCACATGCCACGGGCCTTGGGAGGAACTAGTGGAGGTGAGAGGAAAACAGCTTATCGTGCTATGTACTCAAATTGAGCTTACGACTCATTGAGCACGCGAAAAGAAACGGGTTGGAGCAACAAGAGCGCGACTTGAGTTTCTTCCCAGAAATCAAGGTCACGCGTTAACACATGCTCGGAGATGCATCTGACCGCGGAGACGAACCGTCTGATCATTCGATAGCATCACATTTTCTTGCAAGGCCCGTGGAATGGAAACTTCAAGACGCGACGATGGAGTTGATTATAAGCTAGGTGAATCGCGCTGACCAAACTAAGGCGAGCCGAGTCCTCTTTCGTCGCCGTTAGGACCCCTCTCTGAGTCGCCCGAATCCGAGGGTGTACTGGACACACTTTCTTTACAGACGGACCACCTCATAGACTCGGCGGACAGTGTTTCTTCGGGATATGACACTCTTTCCAGGTCAGCAGCAAGATTCTTTCTACTTTTCATTACAGCGTTAACGCTTCCTGCGTTTCAACAGATCTCCGTTATTCGAGAACGGTCCAACTGGGCTGGATCGTATACGTCAAAACCAGCCCTCACGAGTATTAACCCTCCCAAATATGTCTTCCTCATCGCTATCGCTAGCTCCCATGGCTGGCCAGCGCCCCGCCCCCTCTCCCCGATCTCGATCCTCATCTCGAGCTCACACTGGCAATTTGGCGAGCCGAAGTTTCACGGATCTAGAAGACCTACACAGGTTTCCACTGGAGTCGCTACATTCCTTTTCCTTTGCTCAACAATCCGAGGAATTCCTCCACACTCGTCAAAACATTCTCAAGAGATCTATTGATTTCATGCGCGACCGGATGGGATGGGCCGCAAGCAATGCCGCGATCGCCAACGCACAAGCAAACGCCAGCGGAGATACGGAGATGCAAGGTATGATGGAGCTTTTGGCCCGAGCAAATATGCTCGAAACCCAGGAAAACCAAATCCATGGTCGTGGACCCATCACCGGACCCGCAGAGATTAATCGCGACAATATCTTTGAGAAGGCCTTCTCAGATGGCAGTTCCTCTCCGGTCAGCACCCGAGATGCACCCCAGGATTCCACCCTCTCGGGGTCACATCCCTCGGACAGCTCCCAATTGTTGATCCCGACGCCTAGCGATCGTATCTCCAGCCAAAGGAGGGACCTGGTCTCTGCACCTACGTCAAGGCGCGTAAGCTTAAAACGTACATACACGGACCTGTGCTCTGTCTCTCTCAGGAGCAAGCTGATGGAAACTCTAGCACAACCATACACCTCTTCCACGGATACTTTCGCCCCGCTTAGCTCCTCGACTGCTGGATTGGGATTCCAGATCCCTGTCCTCCACGCGCATAGCAACAAATGGACCCCGGCTTCCCAGGCCGTGTTCAGGACCGAAGCCCAAGCACCATGGACCATTCTGGCCGCTAATGATCTTTCATGTCTCATCTTTGGTGTTCTTCAGTCCGAAGTTCGCCGTCTCAGTATCCTAGAGGTTGTACAGAAGGAGCATCAGGAATGGCTCAAGGCCAAGCTTCGAGATCCAAGCACTGATGCCGCCGCCCGCATGCCACTTCAGCCCGAAAGAGCCAACATCTCCGCTGTAAATCCCAAGTTCCGAGGTCTTGGGAATGGAGTGACAGCACAACTTCTCAACAAACCATCTTCACGAGAAAAGTCCCGGAGAGCGCAAACTGATGACGGCTATGGCTCCAGCACGAGAAATCCCCGGAACAACCACCCGGCCAATAAGTCCCGCGGAGTCTTGCTGTGTGGTGATGTGGTCCCGATTCAGAAGCGCAACGGATCACGCGGGTCTGCTAGCGTCTGGGTTATGGAAAAGCGAGGTGGCCTGATCTGGGTCCTAGAGGAGATCACAGAGAATATTGCCTCCATCCAGTGTGACGATTCATGGAACGTCGTGAGTGCCAAAGGTGAAGTCGAAAAGATCTGGGGCCCGTCTGTCGTTCAAACAGGCCAGTCGATCACCGACCTTTTACCCTGTTTGCCATCGGAATCTCTTGAGACACCCCCCGAGAAGGGACTGGCGAAAATCGTGGAGTTGAAGCACTTTGCCGCCCGCACCGCTGCTGGCGTTTGTATTCCTGTCGCCGTCGGCAAGGGAGAAGGAGATCACACTCTCCAAGTCTCCAGCTTTCCCCATGTCGCAGGCATGATGGTGCTCTCGTCCTCGTCATTGGACGTGATCAGCTCCAATTCTGTGTTCTCTTCAGTCCTATTTGGTCAAGAAAGACCAGAGGGGCTCCACTTCACTGAACTTGTACCCGATTTCGATGAGATTCTAGACGTTTTGACCGAGGAGGACAATGTGCCACTGGTTGATGGTATTGTCATACCCGAACACAGCTTCCGACGGGCACGGACACTTTCCATTCTCCGCGACGGAAAAGCAAATGCCGCCTCTGTATTCACAGAGCCAAGTGGCTTGCTTGCCAAGCATCGGGATGGCTCGACCATTGTTGTGGATATTCAACTGCGTGTGGTTAAGAGCGGTACCTTCTTCTCAAAGGACAAGACCGAGAAAAGCAGCGATCGCACCAGCGACTCTGATGACAGTGACGATACCATTGCAGTCACAGAGTTGGTCTATGCTTTGTGGATAACTTACTCGAGACAGCTCCACGCTGCTGGACCCGCTGCTGGGCTTTCGCCATCATCTGTACCAAGCTCTAAGCCTACCTCGCCCACACATGATCCTGATGCGGATCGCCCGTTAGACGCCGGCACTGATACCCAGACTGTGGAAAATCGCAACAATTCCGTGGAGATCCAAACCCCGACGTCAACACTCAGTCAACAACTCAGTGAGGCTGCTTCTGAGCCTCTTACCACCCGTCCCGTACAGCCAGTTCCTCAGGTTGAGGCTGCCAATGCGAAGAACGACCCTCCGGCCAAACGAACGATCAACGACTACGTGATTCTCGAAGAGATGGGACAAGGCGCCTACGGCCAAGTCAAGCTGGCACGTTTAAAGAAGCAGCCTACCAAGAAGATGGTATTGAAATTTGTCACAAAGAAGCGGATCCTAGTGGATACGTGGACTCGTGATCGGCGACTGGGTACTGTGCCATTAGAGATCCACGTTCTGAACTTCCTGCGGCGGGATGGGCTCAAGCACCCTAACATTGTGGAGATGGAAGGCTTCTTTGAAGATGATATCAATTACTACATTGAAATGACACCTCATGGACTCCCGGGGATGGACCTGTTCGATTATATCGAACTCAAAGCCAACATGGACGAGTCGGAGTGCCGCAACATCTTCAAACAAGTTGCGAGCGCCGTTAATCATTTACACACCAAAGCACTGGTGGTACATCGTGACATCAAAGATGAGAATGTGGTTCTCGATGGAGAGGGACGGATCAAGTTGATCGACTTTGGAAGTGCGGCCTACATCAAAAACGGGCCGTTTGATGTCTTTGTTGGCACCATTGGTTAGTTTCCTTTGTCTGCCCGAGAGGTAAGATGGCGATGCTGACTGTCTGTGTTAGATTATGCCGCCCCCGAGGTCTTACAGGGCCGGTCGTATCGAGGCAAGGAACAGGACATCTGGGCTCTGGGCATTCTTCTTTATACGATCGTCTACAAAGAGAACCCGTTCTACAACGTTGATGAGATCCTTGACCACCCCCTCCGAATTCCCTTCCTTCCTTTCTCGGAAGATTGCATTGACCTCATCCGCACGATGCTCGATCGCGATGTGGATAACCGACTTACCATTACTGAAGTACTTGAGCACCCCTGGATGGTGGGGGCTTGAATCCTTTTCCCATCTCCCTTCGCCTTTTACTTATTGGAAAAACAAAAATAACGCGATACCCCACAAAGTTACGTTTTGATGATGGATGCAGAATTTTCCGGGGACACTGGGTATCATTTCGGGGTATGTTCTTCTAACTTCCCTTGGGGCCATGTTGATGATGATTATGAACATCAATGCATTTGTTATTTTTTTTATTCGGGGTTTATTTTATCTTTCCCCTTGGCATTTTTGCGATACCTTTGCATATCTCTTTTATGTGACGTAGAGACCCCCTAGAGGGCCAGATTTATATACGTACGACTTTGATGGAATTGCGGGGGAAATACTTAGCGTCCAGTCCGTGGGTCTTCGTCCTTGGCAAAACCTTTAGTGTTCGCCCCATGGGTCGAATCTCCCCACTTCCAACTTTGAGAAGGGACGTCTCCAATTTGATGCAGCTACAAATTTCTATCACACTATGCTATACTCTGCCTTGATGCATCGGACTCAAAAAGAAAAAAAAATAAAATAAATGTTAAATGTTAAAAATATGAGAAGGCATCCATGGATAACCTGGACATATTTCATTTTGATCCATGGATTTTTGCCTACCTACCGTGGATTAGTTCTTCCCTCCCCCACTAGCCAACCTTGGAAGTCCCAAGGCGAAAATGGACTTCTCAGGAACAAACTGCCTCGGTGTCCCTGGGGACTCTGAGTGGGTTCAGAGGCGTTGAGTCTGGTACGTTCAAGGCGTCGTCAGCCGAGGGCTTTGGTCTCACATCAGACGGTCTGTGCCAGGACACTGTGTCAGTACGATATTCTCTGTCTCTAGATTTCTATAAAATTTATCTAAATGTAAAAGAAAAACATTTAAACATGTATATCCGTACATACTTGTGATAGGTGGGGAGCGATAAGCAGATAACGTAGAGGGGGAGATTACTATTGTTTGGAGTAGGCCTAGTAGAAGTATCGCATTCCCTTCTCTACATTCCGCCATTTATTTCCGCATATCTCTCTTTTCCAACTTTCCGTATCTACTCGGCTATCTCGGTTTTCAACGTCACTCGGCACGGTGCCGTTGAGAGGCCTGTTCCACGGTTCGTTGGTCGTGGGCCCCGAAACAATACAGACAACGTGATTTTCCCCACTCACCTTCTGATTTCCTTTTCTCTCTGTTTCTCTGGCTGACATCCAAAAGACCGGTAATCGATAACGCTATGCTTGTCTAAGACCTTTCGGTGACTGCGCGCCCGTCGCTCTATCTGTTTCCACTGTCCTCCTTCGTTATCCTCCGCCGTGAACCCTGTGATACTCCGTGCCATACCGAACATCCCCCCGGAAGACGTGACAAGAGAGGATTGGCCCAGAGAATACGTGCTACAGACTGAACCAAGTTGTCAGAATGGCCTCCCAAATATCCGATGAGATCCTACCCTCGCCGGGAAGTATCTCTCCGAACAGCCCACCCAATTCGGCAGGTCAGATCCCATTAGAGCAACCGCCAAAACTCAAGGGTCGTCAGAAGTTACTGCAGAATCTCCAACGAATGTCGTCCAGCCCGACTCTGACCAGACGCGGACGATCCTCATCAACGAATAGTTACCGCCGAGACAACAAGGCCTCTCTCTCTTGTGTTTCGTTATCGACGACTTCATACTCGCCTTGTCTAGGAAATGGAAGTTCCTCCCAGCTCTATGGTGGCCTCAATCCTCGACCTGCTACCCCCGGATGTTCTAGTTCTCCTACCGAGCCCCGCGGTACCAACGCTCGCATCCGTTTGATGGACACCGATGGCCCTGGTTTCACTACGCCCCGCACCGTGCCTTTGCCTTTTGATGTACGGGCATCGAATGGGTCGCCACGCACCGCGACACCGGTGGGAGTAAAGGTGGAGGGGGAGATCGTCCCAGAAATCCAGCCGACCAGATCTTTTGACTTTTGGGGCGATATGCCACGAGAGATTAAGATGGAGATCTTTCAGCATCTCACCCCACAGGAAATTATCCGCTGTTCTGCGGTGTCCAAAGCGTGGAATGAGATGTGCTACGACGGACAATTATGGTCCAAGGTTGATGCGACCGAGTACTACTCTAAGATCCCGAGCGATATTTTGGTCAAGCTTATCACTTCCGGTGGTCCATTTGTCCGGGACCTCAATCTCAGAGGCTGCATCCAGATGCGTGATAAATGGTCCACGGACGGAGAACGCATCTCGGATCTGTGTCGGAATGTCGTCAACTTTTCGCTTGAGGGTTGTCGTATTGACAGGGCATCCATCTACTCTTTCCTCCTTCGGAATCCCCGTTTGGAATACATCAATCTCTCGGGTCTGTCGAGTGTCACGAACTCGGCGATGAAGGTCATTGCGCGGTCTTGTCTGCAACTTGAGACATTGAATGTTTCTTGGTGCAATAACGTTGATACCACCGGTCTTCTTCGGATTGTCCAGTCCTGTGAGCGGTTGAAGGATCTCCGGGCCAGCGAAATCCGTGGGTTCAAAGATGAGAAGTTCACTTTGGCTTTATTCGAGCGCAATACTTTGGACCGTTTGATCATGAGTCGTACCGACCTGACCGATCATAGCCTGAAGGTGCTGATCCACGGCGAGAACCCCGATATGGATATCTTAACCGATCGGCCTATCGTTCCACCTCGAAGATTCCGTCATTTGGATTTGCACCATTGCCCTGAAGTGAGCGACGATGGATTCAAAAGCCTAGCCTATAACGTTCCAGAATTGGAGGGCCTGCAAGTTTCTCAGTGCTCTGAACTGACCGATGAATCCGTCATGGACGTCATTCGCACGACGCCAAACTTGTCTCATTTGGATCTGGAGGACTTGGAGAACTTGACAAACAGCACCCTGGTGGAGCTGGCCAAATCCCCATGTGCCCAAAGCTTGGAGCACTTGAACATCAGCTTCTGCGAGCGTCTCAGCGACACCGGAATGCTCCAAGTGATGAAGAGTTGTCCGAAACTCCGATCCGTCGAAATGGACAACACCAGAGTCTCAGATCTGACCCTGATGGAAGCCAGCTTCCGCATTCGCCGCCGCGGGTACAGCGACGATCTTCCGCAAATTGGGCTGCGACTCATGATATTCGACTGCGCCAACGTCACCTGGGCAGGGGTCAGGGAAGTCCTCTCCAGCAACGCATACATCCCACGTGCCTCCCGCAAACCCGTTTCAACGGTGGTGACGGTAACACAAACGTCAGATTCCGGCTCCTCCCCGGCGACAAGTACCTTTATCACTCCAGCCTCCTCGCCTTCGCCATCGCCAGCGCCAACCTATCCCAATGAAATCATCCAGCTCAAATGTTTCTATGGCTGGCAGATGACCGTCGATGAACACACGAAACGTGTCCTTCGCGGCGATCTCGCTTCTGCATCCCGGCTGGACCGGAAATGGGCCGACTACATGGTCGCCACTGAGGAGGCTGGCGCCGCTGGTGCTGGTGCTCGCCGACGCCGACGTCGTGCCCGTGAAGCTGAGCGTCTTTACAATGCAGACGAAGATGACAACGATGCTTATGGCGTAGGCGCTATCTCTGCTCTTGGTGGGAGACGCAGGCGAGCCCAGAGCGGTAGCAGCTGTACTGTCATGTGAGATAAATCGATCTTGAGTTGTACGGCGTTTTCCTACTCGGTGTGTTCTGGGAACACCCAACGCGCTAGACGCAAGACGCTACTCGACTCTACTGGCGCAGGAGCGCTATCAAATGGGCATCCACTTGAAATCAAAGATCATATCCAATGATCATTTTCAATTTACTATGAATTACGCACGATATGATTTTCCTTTTTCTGGGACAACAAATCCCCAATACAACACAGTTGCTTTCGCGTTTGATTTGTTTTCTGGCCCCTTCTCTCTCTCTTCATATCTTTCTGCCGCCTATCGTCACATCCACCCCGTTCACCTCCTCATGTTTAGCTCCGGCGCCAAATTCAAGAATGGGCTTTCCTTCCTGCATGTTCTATGAGCTTTTTACATGTTCACATCTTTTACGAAATCAAGATGTTAGCTCTAGCATACGTATCTAGAAGGGTTACCGGCGAGACGGCGCTTTTATTTCCTTTACTCCATAGTTTGTCTTTCCTGGGCTATTCAATTTGAAATTCATGCCGCCTTCCGGGCTGCTTTTATGACACTTTACTTCGAATTGATATCTTCAAGACTGAAGTATACGGACGCAGTTCGACAACCCAAATCAGTACTCAGAGCTCCATTTGGTGCTTGTTCCTGTCTATCATCATTAGCATGGGACTTTCAAACTTTTCCAAGAAAGTGTTCTCGAGTCATGGTTATGTGCTCCCAAGTGACACCATTGCACCTTTTAAACCCGATTATCTTGCATCTTGTAACAGCCGGAATGACAAGATTATCAAAGAAAGCTAGTAGTCTTCCTTTCATGGCACAAACGCCAGCAGTAAGAATATTGTAAGCACAAAGCGCTATGAACCGCGTGTCACTGACAAGAAAGAAAAAGTAACATCGCGAGAGAAAACACGAAAATAAAAGGCACAGCCCTCTAATGCCATAAATCCTGAGTTTCCATGATAAAATCAGCCCCTGGGATACATCACCTCCTGATATCCCATAAAGCTATAGTCAATCTCGTTTCTGGTCCATTTTCACCTTTTTTTTTGGTTTTTCGGTTTTGAACTCTCCCTCGTATCACGTAGGAACTCCCTCTGCTGCCCGACATTTATCGACAACAGTCCTCTTGTCGATCTTGGTTTCATCAGCTATCGACTGAGATGCATGATCTTCAGCAAGCTTCAGATCCTCTGACAAGCCACAAGCTGCTGCATAGTCCAACTGCTCCGTACTGGGCTGTTCGGATACGATTTGCGCCATGTTGAGTGGGTCAGTGATGTGAGTGTTCTCGGCGGATGCATCAGTCACTGCCTGCTCGATTTGAGGATGCATAGTCATCAGCTTCATCTCGGTTGGTTGGATAATTGCAGGTGCTTGAATCGTGGCATCCGCAGAAGAGATAGCAGGAATTCTGATCTGCGCGGGGTTGGGCTTGTCAATGAATCCCTTGGTTGGATCTCCAATATCCATGCCCAAATCGAGCACGGTTCTCCCAATGCTGCTGGGGGCGACAGGTTGCTTCTTCTCCAGGTTTGAGGCGGCGGTTTCGAGCTTTTTGGCGGTCTCTTCGGTGGCCCGTTCCATGGGACCTTTGGTGACATTTTCCGTGACCGTTTCCGTGGCCTTTTTTGAGATCTCCTTTGGGGTATCTTTCGTGATATCTTCCATGACCTCTTCCGTGTCCTTCGCTAGAGCCTGCTCGGAGCTTTGCATTGGGGACTGCTCTAGAGCTTGTTCCTGAGCCTGCGCTGGAACCTTCGCTGGGCAGTCAATGTCCATACCCACATTCAATTTGGACCTAGACTGAGTCGTGATGGGCTGATTGCTACTGCTAGCACCTTCATCGCTCGTTCCGGTGGGATCTTCAACCTCAATGTCACCATCTGACTCTTCATCCTCCTCCAGCATCTGGTTGGCGTATGTTCTATCGAGAGAGGCATAGTTGATATCTTTGATACCATGCTTGGCGAAGAACTCCTTTGGCATGACAGTTGGTTTCACGCCATCTTTCATGGGTCCGCAACGAACGTTGTAACCCCAGGCTCTCCACAGCTGGCATATCTCAATCTCATTGGTATCTGGATTCGGAACAACCGCGCACAGATGGTGCTCATGCGCCACAACATCGCGAACCTCGGGCTTGCCCCTGTATCTCGCATCTTTCTCGATACCCTGAGGTTTGTGCAATGTGATCTGACGAGTGATGGTATGAGGAAGATTCACAGCAGAATCAGGTGCAATGATCGCCCCGATAGACCAGATCGGGTTCGCTTGCATGATCTCTCTAGTTTTCTCACGGAGCAACCAGCCAATACACCCGACGTGTTCGCGTCCACAGAGGATGTAATACCCTTTGTATACAGGGAAGAATGGTAGACCATGAGCCCAGATAATTGGAGCGGGTCCCGAAGACACGCGGTGAGGGTTGATATTGCCCATGCTGTCGAAGTCATATGGATATTGTCGTCCTCGTTCGCGGGGGGGCACAAGCTTGGTCACCAGATAAACCAGCTCATCTGAGAGTCGGTTGTTTGATGGAGGTAAGGTTGGCTGGCCCGTTTCTTCGTTGAATTCAACGTCCAGGACCAGTTTGAGCCTATCCTCTTCTTCCTTCGTGTCAGGCTGCTTTCCCTGACCATCTTTAGATGTCCAAACAATGTCAGAGCTTGCTTTCAGGTGATCTGCGAGTGTGGTGGTGCAGTAATCTCGAAGACGTCCCTGCTGCTTCATGAAGGTTGCCTCCTCTGAGGGACTGCAAGCCATTCTGGCTTCTTTGGCTTTGGTCGCAGGCATCTTTCTTGCCCTGGGTTAAGAGAATGTGGAGTTGATTTGAGAATTCTAAATCCGCGCTCGGTTAGTTAAGAGCTCAAATGATTAGAGGTATATCTGGTCGATCGAAATGATATTGAGGCAAAAGGTGGTTGGTTTATGATTCCCTAATTGATCAATGAAAGCTCAGGTGAGTAGATGTATGACTGTATGACTGACCACCGTGATAAGAACAAAGATATACTTGACCTTTGAGAAGAGATGGTAGTTAAATACGGAAGTTTGGATTGTTGCGGAAGTTCGAAATATGAAGAAGTCTGGGTCATAGATACAGGAGTCAGTGAACATGAAGTCGCAGTTTGATGTAAGATACAATATGTGAAGCGAATATGAAGTAGAAATTGAAGTATCAAGATGGTCAAACATTTAGCAAGACATCTTACCTGTTCACCAATTTGTGACAAGAGAAGCAAAGTAGATAAATGGATGATAAAGAGGTTATGAAACAATGTGGAAACGCCGGATATATGAAAAGATACAACAGTGATGCAAAGCAGAGAAGGGAGTGAAGTCATATATGGGCAGCAAAGAAGTTCTAGGTGTTGATCCGTTGTTCGCAGCTTACAGAGTCAGTGTCAATTTAAGTCTTTGAGGCATTGACCCTGAAGCTAGATCAATGCGGTATGAAAGTTGGGATGGTAGAGGATGGCAGGAGTAGCAATATAAAGGTTCAAAAGCAGGGTTGATGATAGGAGAAAGTGTCAATAGAGTAGATCGGTACATAACTATATAGTGAAACTACAGTGAACGGTGTGATAGTTATACCTCATAGTTTACTCACTTTATCTATGGAGCCATTACAACTTCATTGAACGGCCATTCATATATATAACAATTGGTCCCTATGTAGCCAAAAAATATTCGTTCGGTTCTACCCAAAAACCCAGACAAGCCACAGCATCAGTCTATAGGCATAATCACAGGCATTAGGGTATGTAGGTGGAGAAGCCGGTCAATATTTGGTGAAGCTTTTTGGGTGTCACTTGGCTGTATTGGAATAGAATGTATAGAATGCTAGTGTGGATATCAAGACAAATAAGACATAAACCAATTCTGCATCAAACTTATGAACTGGTTACTCAAAGAAACCACCATCGCTATCATCTTGGTCCTCCTCATTGGCTTGTTGTGGAGCCTCGTCTTTCTTGGAGGCCCGCTCAGTGCGTGCATGCTTCTCCTTCTTGTTGCTATTCTTGTCATCTTTGGAAACATGCTTGTCCTTTTGGGTAGCAGCCTTGGTCTCTTTCTTCTTGTTCTTCTCTTTCTGGTTATCTGTAGCGGTAGTTGTGCCAGATGACAAAGTTTGGATTTTCTCTCCATTGGCGTTGATGTGCAACTTTCCATTACGAAGAAGGTCCAGTGTCTTTTCTTCCATACACTTCTCGACGACAGGCCACAACGGGGGTTTGGTATCATTGGATTTGGTTTCCTCCGTTTGCAATTCTGACTTTGGATCCGTTGCATCAGGTTTTCCACTGGGGTAGATTGAAATGTATTTCTCGGTGAGAGGATAGTAGATCGAATAGTTGAGGTTCACCTGGCAGGTGTGGATTTTTGCTGCAAGACGAGCCTTCTGTTTCGAATCCAGATCTTCTTCCTTCTCACGGCGAGTAAGTCGGTTGAGTTCCTTCGTAGCAGTTTTGCGGTCTATTCAAAAACAAAGTACGTTAGCGAGAGTCCAGGACCATTCAGACTTGTGGGCCACATACCAAGGAATCGGACGAAGTGATATTTCTTGATCAATGATGACCGTTCTCTGCGTGTGGTTTCATCTGCAAGATCTTGCTCATATCCAGCCAGCGCACGCTCCTGCAAGATGCGAGCATCGGCAGACAAGTCCATTTTGTTGAGTAGTCGTTTCACATCGCGAATTCGCCTTTTGAGATCGTTGATCGATGGGTATTCCTTTTCAGGTTTGGGAGCAAATTTGTCCTTAAATTTCCGTGTCACTTTAGGCTTCGGTGCATCGCCTTTGCTGCCGAAGTCCACGAATTGACCTTGGTCATCTGCTTTGTCTGCCTTGCGGTGCATCTTTTTGCGGGCCGGGGGGCATCCTCTGAGCCATCCCGGGTCTTCCTCTTTGAGGGGGCTGCCTGATCGCGCTGGCTTCGAGTGTCTGTAGACATGATTGTTGGTCTAACAGAAAAGGAAAGAAGAAAAAAGATGTCGAAGCTACAGCAAAAACGATAAGAAAAAAGATATCGGCGGATTTATCGGCCCGTCCCCAGATTGGCGCCAACCAATGAGCGTCTTCGTTGATCACCATCACCACGGCCCTCTCAGATCGCTTTGATTTGATTTACTCCCATTGTTCACGTGAATTCGTGTATCTGGCAGTCTGGATCTACTCATGCCACTGAGTCAATTACTGAACCAAGCTTAGTAAAAGGACCAGCATGGAGTCTGCCATTCGCTGGTCCCCGACCTCGTCGGCCACTGAACAACGCTTCCTGTCTGTCGACGTCACGGGGAAATCATTTCGTCTGTGTAGGGTGACCGGGTTTGACGGCAAGCATTTACGCCATGAAGTTCTCTCCACCCTGACCAACGTGCCTGGGTTCCGCGCATTCGACTGGTCTGCTTCAAATGAGAACCTGATCGCCGTGGGTCAGTCGTCTGGGGAGGCCACCATCCTACGCCTCGATGGGGATGCCAAGGAGTCTCTTTCATTCCCAGTCCGCAATCAGCGGTACTGCAATGCAGTTGCATTTAGTGCACACGGTCTCGTAGCATCGGGCCTCGATCGCGTTCGGAACGACTTTTGCTTGAACATTTGGGATGTCAACCAACGACTCAGTCCCGCTGGTGGAAGTAAGGGATTTACTGAGCCCTTGCGGAAGCTCGCCAGCTCAGAACCCATCACCAGTATCAAGTTTTTCCGAGACCAGCCTGATACGATCGTAACGGGTGTTAAAGGCCAATTTGTTCGGATCTATGATCTAAGAGGTTTGTCTTTCTTGGCCTCATATCTACAAAAGCAAAGCGCTGATTTTATCTAAGAGGGGCCTGGCAATCCGTCATTACAATTTCCCACTCGGTGTGTCCACAATCTGGCTATTGATTGGCTTGATGAGAACTATATTGCATCTTGCATTCCATCAAATGAAAGCACCATCTGCGTGTGGGACCGTCGCGTTGGATCTCGACTGGCATCACCATCGATGGGCTCTTCTGCCGGCGCCGCAGAGACAGGTCAAGCGACGCCTGCTTTGGAACTCAAGAATGTTTTCCATCCCAAGTCCTCCATCTGGAGCTTGCGCTTCTCAAGGACGAACCGAGGCAGTCTCGCTGCGCTGTCCAGCAGCGGCCATTTCAAGAATTATGACATTGCCAAGGACTACTTGCCGGAGGAGTATCGCTCTTCGATAGACGAGACTCTTGGTCAGGGATCTTCCAGAAATTACCCAGAATCGGTATACACCAAGCACGTGCGGGATGTTTGCGTACCTTTTGATACTCCGACTCGTGGTTACAAAGAGAAAGACCGGGTTGTTTCATTCGATTCCCTGAATCTCAGCTTGTCTCCTCAACCAAGTGCTATCGCACTCGACGGCAATGGACAGCCCCAGATCATCACCGCGCGACCCCCGTGCGCACCAATTGATCTATCTTCACGCAGTGTATTGGCCTGCGGTATCTCGTCGAGTGACTCAGATGTGCGATCGATTCACCCACTGTCTGAGCATATTTCACCCATCTCAGATCTAATCGGAAACATCAGGTCACGCGTTTGCTCGACTTCGCAGGAGCATGGGGCAAACTCAAATGGTCAGCTGTTCGTGTCAAAGAATCCTGATTGCGAGCCTGTCCCCAGCCATGAGAACCGGGAGCGCGCCACGGCTCTTGGGGCGATGGGTGTTCCTCTTACTGCCAAAGAAGCGCTCACCCTATGCACAATCAACCAGTCACGTTGCAAAGAGGGTTATTTGTTTGATGAGGTTCGAAACCGAAAGGTAACCTCTGATGATCAAGCTCTACAGGATTTCTGGAGCTGGACTGAACGTGAGTTTTCCATTTATTCCTTCGGGTGGCAGACACCTATCTAATACATTTTCTAGGAGCTCGAACCGAGTCTTCTGGGACGTCAATGGTTGTCAATGGCTTGGACCTGAATTATCTAGGCGTGAGCAATGTTTGGAATAATGACCTAGGTTTGTTTCTTCACTTGAGTTTCAAATATTTTTCAAAACTGACCAAGAATAGGCAATGGTTTCGAACAACGTTGTATTAGCGCTAAGAGGGCCGATGCTAAATCAGTTGCGGATGCAGTGGCAACTTTGGCAATTCAGTTGGACCTCCCCGAGACAAAAGGTTGCGATACAGCTTACCCCGATCATCGCCGACTCTGTCTTCGTCTCTGTGGTGCAACGCAATCCTACCGTGAGCTGGAGGAGTCAGTGAAAACTCTATCTGGTGAAGACCAGCATACTAAAGCTGCTGCACTGGCTGTCTTCCAAGATGAGCCTAAGCTGGCTTACCTTGGGCTACGAAGCAACAACCCCACGCAAGCTCATAAATTACTGGCCATGGCAATCGCCGGTGCCTCCAAGGGGGACAATGACACAGACTGGGAGGAAACCTGTGCGGAAATTGCGAAGGAGCTCTCCGATCCATACGCTCGGGCGATCCTAGCCCTTGTGAGCAAAGGCGACTGGAATGCAGTTATCAAAGAAACCACACTACCTCTGAAGTATCGCGTAGAGGTCGCGCTACGCTGGCTCCCAGATGACGAACTAACAGCGTATCTGAAGGATGCTACAAGCCAAGCAATTCTTCAAGGCAATATTGAAGGAGTCGTGCTCACAGGCTTGGGTCATTTGGCTATGAGTCTGTTCCAATCTTATATTGGGAAATTTAATGATGTCCAAACTCCCGTGCTAGCAATGAGCCATACAGTGCCGCGGTTTGTTAACAACCAAAAACACATTGTCCAGTTTGAGGCCTGGCGTGAGACCTACCGGCGGCAAATGAACTCATGGAAACTCCAACTCGAGCGAGCCCGATTTGACGTCAGTTCTCGTCGGTTCGCTGTGACTGCAGATGGTCGCAAGCTCGTGCCGCCACCACCGCAGCAAGTCAGCCTCACTTGTAACTACTGCACGAATCCGCTCACTCAGCACGATGCTTCCTCTCAGCTCTCCCCATCTACTAAGACGGCTGAGACTGTTCATCCCACCACCGGGAACCCACTGGCAGCCCCAATCATGTCTGGGACTTTGTGTCCGCGTTGTGGTCGACATATGCCGCGCTGCGGCGTCTGCACCTTGTGGCTTGGTTCACCAGACCCCATGTCACGCGCCAGTATTGCTGCCGATGCCGAGGCGGGTTCTCGTAAGCCCAATGATACTGAGGTGATGCGGCGATTCGTGGTGTTTTGTATTCATTGCAACCATGGATTCCATGCAAACCATGCCAGTGACTGGTTTAAACGACATAAGATCTGTCCTGTAGCAGAGTGTAACTGCATCTGCGATCGGTAATCTTATTTTACATTGTCCCTTGTGAGCCATGGACTAAATCCATAGCCTGTCTTTCTGCGATATTCTATACCCAATTCAGTTTATGTGAGAATAATGATTAAAGAGAATTTGGTTCCTTTGACCCTTGCACGGTTTCAAAGATGCAGCTAATAGCTGTGAGTCATGTTCATAAACCCCTGTTAAAGAGCCGCATCAACTCTAAGCTTATAATTGCCCCACCAAAATATTATTTCCACAACTCCCCGCACATTTTCACTCAAGCTCGATACGTTAATATGGCCCCGAAAGACAATAAGGATAAGCGAGGACGTGGACATGGTCAAGGCCAAAGTCGTGATGTCCTAGTCTCCAAAGCATTAAGCTTACTTCTGCGACATGCTGCGGAGAAGGAAGGGCTGAAGATGAACGCACAGGGCTATGCGAGCGTGCCAGACGTGGTATGCAGCTGTGTTGTTCTCAACGGCCTGCAATATACTGACTATGCCTAGTTAAATTGGAGGAAACTCAAATCGCTCAAAGTCACCTTCCCCGAGATTCTACACGCCGTCGACTCGTCCGATAAAAAGCGCTTCGCCCTCCTTCACATTCCATCCGCGCAACCCACCAAATCCACAACCCAAGCAACAACAATACCAGTCACGTCCCCCGATGCAGAGCATGATGCCAGCACCATCGTGGGTGAAGACCAGCCCGCGACATCGGTCCTGGAGTCCGCGCCTGCCACGAGCGAAGCCCAGCAAACAGCCACCGACCAAGCATTATCCGTGAAAGACACCGACCCGGCGAACTTTCTAATTCGCGCGACTCAAGGTCACAGCATCAAGACCGTCGATGCTGCCTCCTTCCTCGAGCCGCTTTCTTTGTCCGATGAATCGAAACTACCCGATACCGTCGTCCACGGCACGTTCCACGCGACCTGGCCTGCGATTCTACAATCCGGTGGATTACGTTGTATGGGACGGAACCACATCCACTTCGCTACTGGCCCATCATTAGAATCGGTGCTTGCTGTTCACACCGATGATGCCGCGCAGGGTAAATCCAAGCCCGGCGACTCTGGCGTTATCTCGGGCATGCGGCGCGATGCGCAGGTTCTGATTTATATTGATGTACGCAAAGCGCTGGCAGCAGGGGTACCGTTCTGGCGCAGTGAGAACGGGGTCATTCTTAGTGAGGGTATACCTGTTGCGAAGAGTGGGCAGGGTGAGAAGGAGGAGCAGAAGTTCGTCTCGCTGGAGTTTTTCGATGTTGTAGTCGAACGCAAGGCCGGGCTGGGTAAGCTCTGGGAGAAGGGGGAGGTCCTGCAGGAACTTCCGGAGAATCTCACGAAGAAAGGGAATCCTAAGGCCCGGCGATGAGTGGTGAGATTGACTGGAGATGTGACACTCCAACTGTAGGGATTATCATATCCAGCCGGGATGTTGTTCAGTCCGACACAGACGGGAAATACCACCGATTCTCCTTCCAATGATCTACATATTCAGTATGCAATCCTTTCTATCCTGAGTTGCCCCCACCTCGGACTTCACCCTAGGTAACCCCGGAGCCTCCAGCCTATGTTGATGGGCCCTGGAGTATACCCGCCATGCTATCTTACTAAAAGACCAATCCCGACGGCTCAAGTCAAATACAAAGTACATCGTATTGAAGGTGTTGAGACTTCGGATGCTGTGGGTATCAAACATTCTACAACTCACCTCTGCATCCTATTTGTATGAGATTTACATGGAAAATCTCAGGCATTTTTCATTTCACCAAACCCTCAAACCCGCCAAGCTCTCCTACCCGACTGCGGGGAAATCGGAAGCGCAACGTCTTCCGATCCCCCAACCGACTTGTCGCTTCACATCCGATGGCAATGCAATTGGCGTGGATTTGCGGGGTCAGCCTTGAATAAGCGTCATATTCTGGGATCTGGATCACGAGAAGTCCCGGCGTATATAACACTCTAGAGGATTTTCAATAATCGCATACTCTTCTCTTGTTAAAACACCTGTAGCTTTGACTCGCACTCGTACATATCGCAATAAACTGATTTGCGCGCAACAATGGCGACACACCGCTTCGATCCCACTTTCACGGACAATGTCATCAACGCGATGGGTCCTAAGACCACCCCGCGCATGCGGAAGCTTATGACCGGTCTAATCAGGCACATGCACGACTATGCACGCGAGGAGGAGCTCACCGTTGACGAGTGGATGGCCGGCGTGCAGATGCTCAATTGGGCGGGACGGATGAGCGACGATAAGCGGAACGAGGGACAGCTGGTGTGCGATGTACTGGGATTGGAATCGTAAGCCGAACTCTTGTTCGCAGGGGAGTGGAACTCAGCAGCTAACGTCTGTTGCACAACAGCCTCGTCGATGAAATCACCTTCACTCTCGCTGAAGAAGCGCAGGATGCGCCCACAGCCACGGCCATCCTGGGCCCGTTCTTCCGTGCCGATACTCCTTACCGTGAGAATGGTGAGGACATCGTCAAGACCAAACCGGCTGATGCTGAGATGACATTCATGCATGGTCGCGTGATGGATTTCCAGACCAAGCAGCCTCTTGTCGGTGCGACGGTCGAGGTCTGGCAGGCTTCCACGAACGGGTTGTATGAGCAGCAGGATCCCGAACAGGTTGAGTTCAACCTGCGCGGCAAGTTCAAGACGGATGAGGAGGGCAGGTACTCGTTCTACTGCCTGCGTCCGACGCCGTACCCCGTTCCTAACGATGGTCCTGCTGGAAAGCTTCTTGAGCTGATGGATCGTCATCCTTTCCGCCCTGCTCACATTCACATTATTGTAAGTTTTGGCGTGGGGTTTTCGATATCGGGTTGAGATAGAAGCTAATATCTTGTCCAGGCTACCTATGATAACTACCGTCCTTTGACAACACAGATCTTCGACCGCAAAGATAAGTACCTTGACAACGACTCAGTGTTTGCTGTCAAGGACTCGCTTGTTGTGGATTTCGTGCCGCGCGAGAATGATCCTCAGGCCGCCATTGAGCTCAATTACGATGTCAAGTTGGTGAAGTTCGAGGCTGGTACCGATGGCGCATGAGCGAGCAGCGGCACTAAAGTAGCATTTTTTGTAATTTTTTTTTTTTTGGCGTATTTGACGATAGCGGCATTGCACATATTTACTGACATATTCATCATTCCATTCTAAATAGAGGCTCATTCAAGCATTCGCAACATTCGCGAACTTGGCAATTAACTCACCCACCTCATCAGCAGCCTCGATACAATGCCAATGCCCAACCCCCTTCAATACCTCAAGAGACTTCTGCTTACTCGATACATGGTCAAAGATATGCTGGCATCCCTCCATAGAAGCAGACTTGTCCTCCTCGCCCGCAATAAGCAAGAACGGCGCCTTGACAGCAGCATAGTCCGCCGGCTTTGCGGTCGCAATAGCGCGGCACAGTGCGGCATAGCCCTTAGGATCCTGGCCCAGGATCAACTCCCGGATGAAAGCCTTTTGAAGCGAGGTGCTGCGCGAGCCGACAGCTCCAAAGGGGATGGTATTTGCCATGGATTCGATTCCAGCTTCAAACAATTTAGCACATTCGAAAATTCAAGTAACGCAATAGAATAGAAACCTCAGAAACAGATAGATTCGAATGGGAAACACGTACACTCAAGGACAGTCTCCGATCTCTTATTCATGACTGTCACCAAGGTATCGGATGGGTGCGTCGGCCCAATGGCCACAACGCCCTGTATGCGATTGGGATGCCGCGCACCTAGCTCTGTCACCACGAGCCCGCCCATTGAATGGCCGACTACGACAGCCTTGTGGACTCGCAGCGTGTCTAGCACACCGATGACATCCTCTGCGATGCCGGGGATCGTGATTGTGTCATTGGTGTACGGGGAGCGGGCGGCGCCGTATGTGTCAATTGTAATGCAGCGGTGGAGTTTTGTGAGGTGCGGGATTACTGGATAGTAGTAGTTTTGTGAAGAGCCCAGGCCGTGGATGAAGATGAAGGTCAGACCGGTTATCGGAGGACCGGCGGGGTGGGAGTCAGCATAGTAGAGACGGTGGCTGTTTGCTTGGACGAACGGCATTGTAAATTGGGGATATTCACGAGATATGAAGGACGTAATGCAGGAATAGAAAAGCGGGCAGCCCTGGAGATCTATACAAATGATAAGTGTAACGTCATTCCCGATAACGTTCTACAATAATATACACAATCCTGGCCATTTCTGGTCATTCCGTCGGAAATAATCCCAGCTTCTACCCCAAAAAGATATTTGAGTCTCCCGAAAAAGGCCTTGGGGCATCCGAACTGGATATCCGACTGTCGGTCCGGACCCGATCCAGCGCCAAGACTACCAACATAGATGTACAAGATGTATATCGTACTCCAACGCAAGTGCGACAAAATACTGCCGAGGCGATTTACCAGATTCAGAATCATTAAGAGGGATTTTTATTAAGTTCGTCAAAAGGGTCGCCGCTTCCGTGTGCAAATGCTTCTTCAATCCAATCCGCAGTCTCGTCGCGAAAGGAATCTCCCAAAGACGCCAATGTGGGTCTACTGCATGGTCGATCAGATAAAAGAGGTTGTAAAAGGGAGATATCTTTGGATGGAGACTCGTCTCTCGCTGTATGACTACTCGTTTGTTTGATAATAGCCGCTTCGGCTTCAAGGAAATCGGCGGGGTCGTACTGGAAAGATTCCCCGAAAGATGATTCTAGCGTGAGCACAGCCGGGGGAGGTCGTAGGTAGGATGATTCCTTGGGTATAGAAGGGTTCTTCGTTTCTTCGTCAGTCGCTCGCGTGGTAGCAGCCATCTCGGCATTTTTCAAAACCTCTTCGTCGTCGAACGCGGAGCAGTCCGAGAACTCATCCTCGTCCTTGAATGCAGTCCGGGTCGCGGTGCCAATATCCTGTTCTTCAAGCTCTTTCGGGACGCCTCCATATTGAAGGTCGGATAGGTCATTTTTCAATACCTCGTCCAAGTCGTCAAAGGCATCCGAATCAGCTTCCGTATCTCCACCCACGCTCTCCGAAGTGTTATCATGTGATTCGATCTCTGTAACCGTTGGCGCTGGCTCCGGTGCAGCGGGTGACTGTCGCTTCCCAGCTCCTAGGAATATTGACAGCAGCGGCTGACTCGACGGGACGCGGGCTGCATGGGGATCCGGGATGCCGCGACGCTTCCGCTCCTCACGGGCTTGCGCCTCTTGCTCGGCTTTCCGTTTCTTGTTGGCGATGCGTTTCTTCTCCTTCTCGCGTAGCTTTTTCGCTCTATTTTCTCGCTCCTCCTCGCGATCTAGTCGCGCGATCTGGGATGCGGTGAACTGGAATCGTTGGTTGCTGCGCTGGTACCGGCGTTTAACGGTCTTGGATTTCTCCAAGATGATGCGACGCGGCTCATCCGGCATAGTGGAGGCAACGGTGGCAGCGACCGCCTGCTGCCTGTACGATCATGGGGATGGAGAGCTGTGGCGAGTTGTACTAGAAAAGTTTGGAAGTGTCGATGTTGTTTTTGGTTGGCGGTGATACGTTGTGCCGACCGCGAAAGGTCAACAAATTACCAAATTGGGCTGCATTCTTACAAAGGTCTATTCCAAGGTTATTGGTCTCTATTCGGTGTATATTTGGATGCTTAGAATTTGATTCTTCAATTCAATTCATACGCTAGGCTTTCACTAATATAATGACGTCATTTAGATCTTGCAGTCACGGACGGGATCCCAGCATACGGGCTCGTACGTGTTGAGCTTCAGGCTGGCCATGTCCTCATCCGACAATGTGAAGTCAAAGACCTGCGCGTTCTCTCGAATACGAGACTCGGTCACAGACTTTGGCAGGGGCACATATCCCTAATGTAAACGAGGTTAGTTATCCACTGTTGGGCACACGAAGCGAGTCATGTACACGTACCTTCTGCAAACTCCAGCGGATCAAAATCTGAGCCTCAGTCTTGCCGTGCTTCTTAGCCAGGTTCTGTAGAACTGGCTCCTTCATGCGAGTCGCTTGCACGAGAGGAGAGTATGCTTCGACAACGATGTTACGCTTCTGCAGCCACTCCGCAATGTCGTCACGCGGGCACCACGGGTGGATTTCGTACTGGCCGACAGTGATTTGTCCGCCCGCTCCGCTCTTGATGTACTCCTCCAGCTCCTCGAGGTGCTGGATAGCAAAGTTGGACACACCCAAGGAGCGGATATGGCCCGCCTTTTGGGCCTCCACGAGTGCGCGCCATGTGCCCAGGCGGTCCTCCTTACCGCCATAAGGTGCGTGAACCAACATACTAATACCCACCGGGTTAGTTCGCTAATCTGCTTTGTTTTCCAGGGAACAAGGAGGTCCATACAGGTCAATATAGCCAAGGTTTGCCGCAGCGATGCTTTCCTCGATGGCCTTCTTTGCCTTGTCGTATCCCATGCATTTCGACGGCACCTTGCTGGTATAGAAGATCTTAGAGCGGTCAAGGCCAGACCCGCGGATGGCGGCGGCACTTTCCAGTTCATTTCCGTACACTTTGGCGCTGTCGACCTGTAACAGGATGGTCAAATCTGGGTACACTTGCTGGCCGGGTTTTGTAGCTGCTTACATGGCGGTATCCCAGCTCAATGGCCTTGCGGGTCACTTTCTCGGTGACATCAGAGGGACTGGTCAAGAATAAGTCAACATAATCTGTGGCGGGGGTTTTATACAATGGCCATACGTTTGGTAAACCTAATTCCCAGGATAAGTGTCAGTCATGCATATCACAACTCCAAGGGCCAATACACTCACTCCAAATCCAACGACGGGGATCTCGTAGCCCGAGACCAATTTATAGGTAGACTGTAGCGAAAGGGAAGCCATGATGAATGTTTTTGGTTGAAAGGTAGAAGAAGGCGGGGGACTTTAATAGATAAAAGGTCTCGACATCCACGGACCACCTCGGTCCAGTCATTTCCGCTTGGAGCTTGACGCCATCTAAGTGGGGATATACGGTATCGGGGACTAGATGCAGCTAATCAATGGCGGATCAATGCGTGGGGCAACGAACTTGACTAGGACAGATAGGACTGAACTTTCCAAGAATTATTCATCATAAAATCATGGGACCTTCAAGCCCTAGAGGTTCCTGCATCTTTGACGTCAACTTTTCCCCAATCATATCTGATTAGGGCTTGGTCTTATCGATACTTGTATGCCCTGCTCAAGTGGAGGATGTTCATACCTGATATCATGTGTTCTGGAAGTTTAGAATATTCAGGAATTTTATATTCTCTATTAACCTCTCGAAGACTAAAATTAATCTGCTAGAATAACTGAGTAGAGCAAGTGATATTCTTGTAGGACGGGCGGTAATGAATGGCAGATTCTGTGGTGGGGTTGAGTTTGGCAAGTTCATCAGCATCAATATGCTTTCATACTAGGTTGATTTGCTCGAATATCCCTGTTTATAGAAGCATTCCAAAGCTCTCCCGTGTTGGATCTGCTTTTACGACCCCCTTTATCCTTCCAATTTGCGCATTTTTGTGTCAACATATGACGACATCGCAATAACAACCTCCAACCCGTCTTCGTCGCATTTTACCTTTCCAAACCCTCGGCATACAACCGTAAAATATCGCCACAGGAATGCGTTGCATTAAGAACAAAATTGAGCACGATGGCTCTGGGGCGGTGACATTATGTCCTGTCGAGCCAGAAGACATGGTATTGAAGCCCTCACTTTCCGTCTCAGCACCCCGCAGTGATCTAATATACGATTCGGCGAATCTAGTGGCACGCATACAACCTGATCCGACCAGGAGACCTCCTGCGAGCCAGCGCAATTCGCCGAGTTACCACAGTCCAGGATACCGGGTCCACGAGCTCCGCGCGCGTTCATCTTAATCTCCTAATTCGCGTGAAGAATCTCGACTTTGATCCGCAAAGCTCTCAGCTCCATGTATCAGGACAAATCACCAACGAAACACCGCACACGAAAATTGGACAGTTCCATACCCTCGATCTAGAGTTGAATCGCAATTTCACGTTAGAGAAAGAGGTTGGGGCAGATGGAGAAGGTGTCGGATGGGACAGTATTGCAATTGAGTCACTCAAGGACGCTGTTGACGAGGGCGGTAAACGCCGTGCAGAGGCTGTCGCAGTAGTGATGCAAGAAGGACTGGCTCATATCTGCTTTATTGGCCAATTCCAGACAATATTGAAGCAAAAGATCGAGATGTCTGTGCCGCGGAAACGGCAAGGAGGAGGGGATCATGATAAAGTGAGTATATGTTGTTTCATTGCATAGATTCACAGGGCTCAAAACTTACGCGGCATACTTCCAGGGAATGAACAAGTTTTTCAAAGTTACACTCGAGACACTCCTTCGGCAAATGGAGTTCAATACCAGTCTTACTTCAGGCGCCAACAACGAAGCTGTCCGGCCCGTGCTTCTCGCCTCACCCGGGTTTGTCGCCGCTGGCTTCCAGAAATACATTCAATCTGAGGCATCAACAACGACTCCCGGACTCAAGCGACTTCTTCCCAGTCTCGTGGTTGTGCACTCCGCGTCGGGGTACACAAATTCACTATCAGAGGTTCTGCAGTCGCCCGCAGTGAAGACCATCCTGGCTGATACTAAGTATGCCCGTGAGACGAAATTGATGGACCACTTCCAAGAACAACTACGCAAGGAGACCAACAAAGCAACATATGGCCCCCGCGAGGTTGAGTACGCGGTTGAACAAGGTGCCGTCGGCCGAGGTGGCGGCGTACTCATTGTTTCGAATCGCTTGTTTCGATCACAGGATGTCGCTGAGCGTAAACGCTGGGTGGGGCTTGTGGACCGCGTCCGCGATGTTGAAGGTGGTGAAGTGCGAATTCTCAGCTCCGATCATGAAAGTGGAAAGCGTCTCGAGGGGCTGGGTGGTATCGCTGCACTTTTGACATTCCCGGTTATTGAACCAGAATTTGACTCTGATGCAGAATAGACTAGCAATTAAACAGACCATCGAAAATATACAAAGGTCTTCTGTAACATACGGCATAATCAAAGAGTGCAATAATCCAGTGCCATAAATGGAAAGTCGTCTTTACCACTCATACTCAATATCTTGCGGTTAAATGTTCATATCCTTCTAGCTATAGCGCTAATAAAGGGATGGAATAAATATAAGAAACACCAAGGAAATATCCAAAAAAACATTGCAAAGCCGCCATCAAGGGCCGACTATTCTGGTCAGTTGTGGCACTTGATGCCTGCTAACCAGATGACAAAAAATCGAAATAATGCAAGAATATCGCTTCAAAACTGTTATGTCATTGCACCAATCAACCCATCAAAAGAACTGATTCAGAGTCTCGGATATATCCATAGGTCCCCTCTCTTTCATGACTGCTCGCTTGGCAGGACGATCTCCCCTATCAGGCGGTTCGGCGCGCTTTTTCTCCTTTCCCTGTTTCTGCTTCTCGATATCAAGCTTTTGCTTCACAGGATCTCGAGTAAATAATACAATTGACTTCGAATTATAGCGAGAGCGGATAATAACCTTGTCTCTTCTGCTGTGGTCAACAGTTGGTAGTTTTAACTCCAAGATCGGGGTATTCGTTGGTAGGGATGATGGTCTTCTCGAATGCTCCTCTCCTGGTGTCGGGAGACTAGACTCGTACACATGAAGCAAGGCCAACAGATGGTCATCAATTGTCTTTGACGTTCCATGGGTTTCCCAAAACCAATCAAGTCTGCAGGCGGACCATCCCTTTATAGTAATGATGTTATTCGCGGGCCTATCGTATTTTTGAATCGTCTCTGTGATCTTCTTGCACTCGTAAGCCACAACAAGCTGGAGCTCTGGTAGTTCACGCAGAGCTTCCAGTGTCGCAATGGTTATTTCGCGTTGGTGGTAGAACCTGAGAATGCGGAGGTGTTGTAGTGCTTTGGATTCAATCCAACCGCGTACAAATCCATCTTGCAAGGGGATACCGTCGCTATTAACGCCCACGGGATCCAGCGGGGCGAGATTCGGCGAATATGTTTCACTGTGAACGTCCAGGGCAACCAAATTCTTGATATTTGGTATAGTAGTCAGGTCTGTGGCAGTACAGTATGAGGTTGCAATTGTCAAGATTGCACGCCAGCGAAAGTCATCGCTATTGAGGATACCCATGTAGTCTCTCAGTGGTTTTTTGGGACAGCCAGCATTGAGACAGTAGTAGGGACTAACCGCATGGAATTGTATAGGATAGACGCTGGCCATTATTTTCCACATGTGCATTGTCTGCTTGTTACTGGGTAAACGTTAGATTTGAACAAACAGACTCGGGAATTTGTCAAAGGGTTTTAAACCCCCTCTTATAATGACCTACCACTTTTTGAGGGAATCCCAAAGGTATTTTGCCAAATACCAGTGGACGTATTCAAACAGCTCAGGCTTCAGCACCGACTGGTCCTGCAGCAGTGCTTTCATTGCTGCATGCTTAAGTGATCCAGATCCTCGATCATTGGTTGTCTCCCATCCATGTGGTAAAAATGGGAGCTCATGATACCATGTGGGACCGAGACGTAAGAACCTGGGTGACTGGTTATCTTCAATGATGACGGACATTGAGGAACGAAATTATGGCCAGAACAAGCAGGGATCTAGTGAGAAAATGGCAGTCTAGCTTTCTAACAATGCCCATGGATTGGATTATAGGGAAGGATAGTGTCCTCCCGGGATTAAACAACAAATTTTGAGGTTGGGCGCGTGTTTGGAGTCGAAACGGGACTGATTTGATATATTCACGTGACCCTATTTTATACAGACAATGGGAAATCCACAGGTTTTTAGCAGTCCGGGGTAGGATTTCGGTTTACCCATCGAATTCGCATAACCTTCAAAGGAAATCACCTTTCCTCGGCTCCCTATCTCGGCTTTAGTACTCTTTGATCATGGCTTGTCCTACCTTCCTAGCTAATACAAGTTATGCAGAGGGGGTATACAAGAGACTAAGATCATATACTAGGATCAGAAGAACCGTTTAATTCTCCAGGTTGGCGAGCGATATTGTCGCTATCCAGGGTGCACTGTCAGCGATGTGGGAGGACCAGACTAAAACGCATTCTAAAGTGAGCATCGATCTAGTATAAATCCATGAAGGATTGTTCGGCTTACTGTTCTTAACATCCTTGCCGGACTGGAAACTTGCGAAAGCATGTAGGTCGTCACAGTGAAGATGTGCAAGTTGCTGACGGTGTCATCGGTCGGATCAGTTATATTGAGCAGGAGAAAGTTCGAGTGAGCTGAGTGGTCTGACATTCAAAACATACCTAATCAAATGTTTAGCTTGGTACAATTCTCTCTTTGCCTCCGATCCCCCGTCCTCAACCTCCCCCTCGCAGTCTACGGCAATTCAAATCGCAATATGAACCGTAAGATCAATCGCAATACCGATCGAACGGCCAATACCTGAAGATACCTGAAGAGTATATACGATGTATAGAGATGGGGTGGGGCGGGAACGTGGAAGATTGTTGCGGACGAATAGGATAATTAATAATTAATTAATAATTAATTAATGAGTTATTGTTTTTTTCTTTTTGGGCTTTTAAATCTTATAGATACATCAGCAAAGAAATAAAAGAATATTCAAGGATGTATAGTAGTATGTTTAGTATATTTTATTAATGTATTATTAACGTGTTATCTACAATTGTCTATTTAGCACTCATGCAGTGTTAGTTTTCCTTTGCATTTCTCTTTTGTTCATTCATATTTATGAGAGACTAGCGCAGATCGGGACATTCAGCCAAATCAGGGTACGCTAGTAACCTAATCGAAGACCATTGATCAAATATATATTGAACGACATTTCCCTATCGCCAGTACAATACAGGGCTCTTCCCTGTCCAATGCTCGATCGTCTCCAAATTTGCGAATGGATCAATTCATCACCTCTTCCAGTGCCGATTCATGCCATGAACACCAGTCTGCCACAGCCTCTTCTCCTAGTACCCTTTCAATTCTTGCCAACGCCACGAGAAGCTCGTCAATGCTTTATGCTAACCATGCGATCTGAGCTATATATTTGGATCTCATACACCAAGATTTACTTGTATCCAGGACGACCCGGCTTGGTGATACGCTCTAATATAGCAAGACGGCATGCACAAGATGGCAGTTCGTATAGCACCCAAGGCTAACAAGCTCCAGCAGTCATAGACCAATATACATATACGATTATGTGGAAGGCCTTTCCCATGTCTGGTCATAGGAAGAGACGATGGATCTCATTTTTGGTTAGAAAGCGGCCATCAGAGCAACTTTTGCCTCGTGGGCAGTCTGCAGTTACCATATAGACCGCTGTCCAACATGACCATGCGATAACTCCAGAACCGATGCTATTGGTCTCGCGGGCATATCGGTGATAGTGGAAATCCCAGAGTTGGTTGGAAGCCGAGGGAATGAGTTCTGCGATCTAGCAGACAAGACCGAAGTCAAGACCCGTGACGAGGAGTTTATTCTCTAGCAAGTGGTTCGGGTTTACAACCTGCAGGGTATCTATCCATAAGATCAAATGGACGCGAATTGTTCGTACCGTGAGGCTCTGCATTGGGAACCTTTGGAACCTTGGGAACATATCAAGATCCACAAAGATAACTAGCTAGGATAGCGGCATTCTTCACTACTTGGTTACAATTTGGGCTATCTCTAGGGCTTCCATGTACACATACCTTAGCTCTGCTCATTCCTGCGTGCATACCGACTCCACGAGCGTATTTTATACCCCTTCCAGTAGAGCAAATAAGGAATAGGCAAAAACAACAACGAAAGGCAACCCAACAGAGTCAATGCCCATGCAACGCCAAGGTTGGTATACATGATTTCCGCGATAATAGCCATAATACCGGCAGTAACAAGCCGTGTCATTTGAAGACAAGAAAGCGCGCTTGCAGCATGTTCCTCGAACGCATCGGCGACGTACTGGTAGGCCGAGACGAAAACACACAATGTCCCAAAGCCGTAGAATACCGAAGCGATGAGCGGGCTCCAGAAAGAAATCGAGAGCCTGGCCGTCCAGGCCATCCAGAATAGCGAGATGGGGATAAAAGGCGCACCGAACATGGCCATGTACAGACTGATCTCCGGGTCTGGGCGCTTTTGGCCTCTCGCACGGCTGCGGTAGATATCCCTACGGAGGAGCCACATTGAAATTGGGAATGTCAGTGCTGAAAGAATGACTCCAACCTCAATGGCCAGGAATGCGAGGGCGGTCGAGGTCGCGCTGAAGTTGTTTGCTTTTCCATAGATGGAGACGTAGCCCGCGATGAAGGTGTACAGGATCAAGAAGAGGAGGGAGAGAGAGAGCGAGTGGATCATAATGATTGGTTCTGTCACAAAAAGCACCAGTGGTCGGTAGAGCGAGGTACGCATACGGTGGACGAACGTGGCTTTTCTGAACTCCAGCGGGGACCGGTACCGGTCGTCCCCTGTCAGGCGGCGGAGCTCTTTCGCTTTCCAGTACAGCAGGATTGGGCTGTATGTCTCGGGCAGGAACAGCAGAACTGGGATCAGGATAAGTCCTGCGAGAATGATAGTCATCCAGTCCACCCAGCGCCAGCCTGCCGATTCAGCATGGACGGCGAATGCTCCTGGTACTGGGCCGACCAACGGACCAGTGAATATGATTATCGAAAAGATCGGGAAGGTGTAGACTCGTTCAACGCGTGACCAGATGTCCACGATGGATGCTGCTGCTATAACCGCCGGGGCAGACCCGAAAAGTCCAGCTAGACCGCGGCAAACGATTCGCTGTACCACTGTTTTGGAAAGCCCTGCGCCCATGTCAAACAACATAAACCCGATCATGGCGGGTATATACACGGGGGTGCGTCCAACGACTTCTGATATAGGCCCTGTTATCAATGCCCCTACTCCAGAACCAATTAAGAACATAGCTGCAGAATCTCGGTCAGTCTGATTGAATTCATCCAAAGGTTTGACCACGTACCAGTCGGCAAAGTCTGGACCTCAAAGGTAGTATGAAACAGTTTCTTGGTTGATGTGAGAGCAGTGGCATCGATCGTGGATGACCAGAAGATTACAAATCCAGTCATCGAAGTGATAATAGTCGTCCACACTCGACGTTTGAGTGACCAGTTGTGAGGATCCATCGTGTCACACTCGCCTTCAAATGTGACGACAATGAGTTTGTTCTTTTTCACCGACTCAATATCAGATTCGTTATCCGTCGAAGGATAACCCGGCCGAGGTCTTTCAACGCCAGTCACCATAATATCAGGCGTGTTTCCCAGGGTCTCTTCTGAGTTGATGGTATGCGGATCGTTTGCGATTCCCGGTTCGTATTCGGCACCCTCGACATCTCCTTCCCGCTCTATGTGTGATCGAACGGAATGGCGAGGTTGAAGGGATGGCCCGGTGATAAAAGTGCGACTGCCATGTTCCCTCCTTCGTGAGGCATCCAAGTCATCAGTCGGCTCGCGAGGTTCCGTGTGAATCTCTCCTTCACGGTAATAGTAGCGGCCTTCATGGGTCCAGACATCCTCGGGCTTCTCATGCTTTGTAACAAATTGTTGCTGGATCTTTCTGCGGATCCTACGGTGCTGGAGGATTGACTCCATTGTGCTTGATTCGGGGTCTTGCGTTTCAGGATCGTATCCGCCTTTGTTACATTGAAAACTCGGATCAGTTGTGGTTTATTCTCCTCGGAGGCAAAAATGACATATGACGGTCCTATCCCCCTGAGGATATGAAATCCGTGCAGCGCCATATCTATATCACTCGGTTAGCTCTTCCGCAAATGACGAATCCCATCATATCCTGCTCAACATGTTAAACTAATGGAGAGCTTGTACCATGCTAATCCGGGTCAAAAACGCTAGCTGTATTTTCCCATAGTGAAACATCGCTATACCAAAAGGGCATGTCTTGGTGGTGCAAGTGAGGTAGTTGTCTACGATGATGTCAGAAAGACCGATGCTTATCGTCACTGAGCTAGGTAATATGCAGCTTATTTTCAATGGATAATCAGTGGTAGATCACAGATTCATAAGGATTAATCACAAATAGTGCACCTCCCACAGGCCAAATACGCACTGGAACACCGAGGGTGGAATTACGTACACGGCAATTCATTAAACACAAAAGCATGTTTCATTGAAAGCCAGACAAGTATCGTCCTTATCTTCATTTCCCAGATGTAATTACATCACATAAAGGATATCGGTATCTGTAGGAGTTGTCAGAATTTGATTGCGACCAACTAGCTCGATGATCTTACCTAGAGGGTGGCTGCAGCTCAGCTGTGGTTTCTGGGAATATTTGGACTCGAGCTCATCACGAATGCTGTTCAAAAGCTGGACATAACTTTGCTGAGGGTTCTTCCGAAGCGCGGCGATGAAAGCCCAGGACATGGCACCCGTGGCCTGGCCGGCAATCTGGGCATCCTGACTGGTTTGGTCATCCTTGCTTCCGGACCACATGATGACATCCGCGGGGCTAGTCTTAGTCTGCTTGTTGCGCTCATACACTTCGTCGCCCTTGGTGGCCTTCTTTATGAAGCCCATGGCGGTTGACATCATGCTGCCCATGTCACCACGCGCGTATGCGGACACGACACCAAGCAGGCCTTGTCCAGCCTCCTTGGCCAGGTTGGGCTCCTTGAGTATACCGGAGGTGGAGTAGACGTAGGGGAGATCCAGGGCGGAGCCAGAGTGGCAGGAGTCGAAGATCGCTGTTAGACGGACTCCCGGTTGTAGAGTCTGCACCATGATACGGTGCATCTCATCATCAACGATGTGGCCTGCATTCCGGAAATCTACCGGGTAGATCACTTCATCGTACCCATCCTCTTCGTCGCCGTCCAAGTCGGGTGTCTGACCGCCGTGGCCTATATTCTTGTTAGTTCGCCGCCATAGAAGCGTTTGAAGCATAATTACTCACCAGAGTAGTGGAAAAACAACGAGTCATTGGGACGCGCATCCTTGACCAGCCAGTGCATAGCCCGAAGAATGTTTGCTTTAGTCGGCTGGCTCATCGGGTTTTGCTGGTCATCGGTCAAGAGGACCATGTCCTCGCGAGCGTAGCCGAAGTTCTGGTTCAAGTAGGCCGACATGTTCTTCACATCGTTGATACATCCGCGCAGCTGACCTTTTTGGCCGAAGTAATTGATACCAATTAATAAGGCTTTTCTCTTACCCGTACAGCGGGAGTATTGGAAGCTATAGCCTTGGGGAGCGCCGTGGCCGAAGGCGACGGGATTGCTGGGAGGGGGAGGCGGACCGCCGTTTTGGCCGTAGGCTACATTTGCGCATCATTAGCTTTCACTGCCGAGAATGTGGTTCTTGTTTGGGAAACGCTAGACGGACCTGGTCTTCCTTGCATTGGTGGCCCAGAGGGTGGGTGCTGGTTGTACCCAGACGGCGGAGCCTGGAAAGGATTGATACATGTCAATCTTGTGTATATCCGATACCAAACTCATCATAACATACATTGTAACCTTGGTGAGGAGGCGGCGCGCCGTAGGACTGGTGAGATGGCTGGGACATATGGCTGTAACCGTACGGGTTGGATTGCGGCGGCGGCTGGTGCGGCTGCTGGTGGTAGGACTGGCCAGGATAGCCGCCATAAGATGGTTGTTGGTGATTCATTTGGCTGCAATCAAATCTTTGTCAGACCCTCTCTCTCTCTCAATAGAGCAAACGGATAAGCAAGCGTACGGGTACTGCTGTTGCGGGGGATATGACGGCTGCTGCGGGGGGTACCCCGGGGCGCCCGAGTAGGGTGGATAGTAAGACATCACAGGAAGTCTCTAAGTCCACCCAAGGGAATGAAGCGAAGATCAAAGATGTAGAGAACTGAACGCGTTGAATGTGGAGAAGGGGAGATTGAAGGCAAAACAGATCGGAAGTACGGCAGCCGCCAAGCCTTGAACAGTGAAGGTAACTCTTTTTTGAAAGCAGAGAAAAAGATCAAATCAAAGAGTTTCGGGGAATTAAAAGAATTAAGATCTGGAAGGGGATCATCCTAGGATCTCCCACATACATACTCCGAGGTTCGTCCACTATCTCCTTATAAGGCTGTGTCGGGTTTAGATCCAAAATTAAAAAGAGGGGGGGAATATAAGGGGCAAAAAAAAAGGGAAAACAGGAACTTAATGTACATCTCTGGGGCTGGACTTTTATATCTGACCTGCGTTCATCGGCAGCTCCGATCAACCCCTGTCTACATAGAAGCCCAAGACCTCATTGGGCTTCACTTAATCCTTGAAGATTCTTACATAATTTTATATATAGAAATAAAATAGATAGATCATAATAAAACATATAAATCGTCCTTCTGCACGTCATACAGATTCAATAGCACCGTCTTGGCGTGAGGAATTTAGCTAATGAGATGCAAAATGGATTGAAGACAATAGATTCCAAGTTAAATGAGGGCAAACGGTACGGAGTACTCCTTGTGTACGTACTCTGTAGAATATGCTCGGATCGGCTCGGCCTTGGAAATGCATCTGATATATCATCTGCATGCAATTAAGATCAAGGAATTCATGAGGACTATGTTTATATTGTATGTACTTGGAAAGACTGTGTCAAGGTTATCTCTAACAACTCGTCTTCTATTCTCCCTGTACTTCATATTCAATATTCATCTCAACACCGCCTATGAAGCCACTAAGGCCAGAGCAGAGTTCGCTTCAACTGCTACGTGACCTTCAACCATGCAGGTGTCCTTCTTTTTTGGGGGGAATATCATCGAGCAAAATCCAGTTCTGGTCAAACTCGTTTATCCTCGTCGGGGCATGCCGCGGCCACGGCCCCGGAGGGCGCGCTGGGCAGCACCTGGCGGCATTCCGCGCTGTTGACCAGGTTGAGCCGACTCCTCATTCTCTGTGGGAGTGAAAATATGGGTTAGTCATATGCAGAGGATGGAAAACCTTCCAAAAGAAAACAGTTGATAGGTCACTTACTTATCGTTTCGTCCACACTCAGGATCAAGCAAGAGGCTTCCACTGCGGCCTGGATAGCATTGACCTTGACCAGGCTGGGCTCCCAAACAAAGGCCAGCATGTTGTCACGGACGCCCTCGTTGTCGAAGTCGACACCAGCCCAGGTGTTACCCTTGCGGTGCTCCACACGCAAGCGGTTCAGGATGTCTGTAGCGTCGAAACCAGCGTTATCACACAGCTGGCGGGGAATAACCTCCAGAGCCTTGGCGAATGCCTTGACAACGGCCTGCTGCTTGTGGGGGACGTTACGGTCGGCGAACCGGTGCATGTAGCTCGACAACTCCATTTCAGTAGCACCACCGCCAGCAACGATGGTTGTGTTGCGCAGAGCACGCTTGACAATCATGATAGCATCGTGCAGACTACGCTCCACCTCTGCAATGAATTGTTCAGCGCCACCGCGCAGGACAAGAGTGCAAGTCTTAGCACGAGGGCAGTCGGAGAACAAGTTGAAACGCTCTCCACCAATCTGGCGCTCCTCGAACGCGCCGCAGGTACCCAGGTGGCGCTCGTGGATGTCAGTGCATGTCGATTGGGTTGCGGCTCCCGTAGCCTGGCAAACACGATCCATATCTTCGGAGGCCACACGGCCAGCACAGAAGATATCTCGGTCCGCAAAGTACCTACAGATCGAATTATTAGTGTCTAGACACATGCCCCGTAGCAAATACCAAGTACGTACTGTGTGGCAAGATCGCCAATAGGCAGCTTGCTAAGAACGACCTTCGCTCCTGTCTTGTAGATAGCCTCAAGCTTGTTGAAGATGATCTGCCACTCAGCATCAACGATGGCCTGGTATTCCGAGACCTGCTCGACGCGGACTTCCGCATTGTCCTTCTCGCTCTTAAGCTCCAGCTCGACGTTCAAGCACACGATACGGGGGTTCGTGAAATATTTGGGCTGCTGCTCGAAACCGGCGTAGGAGAAAGTCTTCTTGAAGGCGACACCATCGACGAAAAGCGAATCCTGGAGACCACCACCGGTAACCTTCTTGACACCGATCAACCTCTCGTTGAGGTCATCCTGGTCTAGCGAAAGTACCGCATCCACAACCACTATGATACCATATTGTCAGCCTCAGGGCAAAATTGCAACCGCTAGGTAGGGAATCCTCACTCTTTGTGAAGAAGTCCGAATTCCGCTTGATAAGCTTGCTGTTCATGGCTGTTGCAGCTAACCGTCTTAGTGTCTGAACCTTCTTCTCCTGGCTCTCTGAGGCATCCATAATGTCCACTGCAATCTCCTTAACCTTGTTGACCGCCATGGCGCTCGCCCTCCGCAGACCCTTGATGATGGTCTGCGAGCTGACACCCTGCTCAACGAGGTCTCGCACCTCCTTCAGAATCTCACCAGCCAGGACAACCACGGAGGTTGTTCCGTCACCGACTTCAGCATCTTGGGACCGAGCGATATCTGTGAGAATGCGGGCGGCGGGGTGCACAATGTCCAAAAGCTACCAAATACACGAATGTCAGAATCACCAACTACCTTCGGTCATAAATTTTCATCAGTGGCAAGACGCACCTTCATCACTGTGGCTCCATCGTTTGTAATGGTCTGTTTGCCATTGGCATCCACAAGCAGGAGATCACCACCGTAAGGACCGAGAGTACTCTTGACTGTTCCTTGCACTGCGACACAGGCGTTGATGTTGGAGATAATCTGACCCTTTCCTTGAGAGGCATCGGTGCCTGTAGATTGCAAAGCGGTAGTAGTTAGCATAGGTTACAGAATCCCACCAACAAAACTGCCCGCACTGGAGACAACACATACCCTCCTTCAACACGACAATCGTGGGGGTTTGGCCGTTGAAGGCCATGATTAGATCGGTATTCGGACACGAAACCGTTCAATAAAAAAATAAAAGAAATAAGAAAAGGGGTATGGTGAGTCGAAAGGTCGGAGGGGTTGATCTGCCAAAATTTCCCAGAGCTCCTGTTCCCCAAAAACCCCCCAGTCGCGCAAGGCGGTGACCAATCAGGGCTCCTCAACCCTACACATTTAAAGAGATGTACACAATTTATATTGGAATATAGAGTTTTTATAGTATATATTGAGATATCTCATTTGAATAATATATCTAAAAGGAAGCATAGTGTATGTAGCATAAAGCGTTGTGTCACTGTCCACGGCAAAATAGTGGTGGAGTATCAGCGGTATCTCAGACCGATGCCTTGACGCCAATAGAACAATAGAAAGAAAAGTAGACAAGAAAGTAAGGTTTGAGATAAACTCCGAAATGAAATAAACCCCCCGAAATAAGAAACCGAGATAAAAAGTTGAGGCTTGTTCACGTAAAGTCATAATTCCCGTCTGAGGGACTTCCATACTCGAACTTCGAGAGTAATTCAGCATCATGCTGTAACTCGTGTGGAGGTGGGTTCACAAGTCCAAGCACGTCTTGTCGAAAGGGGTCCGAGCCGTCATCTACCATCATTTGATAGGCATTGCTGGCGGTATGATAGCGCATTGCATCGTCAAAGCTTGACATGCCGAGATTGTGCGAGCCCGGTGCGAACTGGCCCGTCATGGGATTCTGTTGCTGGTAGCGTCGTAGGTGCTGGTGTATTTGCATAATCTGAGGGTCGAGAGGCATGGGCGCGAACCCAGTCATGGGGTGGACTGTGCCGGGCATGGCTGCAGGAATTGGTTGGTGCATAAGAGGGTTGTAGCTGGGAGGCTCATCGGGTGCTTCGTCCATCGCCTGCGGGACATTGGCTGGTTCCTTCGGGGGTGGTTCCATTGTGCTATCCATATCCATGCCAGACATCGTTTCCGATGGCGATGGAACATCATCTTTGCTCCCAGGTATGGGGGGCACCTTGAGAGTCTCTTTGCATTGTGGGCAGTCTCGAATCACGCGATTGACAGTCTCTTTGATTCGTACCCAATGGTATTTGATTGCAATAGCTGCCGTAGTTTTGTTGATTCCGGCATGTTGTTTGAGATGAACTTCTTGGGCGATATCGTACTGTTGCTGCGGGTCTGACACCACCTCTTTATCCTTCAGCATCAGCCTCTCGGGCTCCCCACCTTCACCGCCAAGAAGTTTGTAATGAGTCGCCGCACTGCGCAGTCGACTCTTTTCGGCCCGATCAGCACCACGAGGGTACTTTCCGTGCTTCAAATAATAACGTATCTTCTCAAAGCGATCCTGGGACACAGAGTCCTCGCCATCCAGGCTGAGGCCTCTGCCGTAGATGATTGCATCGACAAACTCTCCAGGTTGAGATTTGATACTGCCTCCGCCGGGGACTCGGCCAATGCGTTTGAAGCCAAGGGAATCCCACAGGCGACATGATGCAACGTTGGACTCATATACCAAATTGAAGACTGCATATGTATATCCCTAGCAAACATTAATTCAGAACCCGTTTCAAGCGACTGTAGTGAAGAACTCACTAGTCGAGGGGCCCACTCCAGATAGGATTCGCCCATCAATCTACCCACGCCCTTGTTTCGAGCAGCATCAGTGACAATGAAAGTGCCATTGCAGACATGACTACTACGGCCAGGGTAGTTAGGCCGAATGTGAAAGCCACCTAGACAGATCTTGGTCCAATTGGCTCCAGCACGGTCCATCGTATGTGTCTGCTCTGCACTTTCGATGTCGCCAGTAAGCATGACCACACCAAAGTTCGAAAACCAATATCGTCCAAATTGAGCCAATGGAATGGGCTCTGTCATGGCATATGTATCTCCCTTTTCGATCTCTTTGTTGAATTGATCAGAGAGATACTTCATTAGAGCCCGGGGTACTTCCTCTGCTGAGGCAAAAGGGACCAAGGTCGCAACCGTAACCCGATCTCGCAAGGTTACTTGTCGCGGGGCCAGAGCAAGCGGATAATCTAGCTCAGGGCCCGATGGAACGAGCTCTGAATCTCCATGAACTTCAGACATGGTAAGGTGGCTCTCTGGGGGTTGTCAATCACACTATTTGACATGTTAGTTGAAGGCATTCTATTCTCATATCTTTGCTCCACAAAACCTCATAGGTGAATACGAGAATAACAAGAAAACAACTACAATTGAACTGGATTCAGCAGGGGGTCTGTTCACTGACATTCTGGACTGCTTCTAGAAGCCCTCGATGGCACTTCGAGGACCGCGTGTGTATTCTCGAGTCCGGAATGGCCGCAACGCAAGTCGAGAAGTCGTGGTCCTTGCTGACTCAGTTCATTACCTAAGCTAATTTCTTTCTTGCCGAATTCCTCAGGCTGGACATACGTTGAATAAATACCTAACTAGTTAACTAATTAACCTAAAGCTCACTAACTAACAGACGATCAAGTGCTATATAAACCCGTAAGTGTGGTGAGTGGGCTAATTGTACCTAGGCTCATTATAGTTAAATGTTGGACAGGAAGCAAAACCTGAGAACTACGGCAAGAACAATCTATAAGAGATCTTCGCGCTAATAGTTACTTCTAATCATAACTAAATATACTCCGCAGTAGTTCTAAACTTCACGTGCATTTTTAATGATATTTTCCTTTTCTTGGTATTAAAAGAATTATGGTGTAGAAATAAAAAATGGGGAGTTGAAAACAGAATGGCATTCTGGCGTATGGTAGCCCACCATGCTTAGAGTGGCCACCACAGAATGTATGTATTCTTCTAGGTCTCGTCGGTATTAATGTATGTTTTATCAGGCTCGGTTCAGGTTTGATATACTCCGTACTTAAGTATCGTGTACATAAGTCGTATCTCAAATCGGCGATCTTAGTACCATATATACGCCCAGGATACATTTATTTTGTTATTGTGGACAAATTGCGGTGTAGCTGAGCTTCGGTGGATCCAATAGGGTAATATTTGGACTATGCTTGTCGTGCACTGCGGAGACATACATAGATTTACTGGTGGGGAAGATGTAAGAATTTGTGCTTGGGCTAGCTGAGCCGTCTAGCGTTCTGCTGTACGACGTGGGAAGTGATAGCCCCGATCAGAAGGATAAAAGTTTTCAGGTCTGCAGTACTGGGCTTCTTTCCTACATAGCACACCATATCTCAGCAAATTTACAGACAGCCTATAACTATATAGAACTCCACCATGGCAGAGCGTCCGCAATACTTCGAGAATACGTTGACGCCGCTCCAAATCAATGCGACCACTCTTCTTGAGAGCCTACAAGAGCTCCGTGCTGCTGTTCGCAATGGTGCTGGGTTGATACAGGAGAACACTCTCTTGCCTGAAACATGGGGCCCAGCTGGCATGTTCAAAGCTTTCCCCGGTATTTCAAGCTCCAGCCCCACCTCTCAAAACTATCATCTAACCACTCAATAAAGGCATTACTCTTGCATTCCTACGCCTAGATTATCAGTCCTTGGTACTAGAAGATCACAAAGCTGCTTCTATTGACTACCGCCGCTACGCACTAGAACGGATCCCATCAAGCCTTCCGGACACTCCTCTGCTAGCCTCTCGATTATCTCCAGCTGGCTCATCTTCGCCTATGACTGCTGTCACTCTACGCATCTTGGGTACCTTTGCGAAGAATAATTGGCAAGATAATGTCAATGTTAACATCACAAGGGAGGATATCACTTACCTTCACGATGCCATGCAGTGGGCACTAAAAAACGAGCCTCTCGTTCTCCATGATGGCCGAAAAATGGGTGGAGATGAGATGCTGTTTGGCCGAGCAGGACTTCTTTGGGCCCTTTTGAATGTTCGTGCTCATCATTTTGATCAAGAGACTCAGGAAGCTATCTCACCTGTGTTGGCGGCAATTCCTGAGTTGATCCGAATGATTATCGATGCCGGGCGACAAGGATCCCAGGAATACATCAAAAAGAATGGAGCCCAGCACGCACATCCATTGATGTATACATGGATGGAGGGCTATTACTGTTTTGGGGCGTAAGTACATCTCCAGCCATCTTATACAATATGAGACCGCTAACAGACAATGTATAGGGTCCATGGAATAAGTAAGTTTACAGGCATTTATTTGAGCTTTGCAAACACTAATTAATATGTGATTTAGCTGGCATTTTAACCATCCTGCTCTCATGTGAGCCCCACGAGCTTACAGACTATCTTCCTGCCATTGGTGGTACTATCACTGCGCTCTGCAAGCTATCTGGAGCTGCCAACGGCCACCTCCCCATGACTCTACCTCCATATAGTATCGGGCAGCGATCAGAACTAGTCCAACTGTGTCACGGGAGCCCAGGGCTGTTGATTCTCCTAGGAGCTGCCTTGAAAAACAAACCCTTAACCTGCGCTCACTGGGATCCAAGCTGGGACCAAGCCATGTACTTGGGCACTGAGCGTGTGTGGGAAGAAGGTCTGCTTTCCAAGGGAGGCAGTTTGTGTCACGGCGTGGCTGGCAATGCATGGGGGTGGCTCCTCCTCCATGATTGCTTTGAATACCATTTGGATATTCTGAGCGATGCCCGGACAGCTTATCTCCAGCGCAGTCGGTTGTCAGCACTTCCAAATGCTGAGGTGAACCAAACACTCACCAGTGACTTCTTCCTCTCGAAGGCACTTGCGTTTATGTTGCATGCACGTGAGACTAAGCCATACAACAGTTCGCCCGCATCTTCCGACAAAAATTACCGCATTCCTGATGACCCTTACAGTTTGTTTGAAGGTCTTGCAGGCAATGTTTGTGCGTGGGCTGATACGTGTGCGGTGATTCAAGCCAGGCTGCGCAAAATGGAACTTGTTGAGCAGGGTGTATGCGCTACATCTGGCTTATCACGAGACCCAGTGTTCCGGGCAGTTTTTGATAGACAATTGGGTTTCCCGGCCCTGGGTGGAAATGGCGCAACGGGTATTTTCTGAATAGCCTCTTTAGCTATCCCCCACCTGTTCGTATAGTTGATTTATTCGGTGACGTCATATGTCACTAATGAAATTACATGGCCATAACTCCGAGAGCCAGAAATGCGGGGGGAAATAATAGTATAAACAATATATAACAAGGGACAGAGAGTCTTACCAATTATCTACACTAAAAGGCTGCGGTAAAACTGTGGCTTAGTCGGGCGACTCATGGGGCCAAATTCCCCGTCCACCTTTGAAACGTCTTTGAGAACTCAAAAACAGAGTAAACATGGATCTCATTCCTCCGTCTTATGAATCTGCAACAGATAGGGATGCTTGGACAATCATAGCTCGTTATATTCCCTCCAGCGATCTATGCGCTGCATCTCTAGTCTGCCACAGATGGCATGGTCTATTTATGCCCTTCCTCTGGGGTGATCCAGCATCTCACTTTGGTACAGATAACGATGCAGTCTACGGTAAGTAAACTTAGGACACGACTCAAAAAGCAATATCTGATAGAATCACACAGTCGCTCTCACTCGATTTCGAAGGACACTCAAATATGCCCGACACGAGGTGCGGGCGCTGACCCATACCCTTCATCTCCCACCCGCTCTTTCGGAGATATATGGTGGTCCGCGAGCGGGCTGGTTAAGAGACATCCTTGAATGTTTGCCATGTCTGCAGTGTCTCATGGTCTCAAGGTTACCTTTTTTCGACCACCATGCCATGACAGCATTGAAAACCGACGAGAGATCGAGCCAGTATAATATACGGCTCTTGTTGGCTGAGCGTGAGCCGAATACTACTTCCACAAGCCTCGCAGAGACCCTCCGCTTGTTTCCAGTATTGACCTACTTGGATCTTTCATACACCACACCAGCACGAGACCGCAACGTACTATCGAAACTAGCTCAAATGCCCTTCCTCCAGGTACTTAAATTGCGTGACATCGGGCTGAAAGACAATGACGCCGAATTTCTAGCCAATGCAATTGGACGACGAGTCCGTTGTCTGGATTTGAGAGACAACAGGCTCACTGACCTGGCAATCCGCTCTCTGTTGCAGGCATCATTTCGCCCGCCACACGGGGAGGAAAGGCAACAAAGCCCGAGACAGGCCACTGCTTCGCCAGACCCCTTCTCCCACTTTACAATCAATGAGTCTGGCTCAAACTTCTTCAAGCGGCCAGACTTAGATGAACAGTTTGTGAAGCTTCTCGCTCGGCCTGTTTTATACCATCCATGGGTTGAAGACTTACCGCATACTGGAATCACCCATCTTTATATTACTGGTAATCAAATATCCGTGGAAGCTGTGGCGAGTCTTTTGCTCTCGTCTCGGCTACATGCTTTGGATTTCGGGACCATTAAAACCCCAGATAAGGCACACCAGACGCATCAACATGGGAAGGAGAAGTATCCCGGAGCTGAGAAGCTAGTCCCAATTGTGGGTAAGGTTGCAGGGGACAATTTGATATATTTGCGAGCGCATCATGCTGTTCTCACTGGCCAACCACCAGCTAAAGACACTGCACCCAGTACTGAGCTTCTACCAGAGCTTTCGGCACAAGAAAGCCCCCGCGAAGTAGAGCAATTCGAGTTGGATAGCGCCCAGCAGGTTTATGAGTTGGCCGAAGAGACAAGGCCTGTCTTTGAACTTGCAGATACATCAACAACCAACTCAATAAGTCCATCTTCGACGACAAAAAGGCTTCAGACTTCCCAACCATTGGCAGCCTCCGAGGATGAACATGCACCGTCCGTCAGGCGTGGTTCGGCTTTTGCTCCGGAGGTTGTACAACCCATCCCCGTCCACAGTGGCGCCAATGGTGGCACGGTCTTTGGTGCTTCTAGGACAGATACCTGGGATACAGAGCAGGCTGAGGGAAGCACACTGCCCTCTATTTCAATGTCTTCGGACGGCGACACTCTTGCGACAGACTTCTCTCTCCGTACATCCTTGCAATGCAGCTCCCCAGTCTCATCGAACGATTCTCTCGCACAAATAGTACAGGAGTTATTGGCAAAGCGACCACATAACCAATCACTCCCGCTTCGAGGAGGGAAAGAAAGCTGGTACCCTTACCTACACCCATCACATATTCCTCACATGGAATCTTTGGTACTGACAGATGTACCCTCGCATGTGATGCAAAACTCATCTATACTCTCTGCACTCACTCGGTTCATTACTGCATGCTCAAACGAAGCATTGCTAGCAACTCTACAAGCAGGATCAGACTACTCCCTCCCACCAGGGCAAGCGCGCATGCAAGCCGAGCAGCAGCGGTCACGATCTCTCTTTGGCTTGCGGCGTCTAGTACTCGAAATCACACCTGTCGATACCACCAAACTGACATCATGGAAACCCGGGAACCAATATAATGCCACAGGCCATTCAAGCACGGGTGACCGCGACTCGGAGAATCTTTGGTCTGCAGCTACCAATGATTTCAGCTTCTTTGGTGAAGAAGAGTGTGGAGTTCCTGAAAATGATCCTGGCAAATACTTTCCAATGGCTGTGCTTAACGAAAAGGTCTCGCTTGTGCCGGAGGACGACTCGTTACATTCAGCCGATTCTGCTCGACTCGGGCGTCACCTTCCACAAAGCACCAAGACCACCGACCCGTCAGGGACTGGGGACAAAAGACAGCAGTGCGAGGTCTCGATGATTGACCTTGTGGCGGAGCTTGCGGCCTTTCGTCGCGGCAAGAAGGCCGAGTATGAGCAGGTGGTTCGTCGTGAAAGAGTACGGCGAAGCACCATTGGCACGGGTGCTTCCGGCCTACTTATGCCATCATCGCCCCATATTTCTCTCTCACATTACGTCGAAGGCCATTGGAAGGGAGAAGTAAAGGTCGTGCGGAACCCCATGCCAAAGGTGCGGACCGGAACGGTAGACATGTATGGAAACTATTTCGAGAAGGGGTACTTGTACCCATGAATTTTGTACTTGTATATTTGAAGTCTACGTCATGCGATGAGGTTTTGTAGGAATTTTTGATATTTTCTAAGTCCTCATTTGGACCTGAACCATCCTTCCTCCCAGTCATAACAAGCCGTCGTCAAAGGGCTCATAAACATCACAATGCTAAAGAGACATCCAAACTGTCTTCATCGGACAATTGGTGCCGTCTTTTTCATCCTCAGTGTAGAAGCATGGCCGGCAGTTTCGGGACCGAGCATCACCCCTGCGATCCGGTCAAGAAGAACACCAATGCGAAGAGTGAAGACAAAATAAAAGAATTCATTTCAAACTAGTTCAATTTTATTTTGTTCATCATGCGACATTCATCTCCTTACAAAGCCTTAGCGGCAGTAGGGGGCTGGAGCTTCTTGCCGTCCTTGTTGAAGCGAATACGGGGAGGGGGAGCACGGTTGCGGCGGCCTTCGCGGGAGCGAACACTATTGGCGAGTTATTAGTTGACGAAAAGAGACTGAGTATCGAGGATAATCGGTCAAAACGTACCGGACAATCTTGCCGTGAATGGCGCAGGACACGCAGTACTGGAGCTTCAAGTACATCTTGGGGACAGAGTACTCAGCGAAGACGGAAGCCTCGGAGATATCACCTGTAGATCGGGAGTCGTTAGTTTCACTGGTTCGTCTTGAAATTCCTCCAATGGGTCGTAGCCATAGATCTGGGATCTTGTCGTAGATTCGAGTATCGGGAGAGTTGTCACGTACGGATGGCAGCAGACTCGACCATGTTGCGGATGGTGAAGCGCTTGATGGCCTTGTCCTTGGGGGTGCAGCGAGCGCAGTTGGAGCAACGCACAGGCTTGACGTGGCCGCGGCCATTCTTGTTGCGGCCGCTATCAAATCAATTAGTTACCGTGCCCCTGAAGTTGCGAATCAGTCGAAATCCAGTTTCCCATTCTTCTTGTCCGGCAATGTGCGTAGGTCGCGATTTTCGATGTATTTGGAGATGTATGTCGTGTGCGCTTCCGTCGGCGTCATTGCGGAGATGTCGAATGGGATACTGCTTCGCCGAGATGGGGGGATTTGTTGGTCTTACTTGTTCGCCCTCTTCTTGACCATTTTGACGGTTTGTTCTGTGGATGGTTAGGTGTTGGTCTGTGGGTGAAGGGGGGAGATAGCGTACGGTTGACTTGTCGGGAGTGGGTTGTCGAAGCTCGCTCACACAAAGTCTCTTTCGGGATGGATTGGATTCCGTTGTGCGGGTAGCCCTAAGCCCTTAAGCGAGACGGGTCACGGGGTTGGTGCCTCAGGATCCAGGCAACAAATTTCTCGGGAATCACGTGGATCACGTGGGTAGAGTCACGAGAAGTACGTCCGCCTAATTGGGCCTAGCGCCCGGATCGTACCGTGTCATTCAGTGTTTACGGCTCCTCATCCCCGACTAACGAAGAAACACCCCTGTTGGGATTGACTATTGAACTGCCCATTTTTTTTCTCCCTCCCAGGAATTCTCCTTGCTTTTTTCTCCCATACCAGTCTCACAACTTTTAACATCCTTGTTTGTTTGTGACATCTCCCTTCCTTTCTCCATTTTTTATTGAGACTTTCCCCTTTCGGCATTATTATGTCGGCCACAGGTACTTTTCGGGGAAAGCCCAATCAGACCATCGGGAGAGGAAGGCTGCCCGACTTCGGAAACGATCCCAGTGCCTCCCACATCCCCCGACCCCGGCCAGAATCTTCTGTTACAAACAATACGCCCTCCAGCGACGTCGGAAGTGGCACAATGAGTGCCGCAAGTAGCAGACAGCGACAGAACCAGTCGAAACGTGATGAGGTACGTCATGGTAGCCCCCGGGAGCGATCTCCTGATGCTAAAGTTGTGATTTGGATTTTATCTAACCTCAACACAAGGCTATCCGCCGCAAAATGGAGGCCGACCTCAGCAAAAAGAGGAACGCTCCCGCAAAATCGAGAAGCTCCCGCAAAGCCCCTCCCGGCACCGTGCTCGCCCTCAAGCCCAGCCAGGCCCTCCAGATCAAGCCCGGCATGAGCATCGCGGAGGCCGCTCAGCTTATGGCCGCCAAGAGAGAGGACTGTGTGCTGGTCACTGACGATAATGAGCGTATCGCAGGTATTTTTACTGCCAAGGATCTGGCGTTCCGAGTCGTCGGAATGGGCCTGAAGGCGCGAGATGTCTCCGTCGCTGAGATCATGACCAAAAACCCGCTGTGCGCGAGAACGGACACTAGCGCTACCGACGCGCTCGATCTTATGGTGCGGAAGGGATTCAGACATCTGCCGGTCATGGATGAGAACCAGGATATCTCTGGTGTTTTGGATATTACCAAGTGCTTCTACGATGCTATGGAAAAGCTGGAACGTGCGTACAGTTCGTCTCGCAAGCTGTACGATGCGCTGGAAGGTGTGCAGACAGAACTTGGCTCTAGTCAGCCCCAGCAAGTCATCCAATACGTGGAGGCATTGCGATCGAAGATGTCCGGTCCAACCCTCGAGACTGTATTGGATGGATTGCCACCGGTTACTGTCTCCGTCCGCACCACCGTCAAGGACGCCGCGGCTCTGATGAAGGAAAACCACACCACAGCGCTGTTAGTCCAGGACCAAGGCTCGATCACTGGTATCTTCACTAGCAAGGATATTGTTCTTCGCGTTATTGCCCCTGGCCTCGACCCTTCGACCTGCAGTGTTGTCCGTGTCATGACTCCTCACCCCGATTTCGCCCCGTCTGATATGAGCATTCAAGCCGCGCTTCGCAAGATGCATGGTCAGTCATATTAATCAGCGATTAAAAAAAAAGGATGCTAACTCTACAACAGATGGCCACTATCTCAACCTGCCCGTGATGAACGAGGGTGGTGAGATTGTCGGCATGGTGGATGTGTTGAAGCTTACTTATGCTACACTTGAACAGGTATGTTGATAATATCAGATCTGATATGGAGTCCTTTTAACTGACATATTCAGATCAACACCATGTCAACCCAAGATGACGAGGGTCCGGCGTGGAACAAATTTTGGTTATCAATGGATCATGAGTCAGACTCTATGGTCTCTGGCGGCCACAGCCAGCAACTGAATACCCCACACCGCTCAGTTGTGAGCCCCGATCTCACTCGCTCAGGCTGCGACAACAGTCTTCTTCCCAACGACTCAGCATCGCACCACGGTGATGACCATTCCGAAGTTGTTTCCCAGCACCACCCAGCAGAGCCAGCTGCTCCTACTCCATTTCCCTTCAAGTTCAAGGCCCCCGGTGGCCGAGTGCACCGTGTGAACGTCCTTCCCACCAGCGGCGTTACCGACCTTGTGTCGCAAGTCACAGCAAAACTTGGCAAGGAAGTTGAGGCTGTTGGTGGCGAGGCCACCGTTGAGGAGGGTCGGCTGAGCAACACAGGATATGCGCTCAGCTACATGGATAATGAGGGCGATACCGTCTCTATCACAACTGATCAAGATATGACGGATGCCATCGAGCTGGCCCGCCGTACTCACCGCGACAAGGTCAATTTGTTTGTCCATGACCCTGCCCAGCCGCCTATCCCAGTTGAACCCCATCATGTTAAGATTGTGACTCCCGTCGAAGAGCAAAGCGTTGAGGAACCTGCATCACAAGAGTCCCCTGTGAGCAAGGCCCTACCCCAGCAGCAAGCTATCCCCTCTCACGCGCCAGACGAGCAATTGATTGCTGGCGTCCCCAACGACTTGCTACTTCCCGGTGCTATTGTCACATTGGCTGCAGTTATTGCGGGTGTGTTCATTCTCAGCCGTCCCAGTGGCCGGTAAAAATATCTGGCCTTTGGTCTATTCCCAATCCCCTCTTTTTCTCTCCAATACTTCACTTTGTCCGATTCAGCTTGGCTATTAAGCATTTTGAGAAAGCGCAGTAGATTCTTTTCCTGTCCAGAGTGTTGCATACCCCTTTTTTTTCTCTAATATCGATATTCCGTGTCGCGTTCAGATACCGCTGTTCGCGTGAGCAGTTGCGGCCTTAGTTTAGCCTTCAATGCAAATAATTGTTCGATATGGATCTTGATCTGACAATTCTGTATATATATTACCGTGGTAGCCTACTAGTACCAAATAAGTAATCCTTTGACTGGATTAGCAATGTTTCAGTTCTTTCATAGTTGTGCCTGTTCAAATTTAGTTGGCCTTGTGGCCTGAAATCACTGCATTTGGCTTAGCGTCCGGATGCGATTATCGTTACTATGGGCTCTTTATGTTGTCCTTGGATTATTCGTAAATTAATTGCATTTTTTGTCGAGAAAGAATCTGATTCAAAGACCTCGATATCCTCTGTTGAATCTCGTTTCTTCCTGTGGTGTGATAAGATTGGCGCTTTCATTCTTCTTCACCAAGGGCCTATCCATCTATCGCTCTCTTAATCAGAAATTCTTCTTTTTTCCCTCTCTCCCCGCCCCACCAAAAACAAAACTCCTCTCCTTCGTTCCACCCCTCTATCCCCACCAAATCACTTCTACGAGGGTTGAAAGAACTGGGTTGCTTGGATCGTCTGGAACTTGGGAACAGACACGCCCAACATGTCCCTCTTACCTCCCGAAATCCACACCGCGCTTTCTCAGCTGCTCCGCGCCTTGAGCACACCCGACAATACCATCAGATCCCAGGCGGAAGACCAGCTTAACAATGATTGGGTTCAGAACCGACCGGATGTCCTGTTGATGGGATTGGCGGAACAGCTTGGCGGTGCAGAGGACACAATGGTAAGTTGCACTAGACTCTAGGGGTGCAGTTGCTTGAAAGAGGGGTGTTGCAAACGACCGACAACCGAACCAACACCCGAATTTCACTATGATTTGGGATGAAAGCTAATGGGAAACTCTTGCTGATAGACTCGTGCTTTCTCCGCTGTGCTTTTCCGAAGAATCGCAACAAAAACCCGAAAGGATCCCGCCTCGGGTGACAACAAGGAGATTTTCTCATGCCTCCCCAACGAGCAGCGAATTGCCATTCGTGAGAAGTTGGTGACCTGTCTGA